CAGAGACACTGAGACGGTTTAATGTTTTGTGTTTTGTTTTAATAACATTGCCACTTAAGAGCCACCGAGGTGGTTTTTGAAACAAAATAGTCGAACCATTCCGACAAGCATAGTTTGATTGCGAAAATGATTTTTGCAAGTGATAAAAACATTCAAATGTTTTCGCATACGTGGGGGAATCCCAAATGGCGGAATCCCTTTCATGGCGCCCATTTCATTTGGATCGCGTCAGGCGTGTGTAGTACCAACGCACAATAGAACGCGCAAACGCAAAAAATCAGCTGTGGTGCGCCCGCAGACTCGCGCTTGTTGTTCCGACATCTCTGGCTCGCTCACTGCGGGCATCCAGGCATCTGACACCCTGACATCTGGCGCTTTTTCTGTCTTTCACGTGGCGTTTCAAGCGGCACACGATGACAGATGCACAGCAAGCTATCTTGAACACGTGTCGCCATTTGTATTTTATATTAACCCTTTCCCTACCATGGACGACCTGGGTTCGTCCACACTGTTTGTACCGCTCCCCCCGACGACGAGCTTGCCTCATCCAAGCTACCATGGACCGCAGCGAAGGCTAGAAGCGCGAGCTCATAGCGTTGGCAGCTGCCCTTGGTGCACGGGAGCTTGTGCCGCCGAGATGTGCCCTAGAGCAAGGAGCTCGCGCATGTAGCCTTTCCTGCGGTACAAAACAAGGTGAAACAGAGTATAGGGCACATAAAAAAATCGTTATTTTCATTTTTTTATTTATTTATTTTTGCGGTAGGCAAAGGGTTGAGAAACTGCAATTTGCCGTAACTGAATTGGAAAAGTTTGAGGTCTAATAACATTCATAAAGGGAAGGGGGGGGGGGGGGGGGCGAGGGAGGTGCAACGTTTTTAAGATTAAAAGAATTTGCATCTCGTCATTTTTACGTTGTTTATCGTGTCCCGGAAAATAGAGAAAACATAGCACAGCAAAAGTCTAGCTTCCTCCCCCACCTGCAGCGGCGAGTGGCAGCCGAAGGAACAACGACGAGAAGCTTACGTGACCTAGCTGCAGCAGAACGCCCGCTAATGTCAGCAGAGAGAGGGAGAGGAAGCATCCTCCGACAGAGCACACGGGAACATACACGGCACCCCGAACTACGTCACTACGAGTGAGACCAGGTGTGACCCCGAAGACTGGGAGTGAGCTGAGGTGCGCCAAAAGTGCCAGTATACATTTTGTTTATTTACACAACAATTAGGACACGCAGGCGAAATCAGTTTTTTGTTCTTTACTTCAGAAGTGTCAGAGGGCAACTTTCATAAATTTTTGACCGAAGTCCGGAAATCGTTGCACCCCCCCCCCCCCCTTTTTTTTTTAGAGAAGCTGTGCAACGATTTTAACATTGCAAGAATTGGCATCTACTTTTGACATAGTTCATCTTGTCACAAAGGACAGAAAACACATCTCCTTCCTTCGAAATGTTGCGATTCCGCCGCGTAATCGCGAGGCTAACATTAGAATATTCCCCGACCTGCCCGCGAGCGGCAGCCATGAGAACCACGCGGCAAGACGTCAATGGGGGTCTTGTAGAACAATAGCAAGTTGTGCGAATACCTGCTCGATAAAAGGTAACTTTTCTACAAATCTTGTCGTTCCAACATAAATATAATTGCGTCAAAAACCTGATATCATCGACAAAACTTGTATTATACGGAGTTTTAGTGGCGCCATCTATCCTAGGTCCACAAAACCGTCAGCTCTATCTGCTACCGCGAACAGCCGCCAGAAGCCGGAGGGGGACTGGGATGGCCGGACCCGGATGAGACTTTTCTCCTACCACCATATTGTTCACGCTGCGCCAGTACGTGGTCACGCGGTCACGAGCGGATGAGTTCTCGCTGCTCACTGATGGCTCTAGTGAGAAAGCTTCACCGGAACCCCGCGCAACCTTCATTGACGTCACAGCACACGTGACTCGGAAGATGGTGAAGGAGTTGAGAGGTGCCGAAAACCTCAATCTTTGTCTATCTTAAAAATAAAAGCCAGGACATGCAGGCCAAAAGCGTTTTTTTTTTTTTTGTTCTTTACTTCAGAAAGGTCGTGACACCAACCCCCAAATTATTTAAGCAAAGAAGTGAAATTGTTACACAGTTCTTTTAACATGTAATATATCAATATAGAAGTTTTGGAAAACGTAATATCGAAGGGTGCTTCGTAATTTTGATTATACTTCGTCTCACCCTAGGATGAACTGAAGGTAAAAGCTACGGGCCACCAGATCCAATCACAAGCCACTTAGAATTGCATGGGATTTTGCTTCGATGCACGTGTCGGTGCCTGCGTCTGGGATCCCTAATGAGTATGGGCGGACAATGGTTCGGATTCAATAGTGCTGAGTGACTCATGAACTTTACATCACAAAGGCAGCCACGACTTACACTCTTTGCAGTGTCGAGCTATAGAAATGAGGGAGCGCTTTTTGATTCGGAACATTATTCGTCCACCCCTAATCAATGTTAAGGACGCCAGAGTTTAGCGTGGAACGTGATTGGACCTGGCGGCCCGTGGCTTTGGCCTTTAGTCTATCGTAGGATGAGACGAAGTATAGTGGAATGATTCCAGTTTTTATAGCGCCATAAATAGCATCTTAAACTTTTTTTTATTTTAAAATATACATTATCTGTACAGTTCGTTACTTACTTTTTCAATTTATTATATCCAACCGAACGCTCACGTAAAATATCATGTACGATAAGATGTCATAACTCAAGAAATATTTTCAATATTGAAGACTGTGGTCTATTAAAAGCTGAATAATCAGCTAACAACTACAAATAATCGCAATACCGAGACATTAAAGTATTCTTGAAAAACAGTTCTTTAATTTGACATTAACTTTATAATTGTAGGATTCATAGAAAGTTATAAACCGTCAAAAAAGCACCAAACGTCATGCACGGTGGGGTTGCACCTTAATAGGGACCTTTAGCAAACCGTTGCCGTGTCCCGCGTACCGCACTACCGCAGCCTTTGAAGCAAACGGTTTGCTAAAGGTCCCTAATATCTGGACATACGACACACCAGGCCGACGCGCGGTATACATTCCCAAACTCGGGAAGCAGACGATGCAGGCCTATGTATAGTAAAATTGAGACGCCAGGGTATCATTACGTAACTAACGTAGAGGATACGGATGCAAGGAAGTACGGGTAACGTCTGCTTCAACTGAATAGACCACCCAAATCCAAAGTTTGTATTTTAATGTAAGATAGGGCATGGACCCCACCAAAAACCCGTTTTTTTTGTTTTTTTAACATAGGTTTTACGCTAGTCCCATAAATTGCCAGCATATCAGCAAAAGTGCAATTATTTTTTTACAAAAAAAAAAAAAAAAAATTCCGGAGTTTAGAGTAGAGGCAACTTCATTAAAAATAATGTTTGCGTACATATCCCAGACATGAGAAAATTGCCGCGTCTCCTTTGGCATGGAATGACCTAAGGCGAACGAGGGACGAAGTTGCAAGATGGCGGGGTGGCGAGATCGGGTCGCGATTCCCTAGATCAATTTTTGAGCGATGCTCCCTGCGCGGTCCCTAGATCTCCGGACGTCCTTTCCCGCTTTTTGGTGCACGTGCGCATTCCCTAAGGGTGGTATCACAGCCTTCTCTATACTGATAAAGTCTGGCAGATCGCCACGAGACGCGGCTGCTGAAAGTGAAAAGGTGGAGCGGCAGACAGCGGATGAGAGGCATGTAACGGGCGCCCCGCTGCGGCGAAACGCCGGGACACACTTGCTCCGAGCGAGTGTGTTCTGGCGTCCCGGGCTACGGCTTCTTTTCTCGTCGAGTTTGAAAATCATGTTTCGGGTTCTCGCCGCTGCAAAAGCTGTGCGCCGACTACAGGCTCCCCGAGAAATGCTATGAGCTACCAGATTCTTCCGCTCGAAATCTGCGACCGGGCGCTCCATGGCTCCATCGTCGAACTGCCAGGCTTTGCAAATATAGATGCTACGGCGGTATCCGCTGGGCGCCATACTTGAGCGCAGCGTTCACAGCCCATGCTCAAAACAGATGCCCTACTTATCTTCCGAGACTACTTAAAATCTTGGTCGTGTGAAGTGGACGTTCCGGAAACGTTATGGTATATCGCAAGCTCGCGCTCTGCAGCGGACACAAATATGGCCGCCAATTACTACCACCTGTCTCTCGGGGCGTGCTTGCCTGCTTTTTAGGTGCACGCAACCGGCGCAGGAACTACGCCGGAACCGCCTACCATTGTCGTCAGGCGCTTAAAGGGATGCTGAACCAAACATTTCAGTGTATGAAAAGTGGCGCACTAGGTGGCGCACCGTCTTTCCACGAGCCCGCAGCAACCAGCGTGCGCGAGCACACGCAACGAAATTGACGTCACCATATCCCATGAATGGGGGATATGATGCGGTAATTTCGTTGCGTGTTCGCGCACACCTGCGGCTGCTGGCTCGTGGAAAGATCGTGCGCCACTTGCTATACCCCGAAATGTTTGGTTCAGCATCCCTTTAACGGGCATCCGCTAAATGTCAGTGTACCATATAAGAAAACTAGAAATTTAAGCTACCACACACGTAGTATTATTTTTTATAAAAAAAAAAACACAATATTGCAACAAAAATATATATGACTGTCATAATAGGGGACAATTTAAGGATTTTCAAGAACCACCAGAAATTCCAGGGCTTTCAAGGTCTGGAAACTGCAGTTTTCAAATTCAACGGTCTTCAAGGACCCGTGCGAACCTTGGGTGAGCAGACACCAAGAGATATTTCCACCATTTTCCTTTCATCCTACTTCTCTAACATAAGGGTCTCCCAATAAGATATTTTTATATTTTGCTTGGTTGTCGTTCATGGCACGACTGGTGCATTTCCGACACCAACAATGTCTCTCAAACCGACCATTCATTAAAACAGTGTTTTCCCCACCGTAAATCCCCAATGTCTCAACACAAAACGGCGAGAAAACAATCTCCAAAAAAAGAAAATCCAAACTTCCAGGTTGAAATCAAGTGACGAATATTTATTTTTCAGAGCCTCTTGTCACAAACTATATATATATATAACGTTTCCTCACCACACAAAAACCACTAACCCCCCAAGTGCACTCATCGCTGAGCACGCAGCTGACCCACATCAAACGTGCACAGGGCTTCCGAGGCTTGATACACTCAAAAAAGTACTTATATACAAACATTTATTTTTCACCCCACCCAAATTGGTTTTTCCTCCTACTCCTCCACATATGCACCACCTTTAAACATTTTTTTTAAACGTTTCCACTCGAGCCCACTCGTCCTACAATATGTATAGTACATATACATTATATATATATACCGACTTCACAAAAGACGACTCGTCAATTAGCTAGAAAACAACCATACGGTGGGGACAAGAAGATTCTGTAGAAAGTGGTACTGCAGCCACCCCAAAATTGCTGCTGAGAAAGAGTGAGCAGAAAAAAACAAAAAAGATGACAGACAGGCACATTTGGTACAAATGCGCTGGAAAAAAGGAAATGAGAAACCAGGTAATACACTGAATTTTAAGATGCAAAAAACAGAAAGAAAAGCAAGTAGTCTCCAGCTCTGGTTCAGACAGAGTCCTTGGCCCCTTTCCCAATCAACTTCCCCGTGTTGCTCGATTTAAGGAAAGACGCAGCTCATGAGCAGCTTGATCATCACATAGAAGGGAGATGCAGATCTCTGGGGAACATGAGAAGGGGGTTGCGTGCACTTTTCGGATAGCATGAATAGGCATGAACACGGGCACACAAGACTCGACCACAGGTACACAGCCATCCCAGGCTGCCGCTTTTGAGGTAGAAGAACTGCTTCCAGCAGAGCTTCCCACTCCGGATGTTTTAAACTCAAACCAAATGAGAGCAAAATGTAATAAATGATAAAATGCAAAAGACAAAAAAAAAAAAAAAAACTTCCTTAAAAAAAAGTTCTTTGGATGGCAGAAGGCTCCCCCCCTCCGCCCCCCCAAAAAAGTAAAAATAATGAAGCGAATCAAACGAGAAAAAAAACACAGGAGTCCATGAGGCAGCAAAATACCTTTCGCTTTAAAACTAGAGGAATAAAAGAGAAGACACCGAAGAGAGTCAGAACTTTAAATACAGTCACGCACACACACACAGAGCTGAACTGCACACCACAACCCCCCTCCCCGATCCTGCGATTCTCCCTCTCGGCACGAGCCTTATACACTCCAATCACCAGGAATGTGGCGAGGCCCGCACGCCTCACCGGTGCACGATTGCAGACGTCACCAACCACCCTCAACCCCCCCCTCTCCCTACAAAGGTGAGAGGGCTACACACGCATGCACACAACCTGGGAGCCGAGTGCCGAAGCGTTTACGAACTGCAATCCGACGGCTTCTGCCACTAGCTTTAAGGAAAAAAAAAACAAAACAAAAAAACAATAATAATGAGCAAATCTAGATATAAAAAGAAGAGCAATGCTTTGTTTCAAGAAAAGTCACAGGGGGACCATGAGGAGAGTCTCTGAAAGTGGGTCACCCAATGATAGATAAACCACTAAAAAAAAAAAAAAAAAAAAAAGAAGAAGAAGAAGAAGAAGAAGAACACGAGGTAAGTGATTGCCCAGGTCCCAAAGACCACTGCCGACGGTGTCACGCGCAGTTCCGAGTGGCTTGACAAACGGGGATTGGGGGGGGGGGGACAAACAAGTGTGGGAGAGCAGGGAAGGAGGGGACAGGTCCCTTCAGTTCCCCCAGAAGGGGTATGCCTGGCGTAGCTGGTGGTGCTGCTTGGCCATGGAGGGAGGGGACGCCCGGGGGGGCACAAAGGCCGGGTACGAGGAAGAGGACGAAGGGTTAGACGACGATGGCGGAGGAGGCTGCTGTTGGGGCGGCGCTGGTGCTGTCACGGCCAGGAATCCGGGCTTCTCAAAAGACTGCGAAAGGGGGCAGAGGGAGGGGGGAGGGGGTGGCCCGTCACCATACCGCCCGGGCATCGTACCTCTCACCTCGCTAGCCAACTCCATTCCAAAGACGCTCAGCCAAAAATCGAAAAAGCATGTTTAAGGCTTTCCGCTTCCTTCAAGTATGCACCGTCGAGGAGATGGAATGCAATCCATCCCCCCGATCTTTCTATTGTTTGTGCAGTGCAAAGCATTCAAAAGACTGCTATGCTAGAAAGGACTTTAGAGAAGATCTATATTTCTGGCTGTCAGCCTCTGTTATGCTGAGGTTCGTTATGATCGACAATCATAACACGCCACAGCATCATCTTTCATCTACGGTTCCTCAAGGTACGAGCGAGCGGCAGTCCGACCTTGCTCATCGTAAAACGGACATCCAAAGAAAACGGGCTGGCTGGAGCAACTTCTCATCCAGATTTCCAACTCGCACTAAAGAAATCGAAAGGCCAAAGCCCCACACGAAACGAGCACATCTGCAACCTACCTTGAGCCATGCAGTCACCTATTTTGTTGCATTCCAGCCCTCAAAATAACACATGCACTGTTGCAGATTCTACAAATGCAACAAAAAAGCTCAAACAAGCCTGCTCTGTCACAAAGACTGGCATCATCAAGGCGCAAAGCTTGTTGCAGCAAAAAACCACACTCTAAAGATAATTCCAAAGTAAAAAGGGGCTTTCACTTCACAAGTGCAGAAAGGAGGAGGAAAAAAAAAAAAGTGAACACAGATAGAGGTTGAGGGAACCTTTCAGAAACAGACAGTAGAGAGCACATCCTGAGTTCAGCAGAGAGAGAGACAGAGAGAGAGAGACAGAAAGAGAGCAAGCGAGAGAAGGGGGATGCAGGGCAGACGAGAGAGGATCAAGAGCAGAGAGAGAGAGAGAGAGCATGTGGAGGAACACAGAGGAGAAACCGTGGGGTCAGTACCTTTGCTAAATGGGGGTGGGTTCTAGCGTGCCCTGACCTGGATGCGTCAGCCGAACCCACTGCAAGAAAGACACAGGGCTTTTCTGTCGGCTCCGCCTGCCCCTCCCTCCCCCCTCCCACCCTTCCCTTTCCCAGTCCCCTTCCCTCCCCCACCAAGGCAGGCACTGGCTAGCCTTCCTCTGCATCCCTCCTCTTCCCTCCCCACATCTCTCTCTCTCTCTTTCGCTTGTCCCTCCCAATCCTGCCACCAGAAAGTCTCTCTCCGCAAGCGGCAAGGGGGCGGGAAATGCTCTCGCACACTTCACTCACACGAGGAACTGAAACACAGACCACTGGGGTGCACTGGGGGAGTCCCTACTCACACGATCCGGGGATCCCCTTGGCCTGTCCCTGGGAGCCCGCTCCGTAGGCACCTTTGGCGTAGTCCGGGGTCTGCGTCAGGCCCTCATACCCTCCTGCATAGGGCACAAGCAACCCATCCCACCAGATCCCAGTCTGCTCGCTCAAACTACCGCCCGAGGACTATTCTCACTCATCAGCAAGCACACGGGATCGCAGAAGGATGCAAGAGTAATGCGTCTGAGGTCAGTGACAGGTGAAGAATTCAGTAATGATTTGTCCCGTCCTACTAGTTCTCCTACTAATGCAAGATCTGGGACAAACACAAGGTTACATACTACGTCCAATATTTATACCATAAAAACAGTAGCTTGAACATGTCCTTGGGATTTGTATCGGCAATGATGCGCCGCAAGGCGAAGTCCCAGTGATCAAAATGTAATAATAAATGCTCAGAAATGACCTTGGCTTATAAAATTATTACACTAGAAGAACAAAGCAAATCCAGGTGGATAGAGTCGCACATTACTGCCCACAACAAAAACATGCTTTGGAACACAGCTCAGTTTAACCCTATTTGGGGAAAAAAACAAAAACAAAAAAAATTGTAGAGCCCTTCTACTTCATCTGAAGATGGAAGACCAGTGAAGCTGTTCTTTACGATGTCTAAGACGACCTTGAGGACACTGGTTAGGACGACCTCGAGGACGACTTTTAGGACGACCTTGAGGTCGATGCCTAGAGATAAGGGATCAGGACCTCACTACAGTCTAAGCTAATTATAACAGACCTGGTTACAACAGACATTTGGATATAGCATACCAATTTCTTTAATTTCGGTTGGCGTTCGTCTATGCAGCATTCACTCAACTTCCTATCTGCATACAACATACTCCTTTTACAACAGACCGAAATCTTCGTCAAAATCAAGGTCTGTTATAATGAGCTTAGACTGTATTTAACAATGCCAAGGAAGGCTGACTCACACTGGTTGCCCCCTTTTTATTTTTATTTACTCATACTTGCCACGACCAATGGGGAGTTTTCTGTCAACATCGAAGACCCATTTCTTCCCAGATCCTAGCGTATAACAACTTTGCTGTAAAAATTAGTTGGAATTTGAGGTTTCTTGCTTTCCTTAGAAGCTGCAAGCTGCACCGGCAAGCCTATAGATGCAAATGATCAAACAGAAAAGACTCCACAAATGGACAAATCCCAAGTCAGGAGAGAGGGCCTGGAACGGAACTCACCAGAGGCGAATGTGTGCGAGGCGTACGCATTGGCTTTCTGAAACTGCGCATTTGTCGTGGGGCCATGGGCATTGGTCGCTGGAGGTACCTGCACAGTGAATCACAATCAATGAGCTTTCACTCGAAAGCATGTTCACTCTCACAATTTCCCTATGGCAGGATTCAATCTCCACTGAACAACATACAGGCACAAAGAAATTTACAGCTGGTAACTAAGAAAGACTAAAATACAAAAATATTGAGTTGAAACATTCTCAGTTGCGCCGTTTTCCCAGCAATCACCGACGTCGATCCCATGCAACCACTTTGCCCGGGAGGCGGCCGCAGAGACTCACGGGAAACATGGGCGGCGGCCCGTAGTGGTGGATGGAGCCGGGCATCCCGGTGAAGTAGTAGCCGTAGGGGGGAGGCAGGGCGTTGAGGAAGGGCTGGCCCGCCGCCTGCTGCTGCTGCTGGGAGCCCCCCGGGGCGGCCCCCGCCCCGGCTGCCCCCACGCCCCCCGCGTGCTGCTGCCCCTGGCTGGCCCCGGGGCCCCCCGCCGCTCCTCCGGGGGAGCTCTCGCTGCTCTCCCCCCGCCCAAACTTGGCCTCTGCACAAGCCACGCCAAATGCTCACGGACGGCCCGCAGGCGCAGTGCGGCGCAACGACACCCCACTGCTACAGTTTGTGCAAACCACACGCTCCGAGGACAATGCATTGCTCCCCCCCCCCCCCCGCTTCGTTCCCAAGGTCGACAATGTCGCGAAAGGTGCGACCGCTCCTACGATCGCGACGCCAGCTGTGGCAACTTGAAGCCATAGTCGCCGGCAGGCAGACTGAGAATGGCAGGGCATCTCTCTCGAATGCCTGGCCTCCGGCAGTGGCTCGTTGCCTCCCGCTGTGCTTGAGCCACACGTGCACGCTTGAGACTCAAGAAATGCCAAAGCAATGTCAGAGGTAGAAAGCTCGTGTTGGGGGCTAGACAACTTCAGATAACATCTTCTAGAGATATTAGTGCAGTTGAAATTTCAGGGTTTAATATGACCATTAAAGGGACACTGACACCCCCCAAAAAGTGTTTAGCTTAATTGCACAAAACCAAAACACGAGCACGGAAGCTCATGGCCGGAAATTACGTGGATACACCCGACCGAGTTCTCTCCTCTACTCTGGGGGTGTGAAGCAGACGACGACGACTACAAACTTGAGTGCACTATTTGTTGTGCAATTGTTTCGCACTTATGTCACATTCCACTCAATATTCTGCGCTTGAAGATCAATTGGCCGGCACCACGAATGACAGTTCCGAAGTAGCGGCCTCACATACGTTGCAAAGTTGGTCCGCCTAGTGAGGCAATCACGTCGTCCAGCCCGTGGTACGTCGCCATATTGAGAATGACGTGTTATGTACTCCCTGGGATTAGTGTAACATTTTTTTTTTTTTGCGATCAATGTATTAGCATTTTTGTGGAGGACACAACAATTAGGTTGATAATATTTTCTACTCTTTAACATTGAACGTGCGTGCGCCTTGATGCCCCACAACTTTGAATATATTTGGCACACATAGTTCGTATGCCACAAGACCATGGGAAAGAGAGTGAGCGCGACTGAAACCAGCCCATTATCGATCGGCTGTTTTTGGGCGGAAAGAAAACAAATTTTGAGCAGCAAATTTAGTTCTGGGTAGTTACTCTTATAGGTCATGTTCAAACAAAAACTTTGCAAGCATAAATACCCTGTCAGTGTCCCTTTACATCCTGAAAGAAGTGTTCAGACCTTAGTTTTAGATCAAAGGATGCCACATGCAAAACTTTGAGTTGTGACAAAACATACGAGTTGTGGGAACAGGAACAGCTTTTCAAAACATGCTTGCAAGCAGCTTGGATATGAACCTTCGAATAAATGTAACTATATAAATGTGCACTTTCTGAGTGCAGTACTTAAAAAAAAAAAATGTTTGTGACTTGTACATCAAGAACCAGAAGGGACACTGACACAGGCGCTGGCAGTTTAAACCTCTCCCATTGCCAAAAGCTGGCATTCGTCCTTGATTAACAGTACTCAGATTTTACACTAGCAAAAGGACGACAGAGCTCCCCCACTTTCCTCGCAGTCTGCGACCCTCCAGACGTGACAAAAAAGAGGAAGACTCACCGGCGTAGGCCATGTTGTTCAACGTCAGGTCCCTGCCGGTGAGGCTTGTGGTAGGTACTTGAAACTGCATGTCGTAGTAGCTCTGCCAAGGGAGCGGGGGAGGAAGAGACAACGGGGGGAGGGGGGACCAGGCATTTCAAATGGAGAGCCCCCAAAGCCCCCCCACGGGGCATACGGACAGAGTAACGCAACAGTGCCAAACTTGCCAGGTCTACGGCTAGATTGCAATGGGCACGCCACTAAGCTATACTCTGCTCGTAGATGACTTCACGAGCCATCGAAGTCGATCCAATGCTGTCCTAGTGTCACGTGACCCCCAAGCGGGGCGCGGCGAGCTCTAGGGCGCGTGGTCACGCGATACGCTCGCGGCACTGGGCATGAATTGAAAGTGCCTGATACCGTGCATTACCAGTATGCTAGATGCATTACAATTTTTTACACAAATCAAGACTGATGACACTCGCTGCCAATAAAGAAAGCTTGATGTGGTCTATTAAAAATTAAATACTTTCTCATTCGGTAGCCTCGCTTACAAGGACAAACATTATCTGTACGGAGGACATAAAATGAACCTAGGTGTTAGTTTCAGTGGGGGTTCATGGCTACATTTGCATACCTGCCAACCCAGCAATGTAGAAATTAGGGAGACTGACAAGAAAAAAAACATACCGTAAAATACCGGGCAAGCGCCCACTCAAAATTTAGAGATAATCGCGAAAAAATGGGGGATGGGCGCTTGTCCGGTCATCAATTTTAAATATAAATGTACTGTGTATATTTTTTCATATCTTAGAAATTTGGATATGGGCGCTTATTGTGGAATGAGTGGATGCGCGGTATTCTACGGTAAAGGGGGGGGGGTCCCACAATTTTATATTTAAGCGATCTTGCTTTAGAATTAGAAACTCTTCAAAGTATGATCGTTTCGAGCAGCATCTGAATGACTAAGACTAAGTTTCCAATATTCTTGTAAGAAAAAAGGGCTCAACTTCTTTACTTTTGAAGAGACCTCGCCATTGAAGATTTCGCCAGCTTCAGGAACTTGTCGGAATATATCAGTTCAAAACAATGTCAAGCTTGGTGGCCCTTTACCACGAGGAGGTCTCCAAGAGTCTTGTTATAGATTATCTGAATTCGATTCTTGTCTTTTTCACCGTGCTGAAGTTTCGTTCACATTCAGCATTGCTATCTGGTATGGTGAGTAGGTACTTGCAGCCGTCAGTCTTGCCACTTCGCCAAACTTCAGTCTACCATAAATGCTGGTCATTCTCCCCACTTCTGACCACCAAACGTCACTCGTCTTCATTTAAGATGTCATTAGAAAGATCAAGTGCCTGCAGCTCCGCAAATTCCACTTCCAAGGCATCCAAAGGCCTCTTCTCTTGACTCGTTCTTTTCCAAGGGCAAAAGTTGTCGGAAGGACTTAATGAAGAAGACTCCTGAAAAACACGTTGCTCAGAAACTTTAAATTGGCAACTACTGCCTTTTCCAGGGTTTCATTCTCAAGTGGAAATTTATGTCCGATGTAGTCACATGCCACAACAAAAGTACTGACGAACAGGAGAAAGAAACTGCTGCTTCTCGCTGGTAGGTAGCCCTTCCACAACAGGCAATGTGCAGCTCCCAAGAGCCAGATCTTTGTTGCCTTTTTGGTTCTTAAAGTCTTGGTAGAGAACTTCCTGTTGTGAACTGCAGGCCTTCATGGCCGAGGGCAGGACAAAACCGGTCATAAGGTTCCTCTGCACCAACAGGGACTGCAGCAGATGAACTTGGGGTGCCTGTGATTTCAAGTTGGCAGTTGGCTTTTCCATGAACAGGTATCACACTCTTCAAGAAAAGGCCATACACCAAGTTGATGTCTGTCGTGAAATGTAGATCAGCCGCTCCTCACGGGTCAAGCTGACATGTCTAGTACTCTCAGAAAAGTCTCTGCCCCGTCCCCCTCCGGCTTCTGGCAACTGTTCGCAGTAGCAGATAGAGCCGAGTTTTGTTGACCTCGGATAAATGGTGCTGCTAAAACTCAGTATAATGAAAGTCTGTCGACACCAGTTTTTTTTACGCATTTATATTTATGTTTCAACGACAAGACTTATAGAAAAATTACCTTTTATCGAGCAGGTATTTGCGCAACTTGCTATCTTTTTACAAGTCCCCCTATGACGTCATGCCACGTGGTTCTCATGGCTGCCGCTCGCAGCTTCAGGTCGGGAATTTTAAAATTTTTGCCTCGCGATTATGCGGCGGAATCGCAACATTACAAAGGAAAAAGGTGAGTTTTCTGTCCTTTGTGACAAAATAAACAATATCAAAAGGAGAAAATGCAAATTCTTTCGACGTTAAAATCGTTGCACAGCTCCTTTAGACATAACACAGCCCAATGCATAAAAAAGCAAACAGCATAAATGCAAATTATTTTAATGGCAGCTCTCAAGAAGTGTCCTGGTACCGGGTTGGTTACTCTTATGGATTGCCAATAGAAGGCATAGTCAACAAAAGAAACACAACTTAGCAAATGCAAAAAAAAAGAAAAAAAGTTTTGATACCTTAAAAATAAAAAAAGATATACGATATAACACAAACTGACCAAGGGCATGTAAAGCAGAAGAAAAGAGGCCAAGGGGTTGACATACAAATTTTCTTTCTACTCGTCGTCGCAGCTCAGCTCCTTGTCACTGTCTGTGAGCATAGCGCCGTCCTCGGTACCATCGATGTTGCGAGAGGCAACACTCGAAAAACGCGTATGCCACAACTGAGCGTGGCATAGCCTCCCACGCCCTTGCTATCCACTACGCGACTTGACGCCAGTTTGATGCGTCCCGACAGCAAGAGCTCCTTGTTCTCTGCAATCCACTTCCCATACTCACTTCGCACGTGCTCCAGGAGTCGTTTGTTGATGCAGACATCCAGGGGCTTAAGCTGCGATGCAATGCCACCAGGTCGCTCTTGGCCTCCCTGTTTGCATTTTCACTTTGTCCGTTAACTGACCCCTGAACACATTCAGCACAAGCGTTGAAGGAGTCTTTAACGAAGCACCCATACGATTGTCCCACACAATGCAAAGCCAAGTGCGCATCATCGCGCTGTCCTTCCAGCCTTCCTTGCTGCACCCGATGTGCATGCGCGGAGGGAAGGTCTCGTTCTTCGGAATCTTCTTTCTCTCGAAGATGAGGAAGGACGGCAGCTTGTGTGCGTCGGCCGTACATGCAAGCATAGCCGTGACTAGAGTCTTCTCGGTGCCCGTCGTACGCAGGTGCACTTCCTTGCTACCACAAACGTCCAAGGCATAATTAGATGGCATGTCCGGGAATGTTGGAGCTTCGTCGGCATTGTTGATCTGACCAATTATGTAGTTATGCTGCCTGTGCAAGGCGATTTCATGGCACTGAAATGCTGTTGGCTTCTCTTTGTACTCGGCTGGGATTTTCTGGCAGATAGAGGTCCTACGGCGAAGCGAGGATGCGGCGCGATGCATAAGTTGCCGTTTCCCCGATGATGGCAGTTGTTTTTGTGCATCCACATCCATAGCGCTTTGCGTCGTCACACTTCGGAAACAACGGTTCGGCGTGATCACTCACGCTCAGCGGCAGATTGTGTTCATCAAGAAAACCTGTGATCAAGCACCTGGCTCGGATCTCGCCGTTTTCAGTTACTTTGAAGAAAACTGCCGATACTTCCCTGCTTTTCTGCGGCACGAAGGTAGTTTTAGTGCTTTTGTGAGGAGATTTGAACCTTGATCTTGGTCTTCCTGCCGTGCGTAGAGGCAATGAAGTTTTTAGCCAAGTTTGAGATGTTGTCTGTCCCTTTTTCTTCCTACTTCACAAGTTCCCGTTTTTCAAACCAGTCTCAGGTTTCAATCACGTGTATGCTCACATCACAGCCGCAAGTCATACAGAAACCGAACTTGTCACCTTTTCGTGACGAGACGAAGGACGGAAACTCGGCCGTGTAGAACATAAAAACACTTGCACATACTTCTTTTTGGCTTTAGAAAGCGCCATAGCTCAAACGAAATGCGGAAGCAGAAAGGAAAAGCCCCAACGTGTTCTGGCAGTTCCATGTTCAAAACTTCGTTCCTGCTTCGGTCGGCTGTCTAAGCCTAGTACAACCAGTGCACTGCGGAGCACACAGATCACATGGGACAAGGTTTCGTATCTTGGCCAACGGAAATCTCGAACATCTACTGCGATGTCGAAGTCAATGTTGGAGTAATGAAAATGTACCCGTCGGAGTGACCTAGTCTAACACTCAAGTAACTCGCATCTACCCCAGTTGTCACGTGACGACCTGCCGGGGAAACCTGGACCGCCTAGACCTACTCCAAAGTAACTCGCACATGAAAACAAAAAAAAAATATCTTTTTTTTTAGATTTGTGGTTATGTCCTTGTACAATCGGGAGATGTGGCCGATATTTGGAAGGCTCCAGGACGATTCGGGTAGAGTTGGCAGGTATCCAATAAAATGCTTTTCGCTACTCGTGCCACCAGCGTCGTTAAAGTCTGGATGGTTTAAACAGGTTGGGGCATTTGCAATTGGGAAACGGCTATTGCAGGACAGTTCAAGCAAAGACACACCAAGACAAAACTTTCAATACAGAAACTACACAAGCAGCCTGTCACCCAACTTAAGGGACTACCTTTGCACTCATACAGAAAAAAAAACAAAGAAACTACAAAGACATTTAAGATAGTTATTCTGTAGGAATGCGAAAGCATTGGTATACATAGCGTACTCCTACAAGCCGCGCTGAGCCTGGCCGGGCAACCTCTGCGTAGGCTGCCCAAGTGGACTCTGCAACCAACCGCTCTGCACAGCCCGGCCACCCTCTCCCTCTTATCGATGGCCGGGCCGCTGTGCCATGCCGTGGGGTGGCGTTCCTTGGAAATATGCCGCGCGTCAATCAATGGGAGTTTTCTATCGATTCGCTGCTACATACTAAAGGCTTTGCTCTATGGGACGGGTGAATTTAGGCTTGGCACGGCTTCAAAAGCTGTCAATGCCGGTTTGCTCCATGGGACCCCCCAGCCCCAGTAAACTGCACTTTACAGACTACAATCCGGTATTCCAGATGTTGAGCGTAGCAGCCCTCATTCCAAGTACCGCACCCGACGTCCCCGAAACTAAAGCAGACAGGTGCACAACGCACCACTAAAGCGTGCGCTACCGAACCGAAACACCAAAGATGTCGATCGACCGAGGTCTAAAATACTGTCAGTGAACAGTGAAGCAGGCTGCACGACACCACCCTCCCAATTTTCTGCCACAAAAACACCGACAGGTCGTTTAAAAAAGAAAACAGTGCCCACTGCAAGCGCCTCATTACTTGGCCACCTCGGCACTCAATTTCCCCCCTTCCAGAAAAAAAGCTGCGGCGCACTTCGTGCTGCGCGACCCTTGCGATGCACAACATACGGAGACCCTTCACACCTTCGGAATTGTCTACTGAACCAGTTTCAAACAGGGTTGAAGGGACAACTCCAGCCTTCCCAGCCTGCCACGGTAAACTGCACAAAATGGGCACAGATGACCGTGCAGCAGAATCCCGAGGCTTGGGTGAAAAGCGACCAGAGTGTTCCCTTTAGGTTAAGAACGGACCACACTAATGTCGTGAGAAAGGCTTCGCATCAAAGCTTCAGGCAAGCAGGTCAACAGCCGGCAGGAACAAATGCAAGTCAACTTACTTTCGCAGGGTGCTTACCGTGACTAAATTCCAGAATTTCCCCATTAACCTGGCATGAGCAAACATTTAAAACCTTCAGTACGGACAGCAACGCTCGAAATCACGACATCCTTATTAGGGGCTACAGGTGCAGCTACAAAATAATTCTTTCCATACAGTAAGCCTCCTTTCTACACAAAAAAACAACAAAACATTCCCAACGTCTCGATGTGAATACTTTTAACGCTTCCAACACCATTACGAGTGTAGTTCAACTTTGCCTTACTGCTTTCATCCTTTTGCTACAACAGTTGCTACCAAACGGAGGTTCTACAGCAACACCCTAACATTTGCTTTGATTCCTCTCAAAAGGAGCTGAAAACTCATGCAATGCAGTATCATCTGTTCACAAATCTTCACCCGACTCCCACTAAGTTTTGCCCAAATCCGTATATGTCCCAGAATTCCCTAGAAAATCCAAATATTCCATAACATTCCCGAGTAAATTTTCTAGTAAATCCGGAATTCCCCTAAAAAACACTGTATTCCTAAGCATTTTTTTTAAAGAGAACTCTTGAAAAAGCAAACCTTCCCTAGAATTTCTCCGAGTGACCTCCCCAGAAAGCCCAAAATTTCCTAGGATTTCAATGATTGCTGTTAAAAGCGTTTTCTGCACGTAAGCACCCTGATTTAGTGAGCTGCGCCGCAGGAAGACATACTCTCAGAATCCAGCAGTTTCATGAGAGACAAGCAGTAAGCTCGCATGCTCCCACTGGTAACGCCTGCCCAAAGCTTTGTGGCAAAGCCTCGCAAAAATAAAGAAGAACAAAAGGACTTTCTCCTCCTCCCATGACACAGGGACAGTGGTTAGTACAAAATGCTTGGTCACACAGAAAAACACAAGGCAGGGGGGGTACCGACGGTGCCAGTCATCTGGCTGCTCAAACAAAACAGGCACACCGGAAGCGATAGAGAGGAGAGCCTGTCCACACGACTGCAGCAAACAAGAAACAAGGGCAAAGAAGAAAAAAAAAAAAAGGAAGCGGGTGTAGGGATGGATGCGGGAAGGGGGTGCAAAGGGAGAAACGGAAAGAGGAAAAAAAATACAGGAGGAGGAGAAATATGAGAACAGAAAGAAAAAAAAAAGATAAAATCATGAACCAAGGAGACATACCAGGGGTTGCATTCTAGACTGCAGCAGATGCAGGTCTTCGTAGCCATACAAAGGCTGCTGCTGCTCCGGGGGGAAAAGAAAGAAAGAGGTTCCCCAAAGGACAGAAAAAAAGGGGAGGAAAAACAAAAAGGAGGAAAAAAAAAGGAGAAACAAAAAAAGGTTTGGTCATGCTCCAGAAAACAGTTGGCAGTAGATCATCAAACTAGCAAGAAATGACAACAAATGCACTGGGAGAGAGTACCCACTGCATCGACCATTACAACCCAGACCAAAAGACCCTTCTAGCGAAATGCAAGGCCAATAACTGAGCAATAAAATATCACAAAATCGTCAGAGTTGCCAAAAAAACCCATGCATTAGTCAAAACAATGGGAAGAGCTAACAAAGCATTGGGGGAGGGGGGGGGGGAAACCAGGTGCTACAACTTAGTTCAGAGAGCTGAGCAAAGCAATGGCCTAGACCTCTATCCTCCAGTCTAACACCCAAATCCAGCGAGCTTGAGGAGTCAGCTAATTTGGAATAACGTGCTAGGACAAGCCGATAGCTTCCCGACATGCTAAGCGATGCGTGTGATAAATACTAAACCTAATACAATAAAGCCCAGTTAATATTGTTAAAAAAGATGGTTAGGGAAAACATACTGAAATGTTTCTGGGAAGGTGGGGGGTGGGGCCTAACAGATTAACTCAAAATTTATTTCACATGGACTTTTACAGCTGTGAACTAATGCATTTGCACAAATACAGGTTGATGTGCGTGTCTATGCAAAAGTTGATGCACACCGATTTGAAGCTGCAAAACTTGATGTGAGCAGCGCAGCACATATGCCACAGCATGGAGCCATGTGGTCGACATTACAATAATTTGAAATTACTGAAGTAGGAGACAATCTCTTATCACAGCCACTGCCATTTAATCATTGTGTGCTCTATCCTTGCAACAATCCCGGTATCACAGTCGGAAGGTTAAGATGATGACTTGACCAGTGTGGCCGGCCAACAGGCAAGTTTCAGCCAAGGTTGGAAAAGTTGAAAAATAAATGTTCGTATAAACACCTCCCTAAAAGTGAGCACCTTCCTTTTCTACGACACCATAACTGCCAAAGGACACAAACTCGAAACTCCATGTGAAATAAAATTAGCATCAGAGAAACCAAGAACAAGTGCAAAGATGGGAGAAACGGAAAGATGGATGGGCCACTGTCAAAGCCTGAATCAGTTCCAAGCCTAGTCCAAGGTCATGTCTGCCAAAGCAAGAGGCAGAGCATAAAGATTTAAAAAAGAGAGGGGGCAAAACAAAAGAGTGTGGCCAATACCGAGCAGGCCAGTGCGTTCTGTCAGTTGCGTCAGGTGGCCATTTTTGTACGTAACAACCGGAAAGGCAGGCCGCAACAAATGAATTGATGCACATATTCATAGTTCGAGTTCAGCAGCCGGAAAAACGTATACGCAAAGTTCTACTTACATATACTATCAAAACATGTCAATGAAGATACCACTTGCACAAAAAGAAAAAGAACTACTAGGAATTGTGCAGGATACTCAGTTGCTATCAGATGCTAAACTTTCATCATTTGTGTACGGTACTGATCCTAGATATAACAAACTGATATTGGCAGTGGCTTTCCTACGGCCTCTATGTGCATTGCACTAGACAAGAATTTCAAGCGTTCCAATCTCTCGACGACTCTTGGTTCTCTCGAGCAACCTCGATTTACTTTTACTCTAAATATTTCATTTTCCCGGTGTAACTCAATCAATTGAGAGTTGCCAGTACCAAGTTGGTATTGTCAGATGTCGTTAGTTTGCACGCAATCATTGCTGCTTCTATCACAAATACAGAAGCTCAAAATGTCAGAATAAACCAGCTACAGAAGTGGGAGGTCAACTCAACTAACGAACACTCTCCAAAGCCTCTCTGACTGAGAAAACACGAGGCCTAACCTTGACTCAAATGGAATAAGTGAGAAATAATCTCAAAATCAAAGGGAGCTTCCTAAACAGGGCTCTGGCTGAGTATGAAAGAACCAAGCAACTGACGAGGTTTACTGTCTGCTCAACAATCGACACTAGCATCTACCGAGTGCAGAGCTGTCATCCCTTACAAAAACATGGAGATCACTGAGGTGCAAGCAAAGCTACGGCCAAACCCAACCACCACTTCCCAGTAAAGAAAGACGACTGAGGGCACTCACATAGAAGGGCATGGCTGCATTGCCCACCAGGTACTGATGACTCAGCATTGCAGCCGGCACGCCGGGAGGCAAGTTGGGCAGGGTCTTGCCTGCTGCAATGCACAAGCAAGTTGTTACTCCTGGCACCGAGCTGTAATGATTAACACCCTTCACAAAACTATAAGCAATAATTTGTACCATAGAGCATAACAAAACTTGTACTAAGACCTATAAAGACCCTCTGAAAAGGAAACTGCAAAGAAAGTTACAAGATTTAACTGTCAGAAAGTTAGGAAAGAGCTACAAATAGGCCCTTTTTCTGATATTACCTCAACAGCTTTCACAACAACCACGACAGCTTTAATTATGGACACCAGATAGCACGCCAACCATTCTTCAGCATCTAAAAATAAATTAATTTCTGTATACCAAATTAGAGTAGCATTGGGAAACGTCGGCCAAACAAACAGGGTACTGGAGGACAACACCCCAAAGTCCATTCTAAGGAAGCAAGAAAGATCTTTCTAGGTCCCCCAAATCTTTCTCGACGTCCTCTTTACCCACCCCGGAAATAGTCGCACGCGGCGAATTGGCAAGTTCCTGTTTGCGCAGACTTCGGACCTGCGCACGACAACTGTGACGCCATGCCGTCCAAAGCCAATCCCGCAGCACTCACTGGCAGACATAGAGTTCTTGAGCACAGAGGTGGTGGCAGTGGCACCCGCCAGGGAGGAGGCTGTTGTGGCCAGTGTGGAGGCCGGCCCCGACGGGAGGCCTCCGCCCGTCGCAGACCCGTGGGAGTTCTCGTACGTGTGCTGCAAAGTGGATCGGGGAAGATCGGGTGAGCGGGGTGTGCTCGCCCCCTTTTTTGTTTGGCAACCAATTCAGTGTCGCCATCCATCCGGTAGCCCTGGCCAACTTCCGGTCTGCATATATTTCTTAAAATCTTACACATCCTTCTTCCAGCGTGGGTGCAAAACCATTTCTCAAAAACAATGTGCAGATTCAATCTCGCAGATGCCGCAAAACCTGCTGCAGAGTTCGGGACTGGAAGTGTTTAAAAGCTATTACCACGAGCTGCTATCACCACTTCAATCTCCCCCTCTATTCCTTACTTCTATTAAAAAAAAAAAAGGTGCACAAATATTTAAAACTATTTGTGAATAGTTCCTGCTATTTGATTCAAAACTTAGCAACCTTGTACTACTTGTTGGTTTCTTTCTTAACATTCCAAGATGATTACCGATGTCCATATAATTTCACAATTTCTTGCACCAAAGGTCAACGAGCAGCCAGAAAAGAAAAAAATCTGCTTCAATTGCTTTTTTTTTTTTTTTCGTTCGAGAAAAGGGGACTTTCCCTCCTCCTCTCTACGGGGAGTAGCTCAGAGACCCGGTTCCGTGGTGAGAGGATGAGAGAAGAGTGTGACAGGGAATGCAAAGAGGAAAACTGGGAACCAGCTTTTTGGCTGGCAGAAAACGGTTCTCTAGGTCAGCCTTTAAGCTTCGCCGCATTGCAGCCGCGCTCTGCTGCCAAGCTTCACCACTTTGCACCGGCTCGTGCACTTCAAACTTTACCGTCACGCGTCGGCGTGCTTCCGGCGTTTACTGAACCAACAAAGATCACATCAGCAGTGTCTCCATATCCAGGAGTAAAGAGAGATTCTTGAGGCGCACGTGCCGGTACAAAGTGATCAACCTCCCTCCACACGAATGCGCTGGAGCAAAGCTTGATTCGAAAAATCGCAGAAAACATTTTCCTTTTTTGAATATTAAAAAGATCCCTAAATACAGTGAAACCTCGTTAATTCAAGCCCCGCTAATTCGGAAAACTTGGTCCCGTCCCGTCAAATGTGTGTATTAGTGAATGGCACAAAACAATCATTAATTTGGAGGCAGTGCGGTGCGCTATATCTAATTCGGACCAATTCGGCAGGTGGCGCAAGCTCCTGTCCGTTCCAAAGGGTATGACCGTTATTCATACAAGGTGCACAAGCGACTCTCCGGTTTTTCCCACGATTCTTGTCTTTTTCAGTTTTCCGTGTTTCGCATCAGTTTTGCTCTGGTGTGAGCGATGACCGAAGCGGAAAAATCGCAACATGCGGTGCTGTTGTTCCCGCGCGCGCCATAGCGAGAGTGACAGTCACGTTCCACACCTCAACACGAGCATGGCCAGCAGAAAGAGACCTATCCCGAAACCCCCATTTTAACAGCTATAGTGTCCCTCAATTTTCCGCCGGCCACCTCCGCGTTGAAACGCGCAACGCGACTGGCACTCTCGCTATCAGCGCGCTCGGGAACAATAGCACCGTGTGTCGCGATTTTGCCGTTCCGGTCATCTGTTACTTGTGCTGCTCTTTTTCTGTTGCAGCTGTATCAGGCCAAGAATTTAGCGACAAAGTGGAAATGCTGAGCGCCTTGAGGGACGGCGTCAAGAGAAGAACTTTGGCCTTGTACGTGAAAAATGAGGCCGAGATATTGTAGGCTTTCGAGAGCGACAAGTGCAACGCGAAAAGAAAGCAGCTGCGGAGGGTGGTGCACCCAAAACTAGAAAAGGCCTTGCTTTGGTGGATTGTCAGTGAACGGGATGTGCAGCTCCTGACAGTGCGGGTGCGGTGGAGGACTTGACCCCGCTAAGCAAAGTTGTCGTCTCTGCCCAAATGTCGTCCAGAAAGCAGGCGGCAATAAGAAATTTCTTCTTAAAATAAAAGTATGAAACAAGGAAACGTTACCGCAGTTTTCTTTGTCCTTTCAATATTTCGACTTTTGGATAATTCTGACATTTTTGCCGGTCCCATGAGATCCGAATTAGCGAGGTTTCACTGTACTTCGAACAGTACAAGTTTGTTCCGAACCAGATGGTAAACACTACTAACAGATTATTTGAAGTTTTGAATATTTTCGCACCTCCCGCATCAATTCTTTCTTTCATACTGCCGATACCTAGAGCCTCCAAAACAACCGTATATTCAGCCGCCCCCGGGATTCGACACTCGCGGTAAAAAACACGGCTCTTTCCGTCTAAAGAGGCACAGTCACCTGCTGCTGCTGCTGTTGCGCAGCCTCCAGCACAGAGTCCTTGACCGAGTGAGAGCCCAATCCCGACGTGCCCGACAGTTTCGAAGAGACTCCGTAGCCCCCCTGCTGCTGCTGCTGTTGGCTAGACCCCGACGAGTATGCATTGCCCTGGAACGAACCCTGATAGCCTGCACACAGAAACAACCAGACAGGCACAAGTGAGCACTCCATGCCTCTCTCCGAGGACTTCACGAGTGCTGCCCAGTCCAGCCCTTAGAGTCGCAACCAGGGCAAAGATCGCGCCAGGTGAGGAATCAAAAAAGGTGCGGCACGACACAATTCAAGTTGAAGTTTATCTGGTTTCTCAGGGGCCAACCCTGGTAGGGAGGTAGAGACAAAAGGTGTTTCTGCCTGACTGGGCCTATGCCCCCCCAAGTAACTGATGCAGTGCATTAGAGACTCAATACAAGGAAATGCCATCTATAGAGGCAGCGACGGCAATAGAGGCTGCACCTACATCACATGCTCTTTGCCTCCTGTCGTGCCTCGGCCGCGCATGCGCTGACGTGTCGCCGGAGGCAGAGCACCTACCGTGCAGATAAATGGACTACTTCCAAAACCGACGCGCCCCATCGCGGCGAAATACCGCGCAATGCACTCTGGGAACTAGTTGGCCACTCAGTTTCGGTTTCGACTGAGCAGCTTCATCTCATGCTATCACGCCGCGACCGAACGCACTGCTTGTGTTTTCGGTTATCTGACACTCATTCTCGAGCGATACAAAATGAAGACCGGAGCACTTTCCTTGGTTCCCAAAACACCGGATATTGTGCGTGCGTATGCGAACGTAGTAAGTCGTGGCTTAGTCACCTCACCCCACGAGTGCATGTTTGAGCTTAATTTCAATAATCCCCTCTAGTACCAGTGAACTAGAACTGAAATTCATACATATGGAGCCTTACACATACTTTTTTTTTTTTTATGCCAAACGTCCGTTTCTTGTTACCTCATTGGGCGGAAAGCGACCCGCATCCTCACAGGGTATCAAAGTTGAGCCCAGCATTTACGCATAAATTTTTAAGGAAACGCAATAAATTCGACCTCACTACTGCACAAAATTACTATGATGCCTTCTTCGTGTCATCCTATATCTCCCACTAAAATTTTATGCTGATAGAAGATTAACTTTTCGCAAACGCTGAGATCGGCTAGCTGCGACGGAGGCCCTAACAAGCATCGCCTACCCCTCGCCAAGCCTTTTTGCACGAGTTTTTACTGACGCCCAAGATCTGTGCCTGAACGGTGTGTCTGAAATGATCTCGGCATACTCAGGCAGAAAGAAAACAAACACATAACAACTATTATGGCCATTAGCAACCGTCAAACGTGCTTTGAATTTGTTCGAGCACTTGTGTGAAGAATGTCGCACCGTGTACCGGACGGGCGTGAGCATAGGGGTTCATGCCCGTCCGGTGGACTTCCGGCGAACGGTGCGACATTCTTCACACAAGTGCTCGACTTTTGGTGCGACATTCTTCACACAAGTGCTCGACTTTTGCTTTCTTAAAACGGTTTGTATGTGCGAATTCGCCTATATGATTGCAGGATAACTCTATGCGCATACGCGATGTTGAATATTAGTGGGAAGCAAGCGGGTGGGGAATTCACTTCGTGCAGTGCTGCGGGTCAGTAAGAGATAAGAAGTGTGTTAAAATTTAGCTTTTCAGTGGCGCCTCCAAGGTTTACCTCGCATACTCAGGCATACTAACAAAAACAGTAATTGCAAAACGTAATATTTCGTCTATGGACGCAGCAAGCAAACTTCCTGATCAACAACACTAATGTAAAGGCGCAAGCTCGATGTATGCATACTTATTGGTTGCTACAGCTTGTTGATTCGTACACAAGCAAGATCCCCAAGCTTCGCAGCGCCGAGATTCCCAGCACTGGCTCGTCCACATACCTCGATTGGAATGCTAACAGGAAGGCTCAAGTACAAAAATACAACAAGCATGTGGTTAGACAAGCTATACGTCTCAGGCTTGTGCTAAAGATTCAAGGTCTGGCAATTTAGGTTAGTTTAGAGACCACAAATGACGCTCTCGGGACCAGAAAACGATCTCTTGTTGACGTGTCGATCGAAACCGAAACCATGCCACCATCCTCCCTGGCCAACTAGTTCCCAGAGTGCAACGCGCGCCGTGTTGCATGCAGGGCTTTATGGAAGTAGTCTATTGTCAACAATCGTAATGGCGGACGCAAAAAGAGGTGAATCCGCTATATTTTTCCAAAAGAAACGACACCCCTTGTTGAAGCCTCTGTTCGAGCAAAGCGCGACGTAAGAAAAGAGCGGGAAGAAGCTCCTTCGTGTGAACCCAAGGCCAGAATGGGCAGGAAGGCCACATTTGGGAAGCCATAAAAATCCATACTTTGCCTACCGATAAGCTAACAGGCAGCGGGGGCAATGTGCTCGTTGGACCAGCTGCATGTTTCGCAATGTGATCCCTCTTCCGCCTGTGGTCACGTGCAGGGAGTGGGGTCAGGTGAGGAAAGAGAGGCGGTCGACTGGTTTGGTGAGCACGCAGCTCCTGCCACACCGTCGGCTTAAGGGTGAAAGGAGCGTGTAGCTCCACCCGCTCCAAAGAATGCCCGTGGCACGCTTACCGTTGCTCTGCTGCTGCTGCCCGAAGGCGGAGGTAGCCGTAGACTGCTGTGGGCTGTAGTAGTGCTGCTGCGCGGAGGAGGAGGCCGAGTTGGCGAAGCCCTGCTGGGAGTGGGCCAGGGTGGCGTAGGGGGAGGAGCCCACCAGGCCCCCCTTGCTGCCCCCCGGCTGCTGGTACGAGGACGACGAGTAGTGGTGGCCGCCCCCCGCCGACGAGTACATGGGCTGCTCCCCCACCCCCTTGGACACCGACGCACCACCTAAGAAAACCATGCGCGCTCCTTGTAGAACGCTGCTCCAAATGTTTCGCACGCAACACGCTCCAGCACCTGCAAAGCTGGAGCAGCTGGAGCAGCTCTCGTGCATCTCATTCTTTTTTTTTTTTTTCAGAGTATGCAGATGCATATTGGTAAAATAAAGCGAATGATTGTTAGGTTTAACGAATGTCTACGGAACCTAGTGCAGAGACCGCATCTCTGGGGCCAGGTGTAATCTCTCCATCGCCGTTCGATGGGGTACTTTGGTAAGTTGCAATTTCCTCTAGGCACGTCATACGGGAAAGCGAATGGGAGAGCCGAGCCATCTCTCCAAGAAAGACGTCCACATACACCCGAGCGTAGACAGAACGTCGGAAACGAGCTAGATAAAGATACAACCACGGCCGAAGGGCCTCCGAATATCTGCCGAGTTCCCAAGCGAGGAATCTAGGCAGCCTGAATGGGGTCTTTAGTTTGTGCCCAAACCATCTCCTCAGTCCAATCTGTGTTCTCATTCAGCTTTCTGCTCAGGAGAACGAAAGTTTGACAATGGCATCACCGGAGACTCTGCACTTCCCAAACAGAGAGTATGGCAAATTGCAAAACGGACCCACCGTCCATTCCCTGGGAGGGCCTCTGGGCGGACTGCCCGTACATCTTGGACTGCGGGCCAGCCGCAGACGAGGATGCCACGGGCTTGCTCCGCTCAGCCGAGACGCCCTGGGACTGGAGCAGCAGGTGCTCCGACCCCATCACTCCGCCCACCTGCCACGCGTGGGGAGGGACCACAGCCAGTGTGATGAGCCACACCTTCTACCAAAAGTGTTTAGCTACGGTCGTCAGAGAACTGGGGCTAAAAAAAAGAAAATGCCAGAGGGAAATAAAAGCAGGCACTCCAGACTAATTAAAAAATCTTATAGTAACGTCCCTCTTCCTCCTTTTTCTTACCTCGTCCTTCCCCGCCCAAAAGATCAGTAATACCAAAGTGACAATGTTGACTCGGGTATCATCTCATGAATTGTAGCTTACTACGATAATGCCATATTCAATGGATAAATAATAGTCAGGTATAGATACAACATACAGCTACAGCAAAAATGCATGTCTGAAAGTTTTGGATACTATCATACGAAAGATTTGGACCCACTTAAAGCATCCCAAATGATCATGCATCGAATGAATGAACAAGTGCCAGAGCTTTACTCTGGTACTGTGTGAGAGAATGCTACACACAACCCATAATACACTGTACAAAAGCTATTTTCACTGGCACCCACAAACGGCTCTCTAAGCTTTGGCAGGCACCTCTCCTCAGCGAGTATGCTCATTCTCATTCAGCTCCACTGCTCAGGAGAACGAAAGTTTTCAATGACATCATCGGAGGACACCGAACCAAAGCTTTCTGTTTGAAACACGTTTACTAAAAAGACAAAAGACACTGACATTTACTCGTGCACAAGTGGCAATTTGTCACAAGAGCTAGAGTGCCACGCTCTGGGACGTCACAATCCTAACAAAAGAAAACAAACCTGAAAAAAAGAAAGAAAAAAAAAACGAAGTGGTAAAATGTAAGCATTGCTGCTGTCTCTGCGTCTATACTGCCGAAGCTTTCGCGAACTGTTGCGCTAAACAGCGACCTATAGCAGTGCTGTATCAACCTTGGTTGCTGTGCCGTCGTTGCGATTGCGACGGGCAGTGGTGCGACACTTTTCCCGACGTCGTGGGGCAGAAATCGAGGGGCCACAAATGACGCCGTGGTAAACATACCTATCTAAGATGCGCACGGGCACCGTAACAAAGCAAAGGGAGCACAATTTGCATGCCGAAAGGAACCCGAGGCACGCGAGCTGGCCATGTTTCACGCCCGCGTGCGGAAGAGAGGAAAGCAACGTTCCGCACCTTCTGCCCGGCGACCGACGTGGGCGCGGCCGAAGAGGCTGCAGAGGCGGGTCCCCCCAGGCCGGGGGCCCCTTGACCAGACTGCTGGCCCACCTCCTTGGGGGCCCCCGTGGAGCCCAGGGCGGGGATGCCGGGGGGTCTGCTGCCGGACAGCACGGGGGGGCCCATGGAGAGAGAGGAGGGGGCGCCGCCCACGGAGTCCTTGCCGTGGAGGGAACCGCCGGCCCCGCCGACCCCCTGGCTTGCCCCCAGCCCCTGGACGGAACCTGAGACGGGGCCCATGGGGCCGGGCACGGTCCCCGCGTTGCCCTTCCTGGGACGTGGGGAAACCGGGCCAATGAACACTCAACACATCACTTCATACGACGAAACTATTTTGTGCCTGCAAGGTATTCCCCACACCTACACTTCGTAACATTCACGGGACAGAGAGTCTGCGAAAATGGGATGATTTACAGCGGTGGTTCTTGACCGTCGGCACCCCTTGTGGATCGGCAGAGATGATGGAGGACCCCGGTCATGATGAGGGGAAGGTATAGTTAGGTTAATTATGATAGAATCTGCATTACTGTCGAGACCAGTTATAATGAAGTGGACGGGAATCAGAGATCACTTTGCTATATTCGATTATTTCGTTATAACCAACTTTGGTTACAACGAAGTGCAAAAGGGAATGGGAAATCGTGATCGCTTCGCTCTAGCCGCTATTTCGTAATAACCGGTCTTGACAGTAAAGGCCCGTTCACACTTTTGCGACCGAGTACGACTGAGAGAGACGAGATCTCTTAAAACTTGTTAAATGTTTTTAGAATGAGGGAACACACGGGGCATTCTGGCGCCATCTATGCGGTGACCCTGGAACTGCATTTCACAAGAGCGAAGGTTTTGCGGGATTTCATAGGTCAAATGTGCGTAATACCCATAGAAAGGCTCGTTTATAACATTGACAAAAGTTTTTCAAGCCAAGAAAGAAAGGATAATGCGCGAGAAATAAAAAAAAAAAATGCCGGACCGCCTAGTTTACACTGGTTCCCAATAGATGGCGCCAGTGTGTTTTCAGGTTTAAGAAGTTTTAAGGAACCCAGGTTTAACAGGTCGCAAGAGTGTGAACGGGCCTTAAAGGGATGCTGAACCGAATATGAAATTTCTGAAAACGCAGAGTACATAGGAGGGACGCTACAAATCCCAAAAGCGTCACTCAAAGCGGTATCTTGTAAAAGAAGAGCGCGCTTGCGCAAGGCCGAAAAGACTCCTGACCTCGCGATTCTTATTTCCACCCCTTCTGCGATAAGATGACATAAACATTCTCTCTCATTCACTCCTTTATTTTCCAGAAATACGGCCATCCACCCGATATATGGTTATATGAGTGATATTTCGTGGTTTATGGCGCCCTGTTGAACACTTCTACAAGCTTATTTTGAGAAATCCAAATTACGGTTCAGCATCCCTTTAACAAACAACGGCAGAAATAATCATTAACTTGTCGGTAACGCGTCTGCCTGCCCACCTGTACCGAAATTACCAGCAGCCCTGCCTTTGTCTGCGCTGCACCTTCACGAAAAGGGCTTCTCTGGTGGCTTTTTTTGGAACTACGCCGCACGAGAGCCAATGGGAACCTCGTTCCTTGATGACACGCCAGCCAATGGGAGCATAATCCATCAGAAATCGGCGTCACTTCGCTCCATTGGGAAAGGGAATTTTAGGTACCGTTTGGCCAACGTTTGGCATGGTTTCAAAGCTGATGACGTCGGTTCGCTCCATGGGACAGTTAAGGCTATCCCACTGAAAAGATACTGCCGGCTGTGGCCCCAAACATTTTGTAGAGCTCCGTGCTCAGAAAAGCCGACACTAATTAGAAACCAAGGTCGGCCGCTACACGCAATGTCTAAGTGAACTTCTCCTGCGAACAGCTGCACCGTGGCCCCCACTCACCCAACAGAGTGCGCGTCGAGGTAGCTGGCCGCCGAGGAGACCTGCCCTCCCGTCGGGTCCTGTTGCACCGGCACCGGTTGGTGGGAGGCCGCGGCAGCGGCGGCGGCGGCAGAGGCCATTCCGTCCGAGGCCCCAAAGTCGAAGGTGTCCGTGCCAAACTCCAGGCCACCAAACTGGACGTCCAGCGACGAGACCACTGCATCGTCTGGCATCACCACTGCAGACTCCGGGATCTGAAACGCACGGGTGCCGAGGGCTCGCAAAGTCCTCCGAAGAGAACCGGCGGCAGAGGCTTGTGGAATGCACTTCAAAGGGCAGTGCTCGAAATCTCGCCTCAGTAGATTCTAGTCCCTCCCGCATAGTCAAATCGCACGGTAATGCGTGTGGAGACATGATGGGCAAGGTATTCGAACACCAAGGTACAGGACTCCAGAGCAAGTGTTATCGAGCTCTTTCTATTTTCAGTAACCCCCGTCTCTTAATCGGTAATCCTGGTCACGGCATTGTAAACCATAACGCACCTTATACAATAATATACTAGGAACTCAGATCCGTTATAAATATACACAGTAATTCCTCATTATTACGAAGTCAATGGGACGGCAAAAAATTTGATACAAGCGGTAATTCCATAAAAGCAATAGAGCAAAAAAAAAAAAAAAAAATGACCGCATCTCCATGTGGTGAATGATGTTGATTGGGGCGAAGCTCTGGTAGTGCTGATGATACTGATTTTGTTTATAGGTAGTGCTGATTTTTGTAAATTTTTTATTGCTCATAGGTAGTGCTGAGTTCCGGGTTGCGTTTCCGACTTCATTAGCCAAGGCATGCGAAGTTTAACGCGATTATATACGCATTTGACCGCAGTGCCCTCTCCTGTATAGACGTTGAGCGGCTACATGCAACGTTTCACCCATGACTGAAACCCCAGCTCTTGAGTTACTACCACATCTCAGAGCCCCCAACTTGACCCGCAGTCGTGGCCGAGTGGTTAAGGTGATGGACTAGAAATCCATTGGGGTCTCCCCGCACAAGTTCGAATCCTTTCGACTGCACAAATTTTTTTCTTTTTTTTAAGAAGACAGATGGGATGGCAATCGATGTGAGCACAGACGCCGGGCAAGGCTAGACCCTAAGGAGCTTCGCCCCTAAAAACGGTGTCAGCAGCCTTGAAAGTGGACGTAAACACCGTGGAACAGTCCGATTGTATATTTAACCGAAGAAACCTTGGTTATGAACATCTGGTGAAAAGCTTTACCGAGTAAAAAAAAAAAAAAAATTAAGTGAAGTTTGCCGATAATTTTATTCGAGCATCAGTCCTCCTCGAAGTGCTCCAGGCATCACAAGAACACTGTCAGCCCTGCTGCACTCCACTTCCTTTCGAAGCAGACGAAGGCTCTTTCGGGTCTCCGCAGTCGTCAGCGTTTCCCGTTGTGCCCCTCCGACGTCTCTTTGTGCTTACCCTGGTCGCACACAAGGTCTACGATCGCAGCATCCGCGGGAACATCCGCATCGACAAATGCAAACGAATCAAAGCTATCCTCGGTGGCTTTGCCAATATGCTTTCACACACTCCCGCAGAGATCGTTGCAGCAATGGAAATCGCACACCGGCTCGGCAAGCATGCTCATGAAAGAAAACTCGTGTGCGAAGCAGCTGGCAAGCATATCTTTGGGTCACAGGCATGCTTTCTCCCGCATGAGAAACTACTTTAACCCGTCCTATATGCCTTGCTTGTTCTGCTAAATGGTGGACAGTGTCAAACAGCCGATGCCGGAATGTCGAGTTCTTTGGCAATTTTAGAGTTGGGCCGCTCCGTTTTCTTAACCTCCCAGATCTACCCAAGTAACTTTCGGTAAACACTCCTAATATCCCATACGACGCACTCGCGGCGGGTGCTCCTGAAGAGATGATCTCCTCCTGCTCGTCGCCCCCTTCACCCAATTTCTACAGGGGTCGGGCAGTGTCGGCCGCAGGCGCCGTGAGTAGCGTCGGAACGTTGATGCTGCTCACTGCCCGCGTCAGCATCGGAAGCGCTGCTCTTCCAGTTCTGCGTGCTCTGCCCTCCATCACCCATTTACTCCGTTTTCCCAGTTCGGCCTCCGTGTACGCTCTCGTGCTTTCGACACCGTGGCCTTCGTAGTAAGCGTGGTCGGCCGCCGATACGCTTGGAATAATCCGGTTAAAAATGCCTGCATTTAAGGCGGAACCATGTTGAACTTCAATAAAAGCGACAATTAAAAAAAAAACCTACTTCGTAAGAAAGGGGAATTACTGTATATATATATATATAGTTCAAACTGGAAGAAACACTTTATGAACAAGTAGGGACAGTTGAGGAAATTAGCTGATGAACCCCACAGTTTCTCGGACCCCAGTTGGAGAGCCCACAAGCTGGAGTGAGAGACAGAGAAAATTACAGAAAACAACCAGTCGTTTTTCAAACAATCAAAACGTGGTAAAAGAAAAAAAAATTGTGACCGCGGAGAAAAAGAGTAATGGACGGTGCGACACTACGATGTAATTTTGAATCGCCTCATGTGCTTACTCTAGCTACGGTGCTACCACCCCCCCCGTAGCCGCACCCTACGCAGATCGTAGGGGCAGAGACCTTGGCGGTTGCCGGCGTTTTCCCCATGCATCTCTCCTCAGTAAAAACAGGTTCTCATTCAGCTGCATTGATCAGGAGAACGAAAGTATTCAGTAACATCACTGGAGAGACCCACCTTGTTCGGTCACGCAACAACCTGCCAAGGTCTGTTCAGGAATCTCGGTAATGCATATGAACCATTCACGGCGTACACACATGAGCATGGCTACTTGTTCTTAAAATATTTTACACGTATCTATAGAATACGTGGCCGGTAAAGACCAGAATTAAGGTGCACACACGTTTTCACGAGTCCTAACCAGAGTCGTTCAATACGCTACTGGCCACAGAACTTCTCTGCAACGCCATGAGAAAGCTTGGTACATAAACACGTGCAGTGGTGGCATCAACAAGGGGGCTAGGGAGCCACCAATCTAGCCTGCACTGCTGGGGGTCTGGCAAACCGCACGTGTGTCGGAATTTCGATAACACGTCATCACACTGACAACATTTCTCGTTAATGTAAGCACCTTCGGCTTTGTACACTTTGTGAACCAGTACGTTCAACTGCCCAACCCTTTTTCGCAATTAAAGCATTGTTTTCTTTGAGCTTGCATACGGCGCTTACATAAAGTGAACAAATGCAAGCGCAACAAATTATCGGCGTGCGAGAAATTATTTTAAAACTATGCGTAACTACTAGTTCGAGGTGGCTCACGGCGGCCGAACGAGAATGCCCCCTCCATGACGGTAGCGTCCCTAGCGGAAGCTATCAACCCTATACCAAACTTTGGCCAAAGTTTCATGACCAGTAGGATGTTGAAGGACTGTGGTCTGACCTACCAAGTCTCCAGGAAGTTGTTCTAAAAGTAGCCATGCCCACACCACAGCCCAAAAATGGGGGCGGCGGGCTTTAAAAAAAAACTGTCAGGATTCAACCTCCTGGAGGTCCTAGACTTCAGCCGAGATGTTGAATGAGCCTAGGGTTCTGTTCCCACAAATTGTAAACAAAAAAAGGAAAAAGAAATATCAGACAACTACACAATTACTGCACTGAACTGCCATTTCCTTTTCTCCAGGGCTAGTGAGGTTAGAATAACCACGTTAAGTCGTCACCGGCACACACACTCGTGTCTCCGTTGTCGAAAAGAGAGGAGGGGGAGACCCACCTTGGAGGGAGGGGGCACCCGCACCCGGGGTGTCTTGGTGCGGGGGGGAACGGCCACGGACTTGGGACCCGCAGGGACTAACGCCACCGGCTCGCTGGGGACTGCACTGGACGGAGCCGCATACGTGCTCCGTACCGACCCCACCTGGGAAGGGAGAGCGAGGGAGCAAATCGAAATCAACATCAATGAGGGAACCGGCAGCAAGGCACTGAGCAGGCCAGGCTTTTTCAACCTCCCCTTAAACTGAGGTCGAGCAGTTTCTTACATGCTCGTAAGCATTCCCCGACTAATTCAGAATGAAAAGCCTGCCTCAGATGTGAAGCGAGGGTCTGCCTAAATATTTTCCGGGTGGCCAGCTATTAACCGGAAGTAAAGAGAGGGAGTAGTCCCGGTAATCCCCACCACCCTCTCCAAACTGCGGACAGAAAATGTGACCAAGATGTCACTGAGTAACTGTATATACTCCGCTTGAGGAGCAGATTATCGGAATGATGCTCGCGGGGCGGCCATGTTGGCTTTGAGCACTGCGAAAAGTGACCGTCGTTTTTGCAGGAGGCACGGCTGTGAAGTAACGCGATCGTCCTCAGTGTCGCCTGCTTCCCGCACATTGAAAACAATATTCTAAAACATTGCTCGAGTTATAACAAAAAAAGTGATTATACTGTACCCAGTGGCTACACACAATTTTCAATGGTCAAGGAACCTTACAATTGGTTCGATTTTACTGAGGATTTATACAGTGTAGACCGCATATAACGTATGTCGCGGGAGTAGCGAAAATCCGCACTATAAGCGGTACCGCGCTATAACCAAAACATCAATTTTTCAGGCCAAAATACATGCCCTACCTTTGTAAAATAATTTACTTTATGCTAGATGAAAAATAAAGCTTAGTTTGAGGAAAGTCTTGATTTCACCAGACTAGTACACTTCTCTCTCACGTGTGTCACACATTTTGAAAGAAATGAGCAACTTTCACCTGGTGCAGCCTCATCGTGGGTTGCGGACGGACGTTGCGAGCGTTCAGGATTGCTAACCCCAATCACTTTTCTCCGGTGATGAAAACGCGTGAAAATTCGCATCCTTTATATGGTACGCGCCAGTAATACCTTCAACTTGAGCACAGGCATGAAATGATCCAAATAAGAAATCCGGGCGATGATCGAGGACACAAATGCTTAGAAAGGTCCACTGCAGTCGAAGTAAACAAACACGACGACATGGGCGTTTCTGCCGCCTTGAGAGTGCCGCCACGACATCGCCGCACGGGTCGGTAGATCTTCCCTTCTAGTACGTGGTGGGTTATCATAGCGACACATAACGAAAATTCACAGTCAAGGATAGCGCTTTTAAGCGGAACGATGAGCTTCCACCACGCCGTCTACGTCGACGATCACAACCGATGCTATGTTTGCCAATAGAAGCCGGCCCGCGACCGGCATGCAACGCGCGCGAACACTTCTCTTCAACCTGCGATTGGTCTGTCGTTGCGGTTGTTTCCAACCATCCAACTCAGCGGAGGGAAGCACGCACGTGATCGACACGTGCGTGCGTCCCTCCGTCGCTATGGCAACTGAAGACTCTCTCTTCGCTTCTTCGAGCAACTTCCTTGCCCCGCGAGTGCCGCTTGCGGCTACCGCCGTTATCTAGTGTTGCACAGGGAAGCGTGTTTGCTGCGCCGGGCGGTCGACGGGCTGTTGCACAAACCGCACTATAACCGGTATTTCCCTTTGCGCGCCTGCATTTTAAGCGGTATGTAATTACATGGAGTTCTATGGGAGGCAAACCGGTGGTTTAAAAAAGCCGCGTTCTACCCGGTCCTGCACTATAAGCGGTTACGTTGTAAGTGGTCTATACTGTATTTTGCAAGCGCAAAGCGAGAAACATGCTCCGCCCGAAACTGCACCTGCAAGCTCGCTTTCTCACATGAAGACAGGATCCAGCTCGCACACGTGACCGCTTTCCGCCAGTTGGCGGCAAAAGGAAAGGGAACGCAACACTCTGGATCTGCAAGCAGAGCCTATGCGAAGTGCAAGCTTGCCTGCTTCTTGCACAGGGGTTGCGATGATGTCAGAACGCCGAGCTCTTATTGGCCGATTGAAAAAAACATAGTGGATAGACCTTGAGGCATCTTGGCATTGAGGTCTACCCACTATCCTTTCAATCAAAGTGAAACAGAACTCAGCGTCGTTTTGACATCCCCGCAACTCCTGTGCAAGAAACAGACGACCTACTTTCCGAACACAGTCACTCTAGAAGGCAAAACAAGGTACTGTCTAGCACACAAATTCGTGCTGCTGAAATGGTAACGTCAAGGAGAGTGCTGCAATTTTTCTTGAAGAGTACTAAGCCACTAGGCGGGGCAGCGGCCAACTTGGGTCGCAACAAAGTTACCTAAACTGCATCCCATTCTAAAACTGGTACAAGAAGCCCAATTTGGGATAGCCCAAAGAAGGCCACAAACTGTCCTAGCACTGCAAAAAATGTGAACACAAACTGCAATGGTTGTTGGCAATTGTAGGAGACCCAATCCAAAGTGGTTAGAGAATTTCAACTAAATGAAGTGCCATAGACGCTGCAAAATGATTTCCCAAGAGGTCAAAAAGATTCAGCAAATTTGCAACAGCTAAATGCATCGCGCCAAAAAAATACTGAAGAGGTGAGCTAACGGCTTTGTTAGCTTTACCTCCGCTTATGCAAGAGCACTGGGTGGCACTGCACCCGCGAGATTGGTTGCAGGGGGCTTGAGCAGAGAAGCATTGCTCTATAATGGAAACGGAGGCAAGCAGAGAGCCTCACTGTGCCAGTTTCAGTCTCCTCAGTCAGACATGTTCTCATTCAGCAAGATGCTCAGGAGAACGAAAGTATTAGAAACATCACGGGAGACAATTACTCGAGCATGGGACTGGCAACTCTTAATTGTTCAAGCACGACAGCGCACCACAGCTCCGAGCATGTGGAGCAGAAAGCTTGCACAGCAGGTTCAATCCTCGCTCCTGCTCGTTTCAATCTGGACAAGCATCATACCATCCATCGTGCAGTCATGTATCCATACTGCGCGACTGGCTGAGCTTCTCTTCTACAGCGGAGACGTGAGACGCTACATAAGGCAGTCAAACGGGGCAGAAGCTGCGACAAATTTTTGTCGTTAAGTATAAACCCATTGCCTTAACGTCAACACCATGCAAAATTCTAAAACATGTTTTTTGGAAACATGTCAGACAAGTTTTTTTTCTTGTAACAATTTTCTGAGCGAATGCCAACACGGGTTTCGTGAGAGCCTATTGACAGTGACGCAGCTTGTAGAGATGGTGCATTATCTCAGCGATGTTCTCAGTTGAAAGGGATAGATAGATATAATTCATTTAGACTAGGAAATAGTAATGCCGTTTGCTAGATAGAAACACTTCCCAGCAACCACAAACAATTTGTAAGTATTGATGAATACAGCTCTGAAATGCGATGTGGAGTCGGGCGTGCCTCAAAGCTCGGTGCTTGGGCCCTTGTTTCTTCTGTATATTAAAGGGCACCTCCGGCCAAAACTCAAAATGAAATAAATTACTGGTATCGCTGTAGTGACACAAAATACGACCCCAGCCAAAATATTATGTCCGTGGGACGCCGCATTCTTAACTAACGCCGATAATAAAAATGCGACCCACCGCGAGCCGCTGCTGCTTAGCGGGCGGCCAGCGGGTTGCCGATCGCTAAAGCAACATTGGGCCGTGACGTCCGTATCATTCTCTTTTTTTCCTCCGGTCCGGGCGTTGCACGGAGTGCACTTCTTTGAGCCGCTACCACCACTACTTCGGCTTGTAATTGGCGTGTTTAGCCATTGCTTTTATCTGTAGCCCGTGTAGCTTCGGTATAGCCTTTTGTTTATCTGCTTTTGAGGACTCCAAGACATTTTAGCAAGCAACTCGGCGTGCCCAAGAGTGCCCAGCTGCTCCTCGCAAGATGCCGAGTGCAACTTGTAGCGCTGTGGGCTGCTCAAACAACCCGCTGCTCAAAACGAAGGTGCTTTTCACAAGTTTCCAACGGACAGGAATTTGGAGAAGGGGTGGGTGAACGCTGTTCGACTAGTGGACTTTGAACTTCGGCTTTTATGCGCCCGAGGTAAAAAGAACGAAAAAACAGACGTGTACAGCCCAGCACACGTGTGTTCGAGCGCCGCGGCCTGCGCCGGAGAGCCTCAAAGCTTCGTGTCTGGGACTGACCCGCAGTGCGAAAGCGAGAGGGCCCCCAGTAATGTATGTCACTGGCAGCGCGGCGTAGAGGAACGCCGCTTCATCCACGGAGCCCCGATGACAATTTAGGCCTAGCGAGAAGTACGGAAGACCGTGCACACGGCGACAGCCGCCGAGTACGGCACTGAACGACTTCACTAGTTTTCTCGTCGCTAGCTTTTGGGTATACAAGGGACGAGAACGGCATAGCACACGCTCGATGGCGGCCGCCGAGTACGGCACCGTATGAGTTCACGGGTTTTCCAGTTGCTAGCTTTTAGGTATAGGAAGTATTCACTGGCGGTCATAGCTGTGTGCGCGACTGCTGAGTGCGTGCTGATGGCGAGCTTCCACAGTTCTCTCGCCACGTGTATTCCGCACCATCAAGATTGCCGGTCTTAGCAGCCTATTAATGTGGGCTCGTTCTGAGCATGCACTCTAGACAGCACCCACAAATATGGCGCCCAGTGAATACTCCTTATACGCATTAACTCTTGCTACATATGCTGGACAACTACAAGGTATACAGAATTTAAAAAAAAAATCTGCTTACCTCCTATCTTCAGCATACCTCGGCAAACCTCACTCATGAGGGCCCTCACTCACCCTCATCTTCACAGGTGAGGTGAGGGTGAGTGAGTTTCTGAACCAGGAAAATTCATGAGTGTGAGGGTGAGTGAGGGCCGTGAGTATGTGAGGGCGGTGAGGGGTATGAGGGCCATGAGTGCGCGAGGGGCGTGAGGGCGGTGAGGGGCATGAGGGCCATGAGTGCGCGAGGGGTGTGAGGGCGGTGAGGGGTGTGAGGGGTATGAGAACCATGAGTGCACAAGGGCCGCGAGGGCGGTGAGGGGTATGAGGGCCATGAGTGCGCGAGGGGCGTGAGGGCGGTGAGGGGTATGAGGGCCATGAGTGCGTGAGGGGTGTGAGTGGCGTGAGGGGTGTGAGGGCCATGAGTGCAGTGAGTGGCATGAGAGGTGTGAGGGGCAGTGAGTGCATGAGGGGTGTGAGGGCCATGAGTGCGTAAGGGCGGTGAGTGCGTGAGGCCCCCTTCAGACGGAGCATCTTTCTCAGCAATTTTGCTGTTGATGGCGGGTTCTTCTCTAGCTTTCCCTAGATCAACACGAATTGCTGAGATCAGGTGCGGCTCGAAATAAGCAAGCAACTTGAAGCAATACAAAGACTTTTGAAGTGGCTGCATCTAATCAGGGACGCAAAATTTTCACGTGATACCTCGTGCCGGAGATGATGACACCGAAAGACTTGGTTCTAATTTGAAATCGATCGTTTTTGGAAGTAAACTCTTTCAGAAAGGTGCATTAGTATTCTTAACGAGATTTAGATGCATCAAAATAGTGCAAGAAAAATAAAATTTTATGATGACGATGGCAAAAACTGCAGCAATTGGTTGCTGCGTGTGATCGCGGGCGGCCCGTATTGCTGGTGTTGCGACGTCAAGTTTCTGGGCGAAATTGCCCCATCTGAAGCTGGCCTGAGTGGCGTGAGGGCCATGAGTGCGTGAGGGGCGTGAGGGTGGTGAGTGGCGTGAGGGCTAGAAGTGCGTGAGGGCGGTGAGTGGCGTGAGGGCTATGAGTGCGTGAAGGCGGTGAGGGTGGTGAGTGGCGTGAGGGCTATGAGTGCGTGAAGGCGGTGAGGGTGGTGAGGGCGGTGAGTGGCGTGAGGGCTACGAGTGCGTGAAGGCGGTGAGTGGCGTGAGGGCCATGAGTGCGTGTGGGCTGTGAGGGCCGTGAGGACGGTGAGTGCGTGAGGGCCGTGAAGTTCAGTGAGGGTGAGTGAAGGGCTGGAGGTGAAAGTGACTGTGAGGATGAGGGTGAGTGAGGGGCTGAAGGTGAGTGTAGCTGTGAGGGTGAGTATGGCTGTGAGGGTGAGGGTGAGTGTGGGCGACCCAAAATGCCGACCTATGATCTTCAGACGGCTAGCGCAACAGAGGTAGGTGCCGCTCGGCCTGCGTACTCGTTTAACGAGAACGATCATGACGTCACGTTCACATAACGGCTGATTCCCAGTGTTGCCGGGGCCTCGAGCGGCTAGTTTCGGTTTTGTTGGCCGCGCCCCAAACAATACTTTGAGGCGTTTATATCTTTAAAACTATGCACAATAACGAGAAAAAAATTACACCTTGCAATTCAGGGACGCTGACTGCACTAAAAACAGTCACAATCCCAAAATCGAAAGTATGGACCGGAATTGCCCTTTAATGACCTTATAGTTGATTCCTCTATCCCAGCCAGATTGTTTGCAGACGTTTGTATTATCCACACTGAAATGAAGTCTGTCGCCAATCAAGTGAGGCTAAACAAATATACGTCTGAAATAAACGACTGGTGCGCAAAATGGTAAATATCGCTAAATACATAAAACACCTTATGTATGACCACAACTCAGAAGCGTCAGGCTTTAGTGTTTAGCTACACACTTCCGAGGGTTACCTTAACTAACGTCACTGAATACAAGTATCTTGGCATCACAATAACTGCAGACCTAAGATGGACAAAGCACATTGATAATGTTATCGGTAAATATAATAAAAGGTCAGGATTTATCCGGTGCACCCTCAAACTTGCGTCAGAAGAGACTAAGCTGATTGGACACAAAATGTTAGTTCCCCCGATGCTGGAATATGCATGCGAAATCTGGGACCCGTACGTAAGGACTGGAAAGTGTAAAACTGGAAAGTATACAGCGACGCACAATGCGTTTTATTTACTCCCGCTACCGAAGACAGGATTTGGTTTCCCCCCTTTACGACAGAGCCAGTTTACCGTTGCTCCAACTCTGCAGAAAACAAAAAAGGTTGAAGCTTTTTTACAGTATTATCATTGATTTGGTCCTTGTTAACAAGCATCGGTATCTAGATAAAAACACGTCACGAGTAACCACAAGTAAGCATGGACGGCATGTAAAAAAAAGAAAGAAAGTTTAATAAGGAATGTTTTAGATACTTGCTTTTTTTGCAGACAGCGCGCATTACCAGAAATCACTGTTGGTGCATGCGGTCGGTTGGAAGTCATATCACTTATTTCTTGACGCTCAGTGGCGCCTCAGGCTGCTTGTTGTGTTACTATTATTTCACTACTGTTACTTTTATTGTGCAACTGTTTCTCTTGTGCTCATGTCGGTGCAGGGCAGCACAGACTGCAATGGTTGGGCGGTTATATACAATGAGTGAATCCTTGAATCACCCCCATCTTGGTCCCATAAGGGACTGATAGTATGTTCAAATAAAAAAATAAATAAATACTTTGTTGCAGGTCAAGAAAAGCTGGACAAGCTCCTGGCGCTGGAGAGCAAGTGGGTGGACTCGCATTTAACTTACAACAGAGTATAGCAATACTGTGTTGCAAGTTGTCTTAAACGCTGCTTTGTGTCCGGAAATCCCGAGGACAAGAAGATCCCCAAAGAGGGAGGGAATCGCTTGGGGAGAAGGGGCCACTCACCCCGACGGCCGCCTTGATGGTCTCTGTGGCCTGCTGGTTGAACTGGGCCACGCTCAGCGTGGGAGCCTGCTGCTGCTGTGACGGAGGGGCTGAGGAGGGGCCCTCCCCCCCACCACTGTTGGGCACCTCCTTGAGCAGCTGCATGATGGAGGCCGTGTCCGGAGGCGCCGGAGGAGCCCCGCTGCTGCTGCTGGCCGTGAACACCTTCGTCTCCAGCTGGCCACTCCAGTCCTCCTCGCTCCAGTCCTCGCTCGCGGCCAGGTCGTTCCAGTTGCCTGCAAAGGGGCAACGGAAGACGCACGTCTCAGCTCAATTTCGCTGAACGAACAGCAACCAACCTATGACTGATGCAGCGGAAGGGGCTGCACCCAGTGACAAAAAGAAAAACAAGATGTTAGAATGTAGGCAAACCCCTATTGTCACATCGTTCAAGTTTTTATGCTGCAAAAGACCCATTGTTTTGCAGAGGCTATTCACAGAGTCCCTGAGCCAACATTCCTGCTGCCGTGGTGTAGTGAAACATGGATCTGCATGCTACGCTATTAAAGGGATACTCCACAGGTTTTTTCATTGTCTCCGATTTGCTTGAAATTTTGCTAAACAAACATTGTGAAAATAGTATCCCAAATATTAGGTCAAAATATTGTTTTTTTTTTGCAAAGTTATTGAATTTACAGTTTTAGTCCTCACAGTGTTTTTCAAGCTCGAAGTCTCTACTGGCAACAATGAAAAAGTGACGTCAGTGGAAGGCAGGGGTTCACTCTTTGGGCTGTAGATTTTGTTTTAAACTGATTCGAAGCAGTTTCATGGTGTCAAATGAATGCTTGGGAAGCTCGCTGCAGTACCCGCGCTCCAGCAGGGAACAAATGATTGGCATATTCTATTTTTTGGCTGCTTGCTCGACTGGCAAGCCTGCCTGCCACTGACGTCACGGCACTGAAAAGTGTGCGTATATTTGAATGTTGGTTTTTGCATCATTTTCATTTGCCGATTTCAACATACCTATCATGAATTTCGCGATTCTAAATAGCATACCGGAGAGAGTAAAGGCCGGAGAGTCAGAAAATATAGTTAGTTGAGGTAGCTCAAAAAAATCGGTGGAGTACCCCTTTAAGGAAGATTTTATCCCTAAAAAATGAATGGGCACCCACAGGGACTTCTATAATACAATCAAATTAACTAAAGTTGTATTATTAACAGAGGTTGTATTAACCCTTTAACCACCCGGCCTGAGCTGTATTCGTCGTGAAAGGTTGTACCAATATTGCTGATGATGAGTCACACTCGTCCAGCCAAAATGATGGTTTGCTTTCACTGCCAAACACGAGACAGGTTCGTCCATCGGCTTTAGTTTCAATCTTCAACACTGGAGGGCAGGAGAGGTCGCGCAAATATAGCGTGTTTTGACCTTAGGCGCGTATCTAGCCTTGCAACAGTGATCAGAAACGGCAGCACGCTTGAGTGATGCCGGTGACAGCCCTCGGGAACGGGCTCTCTCTTGCGGCAGTTCGAACAGTAGCAACGATAAAGACATTGAATTTGTCTCTGAAAGTGAGTCGGACATGGATTTTTGAATACTAAATGGACTTAAGACGACAACCATAGTGATGAAGATGACGCGCAGGATAGTGTTCGTGAGTGGCAATGCACAAACACTGAAAACCCGCCACCCGTGCCTTCGAGGTTTCCGTCTTGTGCAGTGCCTGGGATTCTGCGGCAACCCACTGACGAAAAAGACATTCCCGGCTGGTTCGAGGTTACTTCTTTACTGGGACCTCGTCGACCCTCATTGTGACGGAGACAAACCGCTATGCGGTCCCACATTTCGCAGTGCAGGGTTTTTCATGGAAACCAGTGGACCGCGAAGAGATGGTGGTGTTCCTTGTGGTAATAATTTTGCAAAGAATCATGGTAAACCGCAGGTTGAGATGCATTTGTTAGCGCTGGTACGGAGAAACGTCTAGGCACTTGATCTTTTGTTGCGGTGCGTATGTTCAAATAAATGCTGCACATTTCAGCACATATTATTTTATTACTTTTATATGCGCTAAGGGAAAGCTTCCATAAAAATCAACTTTCTTTTAAAAGTTTTGTGTTAATACCAATCAGAAACCAATCAAGTAATGTATTTGCAAACTCGGAACGACATAAAAAAAATGACCGCATCTCCACGCGGTGAATGATGTTGATTGGGGCGAAGCTCTGGTGGTGCGTGTCTGCGTAGACGCCAAGCCGCAGCATGCCGAGCCTTTTGTTCGTTTTCATCCATGTCAGAAAGAGAATGTGTGGTATCGAATGTGGTTATATACGCATTTGAGCATTTGACCGCAGCGCCCTCGTCTATAAACGTTGAGCCAATGCATGCAAAGTTTAACGCGATTATATACGCATATGACCGCAGCGCCCTCTCCTGTATAGACGTTGAGCGGCTACATGCAATGTTTCATACATGACAGAAACCGCAGCTCTTGAGTTACTACCACATATCAGAGCCCCCTACTCGTCCCGCAGTCGTGGCCGAGTGGTTAAGGGGAGACGCGGGTCTTAAAATGTTCAAAAAACGCGAAATTTCGCGTTTTTCAAAATTCACCTATTTGGATTAATTGTAGTCTAAGGTACCTGCCTGCAAAGTTTCAATGTCGAATTCAATGTCTAAGCATGAAAAAAATGATATTTACGATGTCCCCGCAGAGCCCTGGCACAGCGAGTTCAATAAAAACAAGTGGAACTTCGCGCCCCGCGCGTTTTGCGATCGCTCGTCGGATCGCGGCCATCTTGGTCTTGTTGGAAAGCCGCTTATTTTCCCCACGTCCCCATGCCATTCGTTATCGCGACAACATCGGGGAACGTCTGCAATCCGCGGGTTTCGAAGACCCCAATTGCGATCGCTCATTGGCCGGCTAGCAAGGTGCCCGTACGTCAGAGCACGCGCGGCGCCTAGCGCCCCTGCTATTGGCCTAAACGCGCCCCTCCGCTCTATTTCTCCTTTCCTCCTTTCCGTTCCCGCGCTGGCGAGAGGTGCGTCGTCTGCTCCTGGGCCCGTCTCCGCCCGTCTCCTTAGGCCTGTCTGCTTTGTTTACTCCGTGGTCGAGCGCACGTTTTAGTTCCCGTTTGCGCGCTTGCGTTGAACATTGTTGGTTTGTTTTCCTACGAAGTTGCGCGTGTTTTGTTTTGTTTCGCTTCGAGTTCTCGAGATGCCGGACGACGCTCGGTTGAAATCGAGCACGCGGCAAGCGTTCGGAAGGAAGAGGAAGCGACCGTGGAACAAAAAGCCGAAGCTGTCTGCTGCAAGTGCGCCACCGCGATCGGCACCGCCGGATGCCTTGGATCTTCCGGAAACATCAGCCGGAGACATCGCGACTCCATGCAGCAGCGGCAGTTTGTCGAGCTTTGCGAGCGCGGTTCGTGCCGACACCGCATACTACTCCACGGCCGAGCAGGTGCAACGAGTCGCACGATCGGACGAATGCAAGCGTGCGCTATCGGAAAAGTCGGCGACCCAGCGCAAATTCCACCTTCTCGGCGTCACCACAGGAGGCCAGACGCGCGACGCTGGGACACAGTTCATTGTAGTGGACATGAAAGCTCTCCAAGCATGGACAAGGACAATCTGCGTTTGCGTAAGGCCAACGCTGCCCACCAGAGCAGCAGCAATGCAAAGCAGAGGTTCTCCAGGCAACACCAAACTGGAACAGCTGGGGACTACAGTCCTGGACGGCTGTGAGGGGCTCCACTTTCAAGTGCTACACGAACAAAGGCCCTTTTCAGGGCCAAACAAAATCTGCTTTCGGAGCGTGCAACCCTTGGTGCCTCCTCCCGTTGTCCCTTATAGAGTCTACTCATACTTTTATAACTTGATTTTACATTGCAGACATTATTTCTCAGTTTTATATTATTTTTTAAAGGTTCTTGTGAACGGATTGCAGAATTTTTCATCACAATTTGTTCAGATAGAACTATGCTTCATATTGCTGAACATTATTGCATGGGATCCCTTACTAAATTTTATGCAATGAGTGTCAAAACTTCAACCGCAATTTTCTCAGCTTCGCATTTTTCGTCTACATGCCTAGCCTTACGGTTGCTTTCATGAGATTATTCTTCAAGGATTTCTATAAACTTTATACCGTTGAATTCAGAAAGAAGTGAACTGCAGGGTGATGCTATTTTTGTATGACAGTATGGGCCCGAAATTTTATTATTAGTGATAATGTGACCTCGTTAGGCTTTGTAAATAGTGTACTTGACCTAATTAGATTAGTTTTATACAATGATCTATTTTTACAAAAATATAAATTGCATCATCTTGCATGACAGGTCTTTAGCTACAAATCCATATCACTTATGCAAAAAAATTTGTATTAGAAAGTTCCTTAATGAGTCGTAAGAAATGACCTAATTAGGTTTCATTATTTTCTCCGTAACTCAAAAAGTAATTCAGATATTGCAGAACTAATTGAATATTTGAAAAGAGGAAGCCGAAACACATACACACACTGATTTTCATTATAATCCATTAATAAACAAAAAAGTCGATTTTAGAACCAGTGTCTTGCCTTAAAGGGGTACTCCACCGATTTTTTGAGCTACCTCAACTAACTATATTTTTTGACTCCCCGGCCTTTACTCTCTCCGGTATGCTATTTAGAATCGCGAAATTCATAATAGTTATTGCGAAATCGGCAAATGAAAATGATGCAAAAACCAACATTCAAATATACGCGCGCTTTTCAGGGCCGTGACGTCAGTGGCAGGCAGGCTTGCCAGTCGAGCAAGCAGCCCAAAAATAGAATATGCCAATCATTGGTTCCGTGCTGGAGCGCCGGTACTGCAGCGAGCTTCCCAAGCATTCATTTGACACCATGAAACTGCTTCGAATCAGTTTAAAACAAAATCTACAGCCCAAAGAGTGAACCCCTGCCTTCCACTGACGTCACTTTTTCATTGTTGCCAGTAGAGACTTCGAGCTTGAAAAACACGGTGAGGACCAAAACTGTAAATTCAATAACTTCGCGAAAAAACAATATTTTGATCTAATATTTGGGATACTATTTTCGCGATGTTTGTTGGTTAGTTTAGCAAAATTTCAAGCAAATCGGAGACAATGACAAAATCGGTGGAGTAGCCCTTTAAAGGGTAACTGCAAAGAAAAAATTTTTTTTTAAATAGCTTAATTGGGACAAGCATGTCAAAAAACAATTTTTCCACGAGAAAAAACCTTTTTTACAGCAATATTTATTGCGTGAGACTCACTTTAGTTTGCGGCTATTTCGTCCGTTTTAAATCGCGCGCCACGAAGTTGTGATTATGTGACGTCAATCCCAAAAGGTTCTCATTGGCTAAGAGTTTGATTGACAGCTTAGATCCGGTTGTTAAACCTTTGTTATATGTTGCAATTTCCTTTTGAGCGGCATATTTCTATGTTTAAAGAATAACCCATGTGATGAGAGTTATTATTCTTTACAAAAGGTTTACAAGACGGGCACTTCCGTTTGGATTCATACAAACAAAAGCTTCGCCATTCTTTCATGGCCGCCGAAGTCTCTGCTCCCGCCTGTCTCGCCTACCTCGACTAATTGTTTCACCGAAGTGATCAGTGTTTCGTCGTTTCGTGCTGACCCAGGTGCTTGAGTGAGACTTCTTGAAGTAGTGTGTGTTTAGCAGCTGTCGCAGGTGTTAGTGATAGGAAGCGACGCGGGGTCATGGCTTTCATAGCGCGGTTCTTTCGTTTTCCTCTTAGCATGCTTAGCGTAGCGTGCTTTTTTTTTTTTTTTTTTTTGTTTACGCGTGCAAATGCTGACTTTTCGGGGATGTCAGATGTGTGATCCCGACAGTGAGCCTTCCAGCAGCCATGTCGCCCCGAAAGGAATGCTATTTGGCTGGAGGCAATCGGGCGTTCGCGTAGCGACCAACGTGTCTCGTTACGTTCTCGTCATATCGCTCTGGAGGCCGTCGAGATTCACCCCGTGTGCACCTAACGTCCGCGACTAGACAGAAAATAAAAAAGCACTATGTCCACTACGTAAAAATGGTCTCAGTTCATGCATCTGTAGGCAGGTACGAAATCGTGCCTAAATTTATTCACACCGCACAATGCAACACGTTGCTGTACAAACGCAGTCCAACACGAAGCATAAAAACGGCAGATTTAGGACAACAATTCGGAGTCCATTGTTCAATTAAAATGACGTAATTTTGTTGAAAACGCCCGCAGCTTTTTACTTACGGTATGCGTCGGGAAACTTCCACATTTTGAAACAGAACGAGGCAGATTTACTTTTAAAAACGCTCCCAGCGTCCTCCCGGACCAGTTTGACTGGATCAGCTGACGACGACGGGACTTAACTAATTGAACGTCAACCCCACAACAACCAATTTGCGCTCCGTGTTAGCACCGCATTACACACACCACGAACGTTTCAGCTCTGTCGCATCGCCGTGTTGCACCAAACAGAACGAGATCGCCGAAACCAACGCAGCGCTGTCGTGAACCTTGGCTTGTGGTTGCGCACCCGTGGATTCTGTGACTCCCTTCGCTTTCAAAGCGCGCACCACGATTACGAACGATACTTTCCGTCTTCCAGGAACATCACAGGGGCACTTCTCCGGTGACGTCTTCGCTACATGTGCTCGCAAACCGCGTCAAACCAAAACAATACCGTGGTACCGCGGCCTGGCGTAGTTGCCAGATCTTGCCGGAAGTCGAGACGCTGCGTCGTTCAACTCCGCAACGCAAGGAGAGTGAGGGGCGGGGCGTACTCTTCTTCCGCGGGGGTCGAAAGAGCGGGAATTTCAAATGTGGAGAGGTTCTGACTCTACTAAATTACGTCCTGTAACGTAAATATTGATAAAAAAAATAATTTTTTTCGCGGAACATTTGTTTTGTGACATGCTTGTCCAATTAGGCTGTTTAAAAAAAACTTTTTTTTCTTTGCAGTTACCCTTTAAGGCGATGGGCTAGAAATCCATTGGTTCGAATCCTGTCGACTGCGCAAACATTTTCTCATCATTTTTATTTGCTCTACACGAGCGCGTGAGCTTACGAGCACGAGCACCAGCAAGCTCGATGTGAGCACGGACGCCGGACGGACAAGGCTAGACCCTAAGAAGCTTCGCCCCTAAAAATATGTGCAAATAACATATTTTGTACATTTTTTTTTTTCAAAAATAACTTGCTGGTTAAAGGGTTAACATCTGTAGATCGTGTAGTGGATGAGAAATCATCCCCAAGCGAAACCTTATTTGGAATTACCAATAAAGGTTAAAAAAAGAAATAAAAAAAAATTCTCCTAACTTTGGTCTTTTGACAAAAGCCACTCCAGAAAGTGACTTCTAGTACATATCTGCACGCCAACCCAGCAAGTTTTAGGCACCACGAAAACGCGACGACGGGAAAGAGACGCCAACCCACCGACGGCCATGGAGTCGCTGTGCTGGCCGGCCCCCCTCGCCGACGACCGCTGGTCCCTGTGGCCTCCCGCGTTGTTGGTCCACGTGTCCATGGCCTGGGGGAAGCCCTCCTGGGGCCCGCTGGGGCCCCCGTAGCCACGGTTCTGGAACGTGCGGCTAGAGCGCCCGGGGCCCCCGCCCACATTCCCCCCGCCACGGCCCCCACGGCTGCCTCCGCGCCCTGCACGACAGCGGAGACCCCCAGATTTGAGTCCAGCACACTCCCGCACTAGTCGGACCTCCACTTTTTTTTTTTTTTTTACTTTAAGGGGGGATACTACCCAGGCGGGTCAACTTTTGAACACCTATGGATTAATAGCAATGAGATTTACAGCATATATACTGGCAGTTGCAAGGCAGAATGCAGTGCAGTTTCTTCTGTGTAGATGAACTGTAAACTAGTCGTTTTTATCAGGAACACACATTGACCTTGTTTAGGCAAACAGTCGTCAGGAAACTAATGTAATACTTAACATTTTTCTACTCTAGATCTGCAGCAGACTGCCTTGAGAGAGCAACTGTAAAAAACAAAATTTCCAAAAACTAATTCATTTTATGGAACCATCACTTTGAAAAATCAAATACATTTTTTTTTGCCGTTTATGTTGTCGACAAAATCTTAACATCTTTTTATAAAAGACACCCACTAAATCATAAAAGAATTCCACATTTCCATTGCCCCTGAAATTCCAGTTAGGAAAATAATGTGAGAGTCTTTCCTCTGCTCCCATAAACAAAAAATGGTTTTCCTAAAGTGAAATTTATGCTGAAAGAGTAAAACGGAGAAAAATGTGTTCACAGTGCTCCAACCTTTCCTTTTGCATCGGTGGACCGAAAATTTATAAAAAATTACCTTTGCAGAGTATACTAATGAAACTTTCTGGGAATACTCTCTAGATGTTGGTGGATATAGCATTTTTCAAAATCAACTTTTCTTGCAGAAATTTTTCTTTTTTCTGGTTAGTGTCCCCACGTGGGCGAGCTCCGGGGTTTCATTGCCCCTGCCAGATGTGCACGCTCATGCAGTGCAAGCATCATTCGGAGCAGCATGCTCAAGTTGGTAGCTTTAGCTTTGCTTCCGCATAAAGTGAAACAAAATAGAAATAGTTACTATGTTTGATTTAACTGCACCTCCTGCATCGGCTCTACTGGGTTCGCAATGTCATATTTGATTTACAAGTGCAGCCTACATAAGGGAGGGGCACGGCCCTGCACCCGTGTAGGCTGGTGCAGGAAAATCAAACGAGCCCGCAGCCTCCCAAGAACCACATTGCGGCTCTAAGTGCCTGGGATGTGTTACACCAAAATGGGAGATACAAGTTGCACATTTTAAACGCCATGACCAGACAATGCAAGTCGATCCCGGCTAAAGTACAAGCTTGCACCATCGATAAAAAAAAAATTGGTGCTGTTATGAACCTTTCTAGACATCAAAACAGATACCAGCATCTATTTGCAGAATAGGAGGTTAAAGGAGCTGTGCAACAATTTCAGGGCTTTGCTTAAATAATTGTGGAAGTTGATGCCCGACACTTCTGCAGTGAAATACAGAAAACAGACTTTGCCAGGATACCATAGTTTTTATTTAAAAAAATGAAAACGATCCAGGTTTTTGCCGCCTCTCAACTCGTACATCGTCTTCCGGGTCACGTGCGCAGTGACGTCACTAGAGTAGGCGCGGGGTTCCGGAAAAGTTCTCTCTTTAGAGCCATCAGCGAGCAGCGAGAACTCATCTGCTCGCGACCGCGTGACCACGTGCTGGCGGGCGCCCCGCGAAATATATGGTGAAAGGAGGAAAGTCTCATCCGGGTCCGGCCAAACCCGTCCGGCGCTGTCCCCCTCCCCCTCCAGCTTCTGGGGTTTTGTGGACCTAGGATAGATGGCGCCACTAAAACTCCGTATAATTCGCGACTCCAGCAAAACGGACGCCACCAAGCGGGGGTTTCGGGAACCAGCCGGTCCAGGTCGCTCCGCGCCCCTCCGCGTCTCTGGTGGCTTTCGCGGAGACGTGTTGTCGGCGCGGTGGCGAACAATGTAATTAGACGAAGGTCCGAATATTTCTTAAGTTTGCCTGAGTGATAATTAGTGTGGTGAAGCCTCAGTAGATTGTTTTCTTCTATTACGTGCTTGAAAGCCCGTTTACTCGACAAAACACGGTCGCGTGCTTTCGATTTCTTGGATGGGGAGGAATCGCGGAAAAACGTTTTGATTTCTTGTCTGTCTTGAATCACATTCAAAGTTACGACTACTTGGTAATTGATGAGTGGTTTCTTTATAAGGATGTAGGACAGTGGACTGAGCACGACAGACGAGGTGTTTCACTGGAGGGAAAACCAATGTTGCAGTAAAGTGAATGGGAAGGTTCGATAGCTGCTTTTCTTGAGTTTGGTTGTGTTCGGTTAGCTTCAAGTTTGAGCCACCCACGCCGGTCAGTGCGTTGGCTATTCATCTTGGCTGCTTTTCGCCGAAAAAGCCTCTGGACTACACTGAAGGAGTTGGGCTGATTTCGCAATTACTTGATTCAGGAAAACCTGCTCGCTGCAAATAATGAATGAGGGAAATTATCTGTTTTCAAAATGTGGGGGGTCTAGATGCTGTCACGGCATTTTGACCTATCGCGCCTCCATTTATATTACGAGGACGTCGAAGCCAGCAACAATATACGTCTACATTGGCCGGGTTGACCGGCGAAAAAAAAAATACCCATTTTCTCCGGTCAGGATTCGAAGCAAAGTTCAATGCAGAAAGGTTCTGCGTGAATCTTCGATGAAGTCGCTTCAGTTTGTCTCCTTGTTGCCGGCTATAGAACCATTTGGCTAAGTTTAAGTAGTATCTCTCTGTCTGTCAAATATGCTTTTATTCAGCAGCTCACCTAATAGCTAGTCAACTAAGCTCATATTTCAACCCGAAGAATATACTAATATTGCTTTAGTTGGATATAGTACGTAATATAATACATAGCACGCTCGTCAAAATGACTTCTCGATTGCTACTTAAACCTGAATTAAAATACGAGTATCAGCTGCTTAGTGGGACGCCGGCGGGTTAACATGGTCCTTGGCTCAAGAAGCGCTTGCTTAATTTTCGTAATTTTCCTGCAGGCTGTGTTGTTGACCAAGCAGACGACTGGAGCTGTTTCTTAAACGCGGATACGCGCCAAAGCTCGATTTCGCGGACAGATAAGTCGCACGGTCGAGGCAAGCGAGTTAGCTGAAAAGTTACTCTCTGTGGAACAATTCTGTAGCCATCGCCGCTTTCCTTAGATGATCAAAACTGATTAGTATATTGCCGTCTCTCCGGAGCCCATAGTTTCGGTTTTGAGCGAAATCTCCGAAACGAAAGTTTGACATGAAAAGAACGAAAAACACCGGCAAAACAGAACTATGCTTTGCAAGTTTATCTGCACCGGCTACGCTTAACCGTATCAGTTCAAATACCTATAAAATTGGGCATTAAACAAAAGAAAATCTGTTAAATTGAACGCGCTACCTGTTCAGGCGGCCCGGCCGAGCCGACGCGACCTGGACTCAGCCGCCATGTTCGTTTGGTGGTGGCGCCCCCTATAGGTCGCTGGAGTCGCGAATAAAAGCTTTGTCGATGATACCAGGGTTTTGACGCATTTAGATATATGTTGGAACGACAAGATTTATAGAAAAGTTACCTTTTATCGAGCAGGTATTCGCACAAGTTGGTATCTTCTACAAGATTCCCCACTGACGTCACACCGCTTGTTTCTCATGGCCGCCGCTCGCAGCCGTAGGTCGGAAAATATTCTAAGTTCTGCCTCGCTATTACGCGGCGGAATCACAACTTTTAGATGAAAGGAGGTGTGTATTCTGTCATTTGTGACACAGTGAACAATATCAAAAGCAGAAGATGCCAATTCTTTCAACGTTAAAATCGTTGCACAGCTCCTTTAACTGCGGTACTTGCCGCCCGGAAGTGCCCTTTCTGATTATGGTCTCTCTGAGTTTCGTTCATACTATGTGAGCGGACTGATACCAGTCATGCAGACGACGTCGGTTATAGTAGACACCAAAACATGGTGAAGACTGGTGCAGACGACACCTGAGCCTGGCACACGCCCACCCCAAACGGCGGCTTGTCCCTATGCTTCCCGTAATCGCATAGAGGATCACGTCACCTTTTGTACCACGTGGTAGCCATGTTTTTGCTGGCCCGAGGCCAACGTTGCCCGACGTAGCCGGAGTTTCGGTTTCTGCTCACGATTAAGTAAGATTTAACAAAATATATCCCATCTTTCGCAATGCAAATGACATACTGCCTTTTCTTAGTGCTTTTTAATGTGAAGTCGCTCATTATCCCTAAATGTTCGGAATTGAGCAGAGTTGCCCTTTAACACGTGAGCAACCAGGTCAATGCTTTAGACCACCCTGTAGTGTCCAAATGAATTCCGAAATGTCTCGTAACTACAGCCTGTTGCAACCCAAGATCTGCTTGCAGTACGAGCTACCTTCGACAATGGTTTGCCGTCTCTCGGGCTCGTGCAGCCAAAGCACGATGGAAGGCAACAAGATACACTAAAGGCAGAGCTTCTGCAGGTTTCACATCGCAACAGCATATAGCCAGACCAGAAATATGCAAGCACACGCCACACTCACTGATGCCCCGAGGAGGTGGCCGGCCGTCACCACCCCGGTCTCCCGGACGGCCGTCTTCCAGGTTGCGTTCGTTCTTCTCAAGCTCCTTGTTCCTCCCTACAACACCGGCAGTGTCTGGCATCAGGGAGGCATGCAAGGACACAAACGGGCAGTTTGCAAAACATTAACAACGGTGCTGCGCTCGCGGGGTCTGCCGCTCGGGATGTTGCAGTCGAGACTGAGCAACCTTCGGGTCCACTGATGCACCAGCTACATCTTGCTACGGGGCTCGGTCACAAGAGTTACCCAACAGGACCAATGGACGAAATGTAGAGAGAGAAGCACAGAAACTTTCCAGCTCTTGAAGAAAACAAGTTGGCATGGAACAAAAAGTGAGGAGTGAACGGAGGTAAGAAAAGACTTCCAGATACAAAATGGAACTACTTTTAAGTGACATTTCTGAGAGAAGTTTCAGACTGGCAACCACTAGTCTATTTCACCTTATGATGTACCGCAGCAAAGGCTAGAAGCGCAAGCTCCTTGCTCTGAAACACATCTCGGCGGCACAAGCTCTCGCGCATTAAGGGCAGCTACCAACGCCATAAGCTCGCGCTACTAGCCTTCGCTGCGGTACAACATAAGGTGAAACGGAGTACAGAAACAAAACTCGGCGGTTAGGCGGACAAGCCCACGCTGCACACATCTCAAAGGCTCGAGTTCCAAACTTAGTTCCAGCGAAGTAGAAAAGATAGATGAAGCACTGGTTTGAACCTTTGCCCCTCAGAGGCGGTTTCCAATTGGAATCTCAAGGCCCTGTTCTACCTTTTCTTCAAAGTTTCCGTTTTTGCAATCATGCTTATTCCCGATTTGATGCACTCCCTTAACATCCTCAAGACAAGTTTTCCAAACTTCGTAGAGATCCTAATTAACCTGCACCAGAAAGAAAAAAGCATGCGAGCAAGCATGCACATCAAGCTGCCCAGTCATATTATTGCCACAAGCCGTGTGCAGTGAAGAAAGGGCACATGCAGGAGAGGGTAGCTCAGGGGCATCTGCCGACACTATAGCTTGTTTCACTTTATGTCCGAGCAAAGCTACAAGCCAAGCATGTTGCCTCGAATGATACTTGAACTGCACGAGCGAGCGCGCTTGGCAAAGACGCTAAAAGCCCAAAGCTTGCTTTGTAGCTTCCAATTCACTACTACTTTAAAGTGGCTCGGGTCAAACTAATTCCGCAATCCCGCATGAAGCTCACACAACAGCGGACAGACAAAGAAGAAAATTATAAGTAGACTCACAGCTGCCCCTCTGCGAGGTGCCCCGACCCCCCTGGGGACCCGAAGAGCCCCTGGCCCGGGGGCCGGCGCTGCCCCCCCTTCCGGGGGCCATGCCCCGGTTCTCCTTGTTGCTCAGGGGGGCTGTTACACCGTCCCCCTTCTGGCCTGCACTCTCGCGGATTTTCTTTTTCTTGCCACGGGTCTCCCACTCTCCCTGCAACACAAAGGGTTACCGGATGACATCACACACTAGGACGTAACACCCATTAAAGACATTTCCAACGATGAGAACAGGCAACCGAAAGAAAAGAATGCCCCACACCAAGATCAAATGTGCATTAACGCAACCGCTCGTAGCCAGTGTCATGATTTAAACTAACACTCTTTAGAACCCACAAGTTGACTCACTACCTCGTGCCAACGGGAAACTGTGCGCGCTTGAACATTGCCCCGAAACCAAAGTGGGCTCACTCACCATGGACCATTCCACTCAACATGACTTACAAAAAGCCACACGAAAGAAAAAAATGCAGCAAACAAAACTCCTCCCTCATCCCAAAAAGATACACCACAAACCCAAAACCTAGCCTAAAACCATAGACAGCTTTCCGTGGCAATTCGGAGGGTGTGTATGTGCATGGTTTCGACAGTGCTCGCACAGCACAATGCTGCATCATGAATCAAGCCAGAGAAAAACTTTTCTAGTTAAATGGACCTTTTCCGAGAAGCGTTCTGCGCACGCGCGAGCGCCCGATGCCAAACGGCGAAAGTCTGAACGAAAAATCGAGGAAATTCGGAAGGAGGCTGTATATCAGTGAGTAGAACAGGTAACTGCAGCATATATATAATTGTGTTACACAAGAAAAGAATGTCGACGGAAAGGAAAGCACGACGTTTGGATGGACGCCACGGATGCCCCTCTTTCAAGTCGCATTGGGCAGGCGCCGCTGCTCAGAGAGCGAAGAAACTGGTAGCGGAGCTCCCATTATTGATTGGTAGCGCAGGTAGGTCACTTCCTCTATTTTTAGTTTGTGCAGCAACCGCCTGGTGCCGTCGGTATGTGGAAAAGGTCCATTAGGCTTGCATTAATGAACTCCTTTCAGATTTACCACGTCGACGAAAGAACCTCCAAAGCGGCGACAAGGACGTCGCGAGTGCGTCTGTCACTTGGGCTCACTCACCTCATGCTTGTTGCCTTCAATGAGCATGGCGATGGCTCCAGCAGGGTCGTTGTCGCAGTCGTGCAGCGCGATAACCACTGCATCGCTGGACTGGCCAGTCACTTCCATTACCTGTCAACAAGGAAGAACCACAACTGCTTCAACAATGTTCAAGCGCGCGCGCGCACATACACACGCACACACAAACAAAAACAAAAAAACTGTCCTCTTAAAGAAATGTAAAAATGCCTTTCCATCCGATATTGTCACACGGCTCAAGCAAGCACAGGCGTCGTGCAAACTGCTGCTTGCAGGCTAAACACCTTGTCCGATGACAACGACGATGTACTGTAAAATCCCAAGATATAGCCCACCTAACATCAAAAGCAAATCGGGTGAAAATATGGAATGGGCTAACTTTCAATATACGATCAAGAAAAGTTTAAAAAAAAATTGCCATTCTTAGGTCATGTTCCTTCCAAGCTTGTTATGACGGCGAGGGGCAACAAAGCAAAAAACACTGCATTTTCCAGTCAGCAATGTTCGCTTGTATCCCGCCATAGCTAACTAGCCGCATTTACGCCGAGGCCGCCATTAATCCAAACACTACTGTTACAACAAGTGGGCTATCTTTCGGTGTTTAAAAAATATAGCAGGTCAAGCCAAATATAGGGGTGGGCTATCTTTCAGGGGTGACGCATCTCTCGGGACTTTACGGTAGTTAAGCGCTCTGCTCTCGCAGATGGCTTCACTCATCGTCGAGTGAAAGGCTACCATTGGCAGCTACAAATGTTAGCATCCTTACCGATCATCACGAGGGCAAAAGCACTCCCTTCAATTCCTCCCCGCAATTTTAGAAAAATTTTTTTGAAAACAAGTAGCGTATGAAGTCGACAAAAACACTTCTGTACGTACGCTTCGCAATATTTATCGCCCCCTCCCTTTAGTTACTGTAAAGTAACCGTAAGAACTTTAGACTCCATGGAACGACACAATGAGAAACATCTGTCCCGCAATAGCAAATAAATCTTTCGCTAAATGAATAGAACACGATGAAGCATGCTGGGATTTTAGTTACATGCAATAGCATCTTTTCGAAGCGAAAATCTAAAACAAATGCCACATAACGTCTGCACTCGTCACTGCCTTATTGCGGTTGTTCTAATCTTTCCCACAGACAGGGCTAGCAATTGCACCACATGTGCGGCCCCCGACAGACTTTTCGGACGCCAAATATAAGGACTTTCTCGTTATTCCGGACATCGAAAGAGGAACTGTGACTCGCCCAATTTTAATGGAACATATTAACAATCAATTATTTTGACAGTTTGCAGTTTTCAGACAGCTTGGTTTAAAGTTTCAGGTGGCTGCACTCTTTTAGTGCTGCCGAACCAGCCGCTAAATGTGTTGTGCTATGCGTTTTGTTTTTGCTGCGCATCATTATCGTCTCGATTTCTTTGTATGGTCAATTTTCCATCTCCAACCTACGTCTCTTTTTGCACCAGTCACCATCCGTCAATTGTAGAGTATGTGGTTAACACTTTCTAAACTTCACACCTGAACATCTTGAGATTATGTTGCTTTGCCCTGCATCAATGCGTCATTAATCGGATGCTTTTTCGGTCCCCACAAAGTCTAAAAAATCAGTTGGAGACCGTAGCTACAAAACCAGCATGCTCCTGGCTGTTCGTATCATTTGGCAAAAGGTCTGTTGTAACTCAGTTTCAACTGAGTGACAACAGACCTTTTGCGCAGCATGGTAGTGGCTGTTGTTGACGGGCGCCGAGATAAGGAAAGAGCTGCCCACCTGCTGCACTTTTTTCTGGATGTCCGGATCATCTGATTTGGTCGGGTCATTGATGATCTGTGCCAGCCGAATCTGCTCGGGGGTTGGCTGCAACAAATCAGACGGACAACTTGCAATCACACCAAAATTAAAGCAAACAAAGAAACAGCCAAGGAAACTGATCACAGTCTCACACGCTCATTGGCCAGTTTGAGTGCCACAATCGATTACAGCTAGCTACCACATCATAAAAGATAAAATGGTTTCGAACACTGCAAACCGACAGCCGAGAAAGGGCCTGAGCTCCCATAAACATACCTACCACTACCCATACATTCCCAAAAGAAGACTGGCAAGGTAATTATGTGTGCCGAGATTTTCCCTGAAACAGAACCACATGGGTTCTGTAGTGGAGTGCCTATGTGACGCTTAGGGAATTGAACAAAGCTTCACCATTTCGCATAGCTATGACAATACGTCTTTTGGTGACATGCCCAGTTCTGCAAAGTAACTTTTGGCTTTTCCTTCTTCTGGTGTCTCAGGTTTAGTTATGTCACAATTCACCGGCTTACCAGTACCTTTACGCTTTTCTCAGATTTTTTTTTACCCTTTTTGTTGTATCAGTGGCTCTGCAAACCCACTGCAGAGCCTAAGAAAGATTGTGAAATGTTTATTCTGAGCAGTAAACTTTCCGACAAACTACGGCTATCCAAGCTGAAAGTGGCAAAGAAAATACCGTTTAATACCCACGAAAGAGCTTCGGGTCACTTCAGTTGCTTCTCTACTAATTTACACAAAAGAAAATAATTGTATGTACAAGTGAACGATGGTACCGCTGCTGACATATCCACTGAATGCAGACATCAAGTCAAAAAGCAAGGTTCTTATTTCACTCGTTCTATTTAGGAAGCTTCTCGCTGGAGCCAACATGAAAATAAAAAAGGAGTGAAAGGAAGGGAGTGGGTTTTTAGATAAGTTATCACAAATGAAACCCTAGAATACTCTCCCTCTCAGTAAACAGGAAGATAACATGTAATGATTGGGCTTTCCCTGTCCAGAGGATTACATGCACTGGCTGTTTTTGCCCCTTTGTCATTTGCACTAAACAAAGTCTCTTGTTCCTGCTCCTGCATGTTTCCAATCCTCAATCCATGTGACAGTTGTGATGTCAACTCTCATATTTATTTTGGTTCCTTCCGCACAGTTCCGCACAGTTTCCTGATAGCGTATCAGAAGCAGGAAACAAGTATCTAAATAAAACACAAGGAGTGTAAAGGCACAGAACTCTCCTGTTATTCTTTTGAACGGTGATAATGAATATATCAGATGGGCGAGCAACTATGAAGGATAGTAAAAAGATACATCTAAGCTAACCAAATTCCTAGCTTTGCGAGATAAAAATATGTGTTTAGAAATGGTGATGAAACCAGGATCAGATATCATAAAAGCACATCACATTTTCCCCCTTCAGCTGAAACATTATGCAAAAGGCAAGATGTTAGTCTGATCATATATTAGGGGCTGTCACATGCAAAAACAATGCAAGCTTTTTATGAAAAATACAAAAAAAAAAAAACTGGCAGTGGTCGAAGGTGCCTCAGTCTAAAATGTATATTTTTAGAAGTCTGGACCTCTGCAGGGAGCTTGAGAAGGATAACCCATCGTGAAATTCACTAAGAGCAAAACTATCTTATTTATGAGAAAAGCAAGGATACAGCTCGTCACAAAAAGTAATAATTCACTTCCCTTTTTTCCATAAAAGGAGGGGTCATAAAAAGAAAGCGAGCCAAAGAACCGTAAAAAGAAAACAGACTTAGCAAACTTCCCAAACGATAATGCCCACCGGATATGATCCTTTTACGAGCCAATCGCGAAACAAACAGCAATACTGTTAGCGCTCCAAAGGGGAAGCCAAACGATGTTCGCGAAATCGGAGCAACGACTTTAACCACGCCACAAAAGGGAGCGTGCACGTGTGGCAAGCCAACGCCATCGTGTACCAGAAGACGACTTCGACGGCGACGTCGTCGAAGGGAGCGCACGGCACGCGACGCGAAAACGCAAAGAAACGCGAAGTCTCACCTGGACTTTGGGGTTGAATCCGTCGGGAGGCTTGGCATGCCCATCTGTGGCATTGGCCGACTTGGGGGACTGTGCCGTCCCCGACGACGGCGACTTGTTCCCCCGGTCCCGGGTGCTCTTCCCAGCCCTCTGTGTGTTACTCGAACTCATCACTTGAATACCGTATGTACAAAATGTTATGTACAAAAAACCCTGTAGTGGTGGGAAAGAGAACAGGCGAAACAAAGGGATCAGCGTCTGCTACTGCCGCGAGACCGCGATCACTGAACCGTTCACCACGCGTCGCGTTCGCGCAGCACTTTTTGAGAACACGCAATTTCGACGCGGGTTTACAGCGTTCACGAAGCGACGTCGCGCTGTGTCCGCGAGGCGGTGGGCGAAGTCACGTCGTCGGAACCCCTTTTCTTTCCGCCGTGGAGGCACACTCAACTTCGTAAGCGGGTTACGGCGATGCCGAGCACGGTGCGCTTGACGGCGAGTTGGGGCGCGCTTCGTGGTACGGTCAGTACGGTCGTCCCGCGACGACGCGAGCGGGAAACATCGGAGATCGGAGGAAACTCTCAAGAACGGCCGTTCTGTAGGGCGACATCGATTCCCGCGGCGCGTTTTTGGGACCGTACGTTCCGAAGCGAAGAACGAGGACGGTGGCCGCGTCGCTCGGGCTGTCGCTGGCAGCGCACAAACGACGACCAACCAAGCGTTAGGCTTAGCGACTAAGCCTCGTACCGCGACTCCGAAACGGGACACGGAACAGACGAAAAACGGCTTACAGCGTCGAAGCGCGAAGTTACATGGACACTCCGGGCTCCGAACCGTGGACGCGAAGCGCACTAGGGCTGTACGCAGGACTAAAACGTGCGTACAGCGACACAGTTATCTTAGAACAATAAAACAGGTTCAAATGCGATTTACCTTGGAAATGCGCTCACAAAAAGCTCATGTCTCACGTGACCGCAAACCTCTGGTTTATGACGTCATGGATTTCATGTATGATGTTTAGTCTCGTAGCGTATTCAGCGCAGGCGTTTACAATAAAAAAAAATACCCGTTTACAAAAAAAAATGAAGTTTCAATGTTCTTTATAAATTTGATGTACAAATGACGATGAATTTACACTGAGATAGTTTGAAAATGAAACTAATCGACCAACGCTGTGCCACAACAAACCGGTCGACTCGCGCGGCTCGTGCTAATCGCGTTCGCGTGACGGTCGTGTGTGTGCTTTTAAAACTGTTGAAGCTGCTGAATTGTTATGGCATCGACTCAGGCAAATGCCACGACGTTCAAGGTTTGTTCAGGAGAACATCCTTGCAGACGTTGATTCGGTCGGACTTTTGTTCCGGCAGTTGCTTTGCGTTTCTCAGCGTAAAATGTTGCTCGTTGTTGATTCTCGCGCGTTAAAATGTTTCAAAAAATTTTGCCTCATTATTTTGTAATTTGTTTCTTCCAGTATTCTATCCACGACGCTGCTTTCGGACATGCCCAGACAGGATTTGTTTGGGGCACCGGAAATTCACTCCTTGTATTTCCTCAAACCCAGGCCGATCCTTTGGGAGGAGGTATGCTGCTCTGTTTTCAAGTTGTTGCCGTCGACCTATGCACAGTGCAAGTTCGTCTGCTTCTTTTGCGCGGGTTGTGGTGGCGTCAGAACGACGAGCTCTGATTGGTTCTGATTGAAGGATAGTGCGTACAGCTCAGGGCGCTTGCTTCGTTGTCAATCCACCATCCTTTCAATCGAAGCCAATCAGAGATGGGCGTCGTTCTGACGCCACCGCAGCAAGAAGCAGACAACTTGCTCTCCGCATAGTCGTTGACAGGTCAAGAATTCAGGGCGAGGAAAAGGAAGGCTGGGGAGGAGGAAGCAGATTGAATGCTGGAGAGAAGAAACGTTTCCCTCTCTTCAGCATTCCATTTGCTTCCTCCTCCCCAGTCCTCTCCCTCGCCCTGGGTTCTTGACCTGTCACCAACCATAGGTGTCTTGCTGTCACAATCAATATGAGTGCAGACACCGCTTCGCGTGGATGGATGGATGGATGGATGAATACGGCTGAGCCCTTTGGATCGGGCGGTAGCTTACGCCACCTAGCCATTTTGTTTTACCATTTAAGCTTAGAATATTTAAATGTGAAATCTATATTCACTCCGCAGTGCAAAGAAAGTGAGGCTATGAAACCCCCTTGCCATCAGTGGATAAGAAAATACCTAGTTTTCTCTCGATTTCTGCCACCATTCACTTAATCTTTGCTTGGTAATCTCTACAGTCTTGAAATCCACTCTCCCTTCGCTGTCTCTAAAACCCAATGACTTTATTAAATCTATGTTGTCTTCGGTAGGCATAGGGTGAAGCCCTTTACAGTAGAGTATCAAGTGCTCAGCCGTCTCGTCCTCCTCTCCACAAGCAGTGCACACTGTATCAATTTCCTGGTACTTCACTCTGTATGTTCTGGTTCGCAGAACACCCGTTCTTGCCTCAAACAGCAATGAGCTTCCCCTAGAATTGTCATAAATGCTTTCTTTGGCAATAACTCTTTTGTTTAATCTATAGCTTTCCAGAGCCGTCTTTGTCTGCATTCCCTCTAGCCACCAATCTCTTTCTGTGGCCTTAACTTTCTTCTTAACTGAGACTTGCTCTTCGGTATCTTCGCTATAGCCCAAAAACTTTCCTCTTAATTTCCTAGTGCGCTGTCTCCACTTTGTGTCTACACTCCTCATGTATAAATAGCTGAAAACCTTTCGTGCCCATTGCTCCCCGTCCATTTGCCTCAACCTATCCTCAAATTCTACCTTGCTCACCGCTTCCCTGCTCTCAAATGATGCCCATCCCATGTCTCCTTGTACTCCCTGGTTTGGCGTTTTGCAATGTGCCCCCAAAGCCAGTCTACCTACTCCGCGCTGTTTAATTTCTAGTCTCGCATGCACTTCGGATCTCATGCATAGCACTGCGTTTCCAAAAGTCAAGCCAGGCACCATGACCCCTTTCCAAATCTCTCTCACCACCTCATACCTGTTGTAATTCCAAAGTGCTCTATTTTTCATTACAGCTGCATTTCTGTTGCCCTTACCTATTATATACTTTTCATGGTCTCTGAGATATTCTGCACCATCACATATCCATACTCCTAGATACTTGTATTTACTAGCTCTCTCAACTGTAATATTCTGTATCTAGCCCACGGTACTATCAGCGCCCCCTGGCGGTTGCTCTTTGAAGCATCAGTGCACCTTGTGGTCGAGACATATCGTCTCTAGCGACCGCTGCACCACTCTGCACTTCTTGGTCGTCTGCTAGCGAAAAAAAGCAGTGTGAAAAAAACGACGAGGACGTCTAATGTGTGTCTTCGTCCTCATTGTTTTTATCGCGCTGTTTTCTATGATGAAGGGTATCACCCACGCTCTCACTGCGCTAACTTCTTGCCTATGCGCATTGGTGGTCCTTTGCTCTTGCAAAACTTACGGGAAGTAAATAATAGGCAGTCTTAGTTGATTGTTTTGATATCTCAAATAACAATATGATGCATGCTTAAAGACGTCGGCAAAGTATCGGGTATTGTTATGGGAGTCATGAGAATAATCTACTAAAACTTCATAATAAAAAAAATGACGCTAAAAATATACAAGTAATTCCTCCTGGCGCACATTGCTAGCGAAAATCGCGCTTTGCCATTGGTGAACAGTTTCGCAGTTTCGCCGACCGTTTTTCGTTGGGAGACGACCCGGAAGTGCAGAGTGGTGCAGTGATCGCTAGAAACGATATGTCTTGACCACAAGGTGCACTGATGCTTCATAGAGCAATCGCCAGAGGGCACTGATAGTACCGCGGGCCACGCGGAGCGGTGTTCGCACTGATATTGATCGTGATAGTACATAGTCAATACAAAGAACGACACTTTTTTTTACGCCTGCAGAGTTAAATGGGTCCGTGACTGTGCTGGGTTGCTGCAACCGCTAACCTATGCCGACCCGCCCTGGTCCATTTTTGACTGCCTAAAGGACGGGCCAGAAGCGAGTGCTCTGCCATTATTTGTGTGTCGTAGATGTTGATATGGCCTAGATTTTGCACCGTAAAGCATCATACTTACAAAAAAAAAGAAATGCATATAGGTTTCACCGTCGTCCATTAATTGGGGTGAGGAAGAAAAGTGTTACAAAATGATATACCTCTATTGGTACCGCCTGGGAAGGCACTACCGATTTAAAGGGATGCTGAACCGAAATGTGGATTTCGCAAAATAGGGCTGCAGAAGCGTTGAACGGGACGCTACAAACTCCGAGACATCACTCGTGCAACGATATCTCGAACGGATGGCCTTATTTTTGAAAAAGAAGGGCGCAATCAAGCGAGGACTGTGACGTCGCGATCCTCCTGGAACAGTTGAGAATGAGGGGAAGCAGCCTCGCTTCTCTCCTCCTCGCTTTGGTTCACCTAATCGAGGGCACGAAGCGATGAGGAGAGGGAATGAGAATCGTGACGTGACACGTCTCATCGGCCTCGTCAGCCGTGTTCAGTCGCGCATTTCTTTTCCAAAGATACAGCCAACCGTTAGAGATATTGCTGTATGAGTGATGTTTTGGGGTTTTGCAGTGTCCTTGCCTATCACTCCGGCCTTGTTTTGTGAGCTCCGAATTTTGTTTCAGCATCCTTTTAAAGCCAAACACACAGACAGAAATTTGGGAAAAAAGCTGCATCTTATACACTGGAAATCATGGTAAGCAAATGGTCCTTGCGACGTGGATCGCCGGCTCTTTGTATCCCTAGCGAAACAGATGTGATGAATGTCGTTCCTGCCTTTGCAGATCAGAGGAGTGGCAGGAGGGCAGGCCAACTTCACGACGTGCGGTGGAACAGCTCACTCGACTTACCCGTCACACGGCGACTCGTCAACGAATCGTGCGGTGAGTCCACCCGAGGGAAACACTTAGTACATCATCATCCCTGGTCTCCAGTACTAGATTCGTTTGCTTCCAATTTGCGGAAGTATTTGTCAATCCAGCCTTTTCTTTTATGTGCATTTACTTGTCTGTCACAACTTCTGCTAAGCCTCTGAAGTTGAAGTGTGGGCAGCAGGGTGCAAAATGCTCTGTGGGCAGGATGCAGGGTCCTCCTAATGATGCCAATTTGACTGTAAGGATGCTGTGACGATCGAGGGCAGTCATTAAAAAATATGGTCTCCGAACTCGGGAAAGCATATAAACTTTGTTCGGCTTTCGTGCAAAGCAACCTTTGTTCATTCGTCAAGTGTCAATGCATGGGCACGGTAGATTCCTTCAAGTCCCAGTGGGACATTGTCTGCCTTGCCTACATTTGCCACCTTGAGTCACGGCATTGCATCTTCTGCTTAGGCTTGTCACATATTCTAAGTTTAGAGGCTTGATTATATATTTTGGAAAGAAAACATGTTCAAGTGTAATCGAGAGGCCACACATATTCAATGGTCACCGTAAAATTCTGTGTGAACGCCTTCCCCCGAAAGATCCCGTTTTTTAGGCTGAATGTCCATAGCATAAAAATTGAGAAACATTGCCCTTCCCCGATTCCCGTCTCATATCATGTGATGTCCAACCATAATCACACCAACCGCACAATCAGCGGTACCAATATGTGTCAAGCGAGTTCGTAGCAGGTTTCCACGTGTTTATCGCACCGTAACACACGAATTTGCTACATCCGCGATCTGCGGTGTCAGTTCCCGTGACATGCAAGCTTGTAGCGGGTTCCCACGTTTTTTGTCTGCAAACTGCGTGCACGATATCGGTCCCCGCGACACCCAAGTTTCGAGCAAGGTCGCACATGTTTATCGCACCGTGAAGTGCAAAAGTGCTGCGTCCACCATCAAAATAACCTTTTTGCTTCTGTCATAGGAGCTTGATGTGTCTGGCAACGAATTTCTGAGCTTAGCTCAAGTGCTCGTGAATGGCAATTGGATGATCCGAGGAACAGTTAGTCCCCAAAGGGCGTAGACGACATCAGGAGGGGATACAAGATTGCAGATGCGTACACCACGAAGCAAGGTGTCTGATGAACTGCATCCTAAAATTTGGTATTCTAGCCGAGAACACATGAGGGAGGATGTCGGTTTACCCATTGACACTATCTGTGGCCACATTTATCATCCGCTTGAGCGTCTTGTTCATCCGTTTGCAGAGGCCATTTACAGCAGGATGGTATAGTGTAGTAGGGGAGTGCTGCTTGTTATGGTTCTGAAGTATGCCGAAGTGCAACACGTCATCTGCGTGCCATGCTTGATCATCACAGCCGGACAGCAGTGTTTTTGAATGATTAAAAATTTGACGGACTTCTGCACCGTAACTGCTTCAGTGTTCTGCATTGACTTTGCCTCCTAAATCCCATCGGGCAGTCTGTTGGTGGTGACAACAATGAATACCCCCGGGATGTCTTAACTCGTCTTACGGTATGTGACCCCACTATGTAGGATGGAGAATGGGCTTCTATTTGGGGGGGGGGGGGGGGGGGGGGGGAGTCCAAGGGACACTGCAGATGTCATCTTCAAACGTTGGCAGAGGTCTCAATACGTGACTACAATCTTTACGTCCTCTGAGAGTTTCGGCGAGAGTAACTTCAAATGCCTGCTTGGTGCCCATCTGGGCACCGTGCCTCGCTCCCTCCCTCCCTCCCTCCCTCCCCCCCATGAAACTCGCAGTTCCTCCGAGTCACGGTGGCAAGCTAATTAACACTGATTGAAGGGGCCTTCACCCCTCTTGTAATGGACGCCGTCATGAACGGCAAACTTGCGCTCCGCTGGTCTCTGCTTCGACTATGCGTGCCCCTTTCGAGCCTCGGGAGAGCATTGTCTGCAAAACTTACCAATACATCTGGGATTTACATTATCCATCGGGTGCGCCTAATGATTGTTTTCTTTACGTCTCCATTTAGCTCTACCTCGTAGCTTCTTGTTACCTCAGCTGACGTGTAACGGGGGTCTTACCCTCGTTGCGGTCTCTACAACATTCCTTCTTTGTTTGCTTTTGTCACCTTCTCGCAGGAGTCTTCCTGGAGCTTCAGAAGATTGTGTCTGAAAGCAAGGGAGAGGCAGCCCATCCACAGTAGGCGTCTTTTTCTCACCGCTCTCGCTTTAGCTCTTCACCATTTCCGGCGACGTCTAAAGACCGGCTCAAACACTTACAACTGCTCATGACCGATTGCATTATGGCCTCTTGCAATATCTTACGACGAGAGAACACACTCTTGCCATCTACCGTATTTACTCGCAGAATGAACACACTTTTTTTCCCGAAAAATCGATGCAAAGTTGAGGGGGGGGGGGTGGGGGCGTTCATTACGCGAGTGCGTTCATTGTGCGAGTAAATACGGTATGAGGTGGCATTGGAACTGCATTTCACTAGAGCGAAGGTTGCACGGTGTTTGCAAGATCGAGTGTATGCATACCATCTGTGAGAAATGTTTATAACGTTGTCGTTTATAACATTGGCAAAGCATTTTCAAGCCGATAATAAAAAATTATGTGTGAATAAAAAAAAAGAGTGTTCCCCGGCTGCTTGATAGGTGGTGCAATTATGTTCTCTCGTCGCAAGAAATCACAAGAGGTTGTGATGCACTTGGTCGTAAACAGTAGCCGGAGTGAGAACGAGCTTTAATAAATGTACCTTGTCTCACGGCTCATCCCGACAGGCTGGTCAAGATCAGCCGCAGTTACCGCGCAATCCTGAGCGTCTGCTGGCAGAGTTGCCTCGGTATGTGGAAGGAGTTCTTTCTCTGCTTCACATTTTTTTGCTTTTGGTTTGGCTCGCAGTCTGCGGCGAAAGTTATTTTGGGGGTCAACTTAGCAGTGGTGCCGCGGTGCCTCGACTGCTAAAGGAAGCAGCTCCAGTTTGCCGCGTTTTGCCGACAGAACGAAAGCGGGGTGAATAACTGTAACGAATCGCAGTGCGGAAATCGAGCAGGATTGAAGCATGTCCTGTGACGTAAACATAACGCTAAAGAGTGTTTTATTTTAAGGGGGGAAAGCTTTTTTTTTTTTAACATGAGTTTTATTTTGGTGCTTAACAAAATGTCTTTTTCAGAGTTCAGTGTCCCTTCGGAAGATAGGGCAAATGAACCTTTGAGAGTAAACAGTTGCACTTTGCTCATTTTAAAGAAAACCCAGGTCTGTGACCACAGACTTTGGTATAGTACTTTACTGAATTCATTGTACTGTTCCGCCTCAAATGAACAACTCTACTGATGCATCTAGTTATGTAGTACGATATTTCCTAGTGTACAAGTTGCACTTTTTTTCCCCGAAATGGTTGTTGGTGTGTCTCATACGACGTTGCGATTAATATTAATTTTTTTACTATCACAGTAGAATCTGAATAATTTGAACTTGACGGGGACCAAAATTTTGTTTGAATAATGCAAAGTTTGAACTACTGGCAGTTTGCTCCCTAAAAACGCGTAGGTAAAGACCTGCAGGTTAGTTTGAATTTACTGCGAGTTTAAATTAACAAGATTCTACTGTATAAGTACGAACCTCAACTGCAAAAGTTTGCCACAAGGGTTATATTTCTTGTTAGAATCAATAACGAAAATTTTGAAGCTTCCTCTCACTTACAAACGCATTGCAATCATAACACACATATGCGGGCTTTTCAATGCAGTTTCACCGTGCCGACCGTGGTGCAAGTCATACAGGTGCAACTTGTGTACTAACTTTTTCTGAAAACGGTCGTTTATGGTCTGGTGCGACTTATAGAACGGAAAATGTGATATGTGTTTGTCAGGCATGTTTCCCTTATTACGTGTGTTGAGGTCAAACCCTGGGGGCTTTGATTGTTCAGAGGAGTTGGACGCCACAGATGAAGATCGTCGTGCCGAGAACCAGGCAAAGGTGAGAAAGTCCCATGTAAAGCTCCACTATCTTTCTAGAACTCAAAACATAATTAAGGAATTTATGGATGTATGATTGAACAATTACGGCTGAACTCTATAAATAGGACGGCGATTTTATTGGGAGAATTGGGACAACGACAATAATTTGCCGTTTTCCATCCAAAAGATATATGGCCATGAAGCTAAGATAATAAGTCCCCTTGAGGGGAGTTGGGGGGGGATTTATTTTGAGGTTTAAAAAATTATTATTTTACACAAAAAAAAACAAAAAAACTTTCATTTTATTTTTTAGGTTTTCCAGAAGGCTGGACAAAACTAAGAACTTTCATTAATTCTCTGGTTCTCCACCATTTATGAATTATAAGAAAGCTTTCATGTTCTGGTGTGCCTGTTTACCACGACGTTATAGTAGACGCGTGTCGTAGCACTGAATTCCATATGCGCAAGTGTTCTTTTTTATTGTCTTTGATCACGCTTTCAGAATACAAAGCCTTAGCTGTTCTGTCTGTTCTTTTTTTCCCTACGTCAATCTTCAAGAGAGAAGTTCTGCAGTACATTGAACTTATCTGGCATCTCTGTGAGATCCTCTTCTTGGACGAACAACCAGGTATTATTTGCTGTTTTATTTTTATGTCTCAAATATTTTATTTTGTACCTGCTCTTTGTAGTCTGGTAAAAAGATGGCTGAAATATCGAGTGTCTCAAATAGCGGCCAAGCTCTTTAAATCGACCACAAAATTCGGTTTCTTACCCTATTGCGCTGCGATTTTGTGCAGCGTTGCCCACAGGTGGTGCATTTTTTCTATCAAACTTGCAAAGAGCGAACTTACCTGAGGAAAAGGAAAAAAGGCATAACTCTTATGGAAATGCAGTGAAGCCACCAATCTCCAAACAATACGGTGCCCTATTGTTTGAAGACTGGTGGCTTCACTGCATTTCTATAGGAGTTAAGCCTTTTTCTTTTTTTTTACTTTTTCCTCGGGTAAATTCGCTCTTTGCGAATTTTATAAAAAAAAAAAAATGCACCACCTGTGGGCAATGTTGCACAGAATCCTAGCACGATAGGTTAAGAAACCGAATTTTGCAGTCAATTTAAAGAGCCTGGCCGCCACTTGAGACACCCGGTATTTACCAGAGATCTGTGGGCGTTGCAATTTCTGCACATGCATTAAGTATGTGAGGCATGGAAAGGAATTGGACGTTGAATTTTGAAATGAAGAATCTGTTTGATGTGTGAAGTGATTGCAAGGATGACATAAATGCTAGGATGATAATGAAGCAGAAAAGGCAAAAGGCAGGCTCAAAGTTCAAGACGGCAATATTTGTAGACATTGTAGAACAAACCAAGCCAATATAGGGTGGTCTGTTTTGGACAAATTTTTGTTAGCAGTTCGTTTGAATTCGCGGTGGAGTTTCCCATGATCAGGCAAGCTTTTATCAGGTCAAATATTCCGTTGTAGAGGTGTGCTCTGTGGGAAATCTAGCATAGCAACCTTTTTTATGAACTTTTGTTGCCTTGTTTGCCTTTTTTAATGCCGAGAAGGTCTTGAGTAGGTGGCCAAATATGCTTACATGAATGCATAAGCACACTGGAAGATTGCTCTAGTGCTAGCTGCAGGGGTGGCCAGGCTGACCCGGCCTAAGAGCTGCAAACAAAATCACGAAACTTCCAAGAGCCGCGGGGGCGAGGGCAACCTTTCATCCAGACCAATAAATGAAACTCGAACTACTTTCAACGTAGCAGTAGCACAAGTCTACCAAACCGCAACCTGTCTTTCGATTTAAAACGAGTTCCATTTCTCTCTTTTTGAGGATGTGCTCGTGTGACCGGGGAGGAACGCGGATGAGTGGGTTAGGGGGGTGGGGGGGGGGGGGGGACGGCGGGCAGAGTAGGAAAGGGTTCCGCGAGCCTCACTTTAACACGCGAAGAGGAGCTGCAGCTTGGCCACCCTTGTGCTAGCATGTGAAATGGGGATTTAGCAGTCTCCTTGACTATATTTCAAAAAACAGGAGGGCTTTTCTTGTTTTGCGTAATGCTTGAGGTTTCAAACCAAGTCCCTAGCAATTCACAAGTTCTCCAGAGTGTCCCCAGGGGCTCCCCACAGTATCCCCAGTGGTTCTCTGCAGTATCTCTAAAGGTCTCCCAAAGCATACATGGAAGTTCCCCAGACTATCCCTAGGAGTTGCCCAGACTATCCCTAGGAGTTGCCCAGAGTATACTTAGAGGCCTCCAGAACTGCAACTTCTTCCGTGCCCTTTATTCCCCTAAACACCATCCTGCAGCCTATACCCTTGCCTTACCGTTTTCTCAGTGTTTGGACCAGTAAACCAAGTGCCAGAACTTTTCATTGAGTTCAAGTGGCTCTTGTGCCTATTTTTGCATGGTTTTCTCTTTCCCCAAGGTTCTGCACACACATCTCTAGAAAGTTTGTACCACACACAGATCTCCTTCCCTCTCTCCTCCTCAAATGCAAAGAGAGAAAGAAAAATTTTTTGAGCTCTGCTGAAAGTTTTACAGGTTGACTTTGGAGTAGTGAAATGCTTCAGCACAGCTGAACCCTTTCTCAGGTCTCGGCATTGCTTCAATAAAACAGTGCAGAAGCTCATGGACTTTTTGGGAACTCATGATTGTATTTTGGAGAACCCATGAGGGTACTCTGGGAAACCCATGAAGGTACCTTGGGGAACCCATGAGGGTACTTTGGGGAGCCCATGAAGGTATTTTGGAGAATCCATGAAGGTGCCTTGGGAACCCATGAGGGTAGCTTGAGGAACTCATGAGGCTACTCTGTGGCACCCAGGAGGATACCCTGGATTCCTAAGAAGCCAGTATGAGGACTGATGTATGAAGGATCTCCTTGACACCCATACAGGCACGGCGTTCCTGACCCAGCTACAGCGCTGGGCCCAAAGCCACGTGCCAGAGTCCCTCTCCACACAGATGAAGGAAATGTGGGAGGAGGAGAGCCCTCACCTGTCGCCTCACTACTGGGACGTGGTGAGTGCATGCATAGACTACAGCATGCCATTGTATCGCTTCCTGTTGGGAAGGGCTGCATGGAAACATCCTGTCGTGCATCCGTCATGACTTTTGAGCACAAATCGAGAGTATTTTCTATTTCGTTCGAGATTTGACTCTAGGAACACTTTTGGAATATTGGGCTGGGAATATCTTATGCAAAGAGGGTGCGTGCAATGTTTTCATTCTGGGCATTAATTTACGATCGAGCTGTTTCCGGTTTAGAACTTGTTCCGAGACGGTTCTCTTGCTGCAGCGCGCCACATAGCGAAGCACCTGAAGGAAAGTGTGTAAGAAGTGTATCACAAGGGCTGGCTAAGAAGTAATAAGACTTCTGTCTGTTTTTTTTTTTTGTTTTTTTGTTTGCAAGAAGGTGGACGGGCAGTGTTGTGCTGATGTTTGCGAAGGTAATACATCCATGTGTTTGACCCTGCAGATGACAAAGACGTGCTTGCGAGAGTATGGCAGGAATGCACGATTGAGTTATGTGTTTTAACCTTTAAAGGATGGTAACTTCACTGTAACCCTCTTCATATAGACCAGAGTTATCGCTGCATAAATTCTGAGCATTTTAATCATTGAAGAAGGAAAAGAAAAAAAAAAAGATACTACTCAGAAGAAGTTATTTTTATACAACAAAGGAAACAAATTCGCGGCCGCAACGCTGAAAGGGATGTCACAAAAACATTTTTTTATGTTACTTTTAATCATTTTCTGAAACATTCTAATTGATGTACCGAATGTGAAGGATGCTACTTGGAAAAGGAAAAAGGAAAAAATATTCGGAGCCTATGGAGTCATTCAACCTCGAGTAGAAGAATCGGTTTCATTATTTCTTCAGTTGGACCTCGTATGTGTGCGATAATATTGTCAGCTGTGCTTTGCTGAAAATCTTTTTTACCCTTGCCACTCTTTTTCGTTGATGCAATTGTAGGCTGCTCGTTGCATTTTTCCTTCGGCGTTACGGTTTGATCGAACCCCCGATGACGACTAGCTCGGCCATCTCTCACCAGGTGTACACGCTGCTGTGCCGCGGGAGCCTGGACGAAGCCCGCAAGCTCCTGAAAAGTCACCCCCAGTCGGGTCGGGAGGACTTCGTCTCCTTGGACGAGCTGTTGCAGGTGGCGCCACAGGTGGGAGCCTCTGGGTGGCTTTGTGGCCCTTACATTTAGTCATAAGGCAACTTCTTTTCATTGGTATGTAGCCTACACATCCACTTCTCCACGCACGATGCAGCGAAGCAGTTGGTGATTTACGAAAGGAGACCACCGAGTGACGGAAATCGCAAATGTTCCACGGCTGGCCGACAGATGGCACCAGCGTGTTCTCTTGTGGCAAGAGATTACGAGAGGTTTTAAAGGAGCGGTGCAACGATATTCAATTGGGATGTTTTTCACTCTACACGAGCTTACTGGCACACCTGGGACTCAAGGATACTCACACGCAACGCCACTGGCCAAGGAACTCCTTTGTTGCGGTGTAATTTCAAGGACAAAAGCGATCATTTTCATTCAATCTCTCCTTTGCAAAATTTGATGACGTAACGTGGGGATCGCAGTACACCTAAGTGACGATATTTGAATGCAGTTCATAGATTGGACCCGAGCATTGCGTGGGCACTCGACTTGGGCTCGTGATAATTGCTAGCTCGAGAAGCATTCGGGTAGTGACCCGTGTCCAATCGCTGCAACGACGACAACAGCCGAGCCATAACAATGTCTGGAACTCAGCGCGTGTCCTGCGCTTTATCAACCCCAGCGCGTGGCTATGATCAACACCGGCGGCATATAATCGGCTCCAGATCACGTGGCCGCTTGTTCTGGCTGCGAGTTGAGGGGGTGAACGCTGCTCGTTTTTCTTAAATTTTTTTCTGGGACTTCTATTGCGTGGGGTGAAGAACGAACGCGTGTTTCATAGGTCATTAACGTCGGGGATCCGTTTTAAGCGGTATTTGCGCAAAGTACAAAAATTGTTGCATCGCTCCTTTAACGCACTCGGTCGTAAGTAGTTGCAAGTGTGTGAGCCTCATTTTATTTTTGGGGAACGCGTAGCTTATTTGATGGTTATATGATATTATATTTACCCCAGTGTTGGGTAGTACTTTAAGTACGTTGTACTTAAAGTACCAACCACTACTTCAAGTACAGTGGACTCGCAATAATTCAAACTCGGATATTTCATACTTCCGGTTATGTCAAACGAATTGAAAAATCTTGATTGTCCCGCTATGTTTTCAACGCTTTTGTAAGCTGGTCAATTGAAGCAGCGACTTTGCTTAATTCATACCATTTGTATTTGTTCATTGCGGCGGGTTAGCCCTGGTGAGTGTGCTTTTCACCGAGCACTTGCGTGCTGCAGGAAAGCAATACCCACGAAGCTCGCAGGCATTGCTTTCCTCACTGAGCAGGTGCTCAGTGAGGAGCGCACTCGATGAGGCTAACACACCGCGATTATACAAGCAGTACTGCCCTGCCAATCTGCTTTCAATGTTCGTGTCTATTTTTTTATTTTTCTAAGGAGTTAAATTTGAGATTAAAGAAAGAATATTTGCATATAGCGAGCAGATTTATAAATTCCCTCGGGTAGGATAGCTGGCCGTCTCTTTAGGTTTCATTTTATGTCAAGTCTGTCATTTACATGCCACCCCAATGTGGGCATTGGATTTTCTGAGGCCATGGTTCATAGATAGAGTTACGTTAAACCTAACTGAACTTAGAAGTGGGCAAGTGGATGGTTGGGTACAACCTTCACGAGTTCAGCTGAATTTTCTTTAAAGCCTGGTACCATGATAGTAAAAGGCTTGGAGAAACTATTTAATTTTCGATTAGAAAATATTCAGCCAAAACCACTATTCACTTTCAACTTCACCAATGTTTTATGTGTGTACCTGCTTATAAATAGGCCTGTGTTGAGGAATGTGTAAAAGAGAACTTTCAGCCTTTCCACTTTGGTGAAGAAGGAAGAGCAGCGGAGCTGTAGCTTCTGATCTCAACGGTGGCTTTCCAGGCGAGCGATCTGCTCTTCTTTCGCAAGGGAATCTGAAGCGTTCTACGCACGTGGCAGTTGAGGACCCATTCGCGCTGCTGTGTACGTCGCCACTCCTTTCGCACCCGGTCTTCTTTCCCCGAAGAAAGGGCACGCGGCCAACCCATTGTGTTTCCAAACCGAAACTGATAAGAGCGTAGGAAACAACACGCAAAACAGACGTGGACGGAGAAGGAACGCATGTGACGTGCGCTGCGCTCGTCACGTGCGTTTCTTCTTTGTCCTCATTTGTTTTTCGCGCTGTTTCCTACGATGTATTTCCCCCAACTCGCCAAACTATCCATCCTTCTATGATAGCTGGAAAGGTTGCCGCCATCTATGAGCGACGGCGGCAACCAGACTGGTTGCCGCCAATAGTTATAGATGCCGGCAGCTGTCCAGAGGTTTGTGTAGGTTTGTGTCGGCATTTCTTTGGTACCGGACACGATCCTGGGGAACCTAGCCCTTAACAGCTCTGCTGTGAAAATCCGCTTGGTATGTGTAGCTATTCCTATAGAAAATCGCTACATTGCCTCACATCATATTTGTACTGGGGACGGCTTTCCCTCGGCACTTTAAACTCTTGCTACTTCTCGCTTGGTCAGCGTGAACAACGGGGTTAAAAATATAGGGAGAGGACACTCCTTCTCGGGAGGATTGCTTGCGGAAGCTATGAGGTTGACATCATTCTTTCTCCTAGTGCAAGCGGTGCTAGATGGGTGTGCAATTTTCAAGAATACCTATATACCGTAAAATATTAAGCAAGTGCCCACTCCAAATTTAGAGATTATTCATTCAAAATAGGGAGGGGGCCCTTACTCGGTTCGGGAATAACATTCAAGATGACAGCCATGCTCAGTATTTTACGATAGTACTCTGTGGCCAGTTGACTTTATCCAATATTCGCCGCCATTTCCGAAAATAACTGATGTGCCCTCGATTGCCCCTGGGGCAGTGCCAACCAGCTTTTAAGAAAAACACTGTATAGGGGAATGAAAGCTAATCATGAAAGACTGTGTTAAAAAGTACTTGTTCTTTACTTTGAAAGTGCATTGTATTCAAAATAATTTATTTTGAATATGCTGCACCCGGTGTACTTGCTACTTTACTCATAACCTCTCATTTACTTTGTACTTTACTTCAAGTACTTTTAGAGCGCAGCTCTTAGGCGCCCGTTTCCAACTTGAGCGGCGTCGCCATCTCCGTTGGCGTAAACACGCAGTGCATTATGGGACGCGTGATGTCACTGGTGACATCACTGATGACGTCATCAGTGGCGATGCCGATGCTGATGACGTCAGTGATAACGTCATTGATGACGATACCGATGACGTCATCAGTGACAATGACGATGGCGTTGATGTCATCAGTGATGTCATCGGCATCGTCACTGATGACGTCATCAGTCCCATAATGCACCGCACGGTTATCATAATCTGTGACGATGACGATGATGTCAGCAGTGATGATGACGTCATCAGTCACGATGACGAGACGTCATCGTCACGTGACCTCCGTGAGGTCACGTGACCCCCGTGAGGTCACATGACCCCCGTGAGGTCACATGACCCTTGTGAGGCGACGGCGACGCCGCTCGGAAGGAGGAGTAGCAGACAGGATGAGGAGGTAAAGAGGAAGGATATACCGTATTTACCCGAAAATAGGTCGACCACGAAAATAGGTCGACCCCTATTTATTGAGCCCACCGAGAATAAAAAAAAAATAATTCAAATATAGGTCGACCTTCCTTTTTTTTTTTTTTTTTTAAGGAACAGGGGAAAGTTAGGGCAAAAGAAACAAACCTTTATTTACAGCACTCTCAGCTAAATCACAGGGCGATGTCAAAAACTTATTCATCGTCAGAGCTTCCAGACATATCGTCGTCCGAAGCTTCGTCAGCTTGGTAGACATCCTCGCTAATTGGCAACAATACCTCACTGACACCGTTGTCAAATGATGACAAGAAGAAACGAAAGAAGGTGGAGACGGGCAAGCAACGAAAGACCCAAATACAAAGACACGAGCAACGCTGCGAGCCTCGTGAGCAACACGCGACCACGCGACCCGCCGAAGAAAACAACCTAAAATACCTGCGTTTTTTTTTTGTTTTTTTTTTTTTGCGCGCTTTTGCGATGGAGAGAGGAATGGAGCGCATAGGAGGGCAAAGTGCTTGGCGCATCGTGTTCCTGTCCCTCCCCTTCCCCCTTGCCCAGCGAGGGGAACGCTACAGGCGTGATGGCGAAACCCGACGCCCAAAGAAAAATCCCCGAGAGCCGGGCTGTCGGCTGCTGATGTTCGGTTGTTTTTGTGCATCAAAAGCTTTTTGAAACAAGAAGCCGCTCGGCTCTACCGTGACGCCGGCTTGGTGATTGATAGCTCCATACCCTCGGTAGGGTTTCAAATTTCGGTCGCGAATTAGGTCGAAATTCTTTGGTCACGATTATAGGTCGACCCTTAATTTTTGACAACATTTCCGAAAAAAAAAAGGTCGACCTATATTCGAATAAATACGGTACTTTCCCCTCGGTACCCTTCCCGTGCTCCTCTTTAAGAGCTGCGCTCTTCATTTTTTTTAGATGTACTTTTGCCACCACCGGTTTGACCCCCGCAGTAACGAATCGGTACTGCTGCGTCTTGTGTCCAGGGGTCTCAGGAGATGCCGTCACGACAGCTGGACGTCTGGTGGCAGTCGTGGCAGGCTGACTGTGCAAGGCGCCTGATGGATGGAGAGTTCTCGCTGTTGCCCGAGCTCGAGACCGCCTGCAAGGTATGGGCTCATCCTTGCTCTAGCCTCGTGACAACAATGAAAAAGCCAGCATTTCCTCGACAAAGTGCCATATTTTCTTGACCATAGTCAGTGGAATGTATATGTGTTTAAAAGTTGAACCCTTTCGCGGTGGAGACTATTTGCAGGTGCGGATTATACTAGGATTCGGTTCTCAAGATTGTTCATTATGACGAAATTTGTGGATCCGTGAAGGACGTACGGACACCAGCTTCTTTGTGCGCTAGTAAAACGAGCATTTTTTTTTTTTGGTGTGCTGTGTAGGAGTACCTTTTTATGTGCAGAGTATGCATTAGGGGCAAACTACCTTAAGGAAAAGATTTTAGTTTTTCAGCTGAAAGTTGCCCTACAGGTTATACGCCCGGTACAAACTATAGTCCGAAAAATGCGGTAGTATGATCTCGAAACCTCCACTGCGTAGTGTAGACAGTGGGAATGTGGAGTCGTCAAAGATGGGAGCGTAAAATCGAGCGTGTGCCGTATTTTTAAAAAAAAAGGCGCATTCGGCAGGAATGTTGACGTCATGTTTCTCCGAGAAGGAGAGTCGCGTCTTCTCCGCCTCGCGGCCTTGAGGGAGCGAAGTGAAAAGAGAAGGGAACTAGGTACCTTGACGGCCTGGTTCAATCTCAACTTCTTTTTCCAAAAATACGGCCGTCCATTTGAGATATCGCCTTACTAGTAGTGTTGTAGAGATTGTAGCGTCCAGCCTACATCTCCAGCATTGTTTTTTTGAAATACAAATTTCGGTTCACCATCCCTTTAAACAATGAATTGTGCTCGAGATGTTGTTACGAGCGAGATGCAATGGCTGTTTTCATTCTCGCTGTTTTGCTACTGTGGTGAGAGGTAGGGTCCACTTGGAGAGGCATTATACTTGTTTAACGATGGGTGTTCTCTTCTCTTTCAATTTCTGCCATTACAGATCCTCATGGGCGACGAGGACACTCTTTATGAACTAAGGTTTGTTGTTGTTGTTGTCGTGTTTTTTTTTTTGTCAACCTATTTTAGTTCGAAGTCTTTCATTATTTGGCTGCCAATATAGGGTACCAAAATCAAAGAAGGGATGAGAGTATCCAGGTCCTCTTCATTTTATTCTTCCCTGACTATCACATTTCTTCGACATGGTAATTGCATTCCATGTAGAATGACACAAAAGAACCTCAAAAGAGTGCTTTCTTACAGTTCATTTAGACTATTGGAATATCCCGGGAGATAGCCCACCTAAAGTCGAAAGCAAACCGACTGAAAATGGGGAGTAATCTAACTGTTGGTGCACAATCAAATTGAATTTAACAAAATGCTAGTTTTAGATTTTGTGACCTGCGAAACTTGTCATCGCATTGAGGGGCAATGAACCAAAGACTACTCGCCTTTGCAGTCAGGAATGTTCACTTATCTCCCTTGTGGCTAAGTGACACCATTTCTGCCGAAGTTCCCATTGGCCAAGGCCTTGCAATTACTAGAATTGGGCTATTTTTCGCTGTAGCTGAAAGAACAGCAAATCGTGCCAAATATTTGGCGGAACATTTTCGTTCCAAATTTAGCAGGTCCATAGCGTCACGACGTCACAGCCACGTGTGGCATCGGACGTGGCCGCGCGTGTTGCATTATGGAACTTTTTGGTCCCACCGACGCCAGAATTTCTGCGACACGAGCTCCCAAACGCTTTCGCATTAAAATGGGGGTGGGTTATCTTTCTGGTGTGGTCTATGGCTTGGGGAAATTACAGTAAGTGCATTCAAGTAATATGTATTTCTGAGGATCAGCGGGCGAAGCGTGACTGTTCAAGTCACATTTTGCACACTTTTAAATTAAACACGTGCTTAGTTTAATAAACATGTTAGAAACTTGTGTTTAAATTAAAAAGGAATTTTTAATTACGTTTGATCGTAGGATGTGGAGGGATGTACGTGCAGAAACCATAGAACCAGCACCAACAGGCATCGAAATGAGAGTAACTACCGTTGGGTACTTGTACTGAACGGGTTTAGATTGGGATATACTTTTCTGTGTGTGCCCGGGATATTGTGGTTGAGGCACAATCAATCTTATTTTGTAATATCTTTCGACCTATCCTTGGCACCTCATCATTGCAGGAAGCTTGGGGAGACCTGGTACAATTATCTGGTGACGAAGGTGACTTACACTCGTCCAACGATTGGACGTCAGCTGTTGGCCGAGTTGGCAGAGGTTAGTTGCACGGCTGAGGCGCTTGGTCTCGGACACTCCCCGATACATTCTCGTATTTGTCCCCCTATTTTTTTGCAAAAGTACATTGCTCTACCCTACAAAACCTACTACATGGTAGTTGGGCTGCATGCTCGTCTTGTTTGTATTGTCGCAACGAGAATACAGACACGATAGGCTATATCCAAAACTCCTGTCAGCTACCAATATGGCCCCTGGAAGTGGCCTTTCATTGTGATCTGCATTGAACTTAATTTGCATTATGTATTATGACAATGTATTTGTAGATTTAACGAATTGCTGTTTAGCTTCGGTGCAACGTGGAAAAGAGAGACGATCGCGTAGTTGTGGAAGATGGATTGTCAGCAGTGAGGTCGCCAGATTCATCACCAAAGTAATGAACTGAGACTTCCAGTAAGTGAACAGTGTTTACCGAAGACGCCGTGTGAAGGGTGGGGACTGGACTTACGTGATCATATTTTAAATCTCACCTCCCACTTCGCCACGACCAATGTCTCTCAGGCAAAGCTATCGGTACGGAAACCCTAGAATATTGCGGAAACTTGATAAACGATCATGTGTGCACAAGACGGCACTCTTTTTTGCGTATGGTCTAGCGTGCTCATAGGGTAGGTTTTGTGCATCTCAAACGTACGTTTCCTTAGCTTTCCACAGATCTAGTTAGTAGTAGCCACTGTGTGCATTTGCTTGTGGTGTCATTTGACGGCAGTTTTGTTACCCCGTGAAAAACTGCGGAGGTACCGGTGTACCAAGTCATTGTGTGAATGATGTGTCAGGAGTGCCTGTCTGCGTTTGGAGAGGGAGAGCCCACTGCGCTACTGGACGACATCCTTCTGGCCGCCTTTCGGTTAGACCTGCAGCAGGTGCTCAGGGAAGCCAGGTGAGGACCCACACGCTTGTGAAGGGAAGTTATCATTTGTTTTGAAATCATAAAACAAAGTGCTACATGCGAGGCAGTCAGTGTTGCTTATTTCCAATCTGATTTTGAAGGCTGTGCTACATACAATCCATCTGTATAACGATACAGCGTTCCTTAATTTTGCTTTTAAAAAATTTAATGTTGGGGCCACGAATCTACAAGGTCGGAGTCCGTAAACTCAAACACCTATCAGACTTTTTTTTTAGTGAATAGACCTCAAGGCATCTAGCATTGAGGTCTACCTACTATCCTTCCAGTCAAAGCCACTTCGAACTCGGCGTCGTTCTGACATCACCGCGACATCTGCGCCTGAAGCAGACTACTTGCTCTCCGCATTGTACCGTTTCAGTATCTTGGAAATCTTAAATGCCACACTGTCCATGGACAAAGGTGCAGATTAGGTTTCAAGTAGCAGCTGGCAGCCTGCTGATTCTCGAATTAGTTGCCCAATTGTGCACTTCAGCTCACTGGGCACCGAATGCTTTTCATGACATATACCTAGATGTTCTTTTTTTTTTTTTTTCTTTTTTTTCCACCTGATTGTGGTTCTGAATTTGCTGGTAACCTTGAATATCTGAGTGTTTGAGAGCTTTTGTGGGACACTCTCAGTATACTACCATGAATCTCTGTAGACTGTATTCCCTAGTTTGGTGATTGCTGTTGTAAACAGCTCGTAAGTCATAGTGACTTATTGTTTATTATAAAAAATATGCAAAGGAGGAAGGCAATTTTTTTTAACAGTTTGAATTGAAATTTTTTGAACCAGTCCAGTATGCTTTGCTTGTTCTGCAAAATGGTGGACAGTGTTGAACAGCCGATGCCGGAATGTCGAATTCTGGCATCCGAAGGCAGCACGCTCTCTGATGACGCACTTTTGGCGCCGTTTCATCTTTGGCAATTTCAAACTTGGGCCGGCCACTTTTCTCAACCTCAAGCGACTTTTGGTAACCACTCTCAATCTGTCATACGACGCAGGTGTGCATGTAGTACTGGTAGTACTGGTAGTACTGGTAGTACGCAGCAGACGCGCGCGTTGGCGGCTCCCGAAGGGATGATCTCCTCCGGGCTTCATTGCTCCTTTGACCCGATTTCGACAGGAGTCAGCCGTGGGCGCCGTAAGTAGCGTCGGAACGTTGACGCTGCCCCCTGCCCGTGTCCCCGTGTCAGCGCATCAACATTGGAAGCGGTGCTCTGCCAGCTCTGTGCGCTCTGCCCTCCGTCGTCCATTTACTCTGTTTTCCCAGTTTGCCATTTGCATCGGTGGAGAAGGGGGAGGAAACGCAAGGGTCTCCCGTGCGCCTCCGTGTAGGCTTGCGTGCTTTTGGCGCTGCGGCCTTCGTAATAAGCGTGGTCGGCCGCCAACGCACTTTGAATGATACGGTTTAAATTTCATACATTTCGGTCGGGACCCTGTTAAACTTCGATAAAAGCAGTAATTCGAAAGAAGCAAATTCGTTATAATGAGGGATTACTAAAACAAGGAGATTGCAGATAGAGCTAAGCGATGGCTAGTATTTCAGTAGTTTTGCCTTCTAATGCCGTGTACCCCATAGAAGGACGCAGCACGGTCACAGAGACGTCGAGATGTGCAGTTTCTTATGCACATTCCCCTCTTGTGTAGCGCTTGCCTGGATGACTGGTGGTTCTCGGCACACCTGGCAGACCTCCTATTCCATGCCGGCCAGATGGAAGCCAGCAACGTGAAGTGAGTGTTCTCAGCTCCTTGGAAGAATTGTATATCTTGCTTTGCGAAGCTCTACAGCCCGTTGTAGTGTACCACTCACAGCTACGGTTCATAGACAGTTGAATGCTGCCGTGGCGAAAGCACAATGCCAATGCATAAAAAGTGTGAGATTTAGCTTTCTAAATGCATTTTGAATGTAGTTATAGACTACTGCTCGTCCTTTCCCATGACACAGGTGTGTACTTTGTCGCAGCAGCATTTTAGCCCAAGATTCGGCAATCTGCCAGCACTACGCAATATTCATAGAAGTTCTGGATAAAATGCTTGTGTACAAGTGTTTCCTCTTACTTAAAATACTTTTTTTTTTTTTTTTATTTACATCCGTATCTGCTATGTCAATAGGCATTATGCAGGGGGTACATAAGTGCAGACATCAAGAATATATCCACATATAACAGGCAAAAAAAAACATAAAAAAACTTTTCTCAGTTTACAATGTATTTCCGTAATATATTGTAAAAAATTGAGTGAATTGTCTAGAATTGTTTACTAGTTTTATTTGCGAAGTTTGGGAACTGTCTTTTTCTCTTTACTGTGCCTGTGCTGGGTGGGTGAAGCTTTCCTCAAATGTTCATCTCACAAATGTGGTGTTGGGTTATCGAAATTAGGCTGTCGTGGTTATTGTGCTGGTGTCTGGGAGGCCTATACACAAACTCAACTATCCTACGTCACGCCGCGGTGGTGGCGCGTCGGGCACACTTCCGGTCTGGGGCGGTGGGCAGAAGTTGCCGTGCGAGACATGCATTCCTGTGTTCCTTTGGAAGAAACCAGACAAAAAACCTGTCTTCTCGTCAAAATGCTGCGACGGGGGCTGTACCAAGAGAGTCTGGAAAGGTTTGAAGATCAGTTTTCATGTCTTTCTGCCCCCTCCGTTCGTCCGAGAACGTGGATAGTAGCCGTGAAAAGGGCAAACCAGACGCTGTCGAACTACGATTGCGTGTGCGGGCAACACTTTGGTGGTCGCCAGATGTATTTGCTTTGTTACTACATGAGCGAGAGAAAACCGCCAAGTTGTCCGGACCACCCACGGGTTCAGTGCGTCTTCAAATTCACACGGCCGCCTGATCGTTCGAACTTTCGTCTGCTCTTTCAAACTTGCCTGCTTTTTGTCGTCTGCTCGTTCAAACAAAAGCGGCCGGTAGACCAAACTTTGACCCGGTGGTTGCAGTAAGAAGTAATTGCAGGCCTCAAAAGGCTTAAGTTGGCTCGGTGTAAACAGTAGATACAAGATGTTGATCATTGCAATTGTACCGGTGGCCATCACCGACTTGTTACGCTTGGTCTGTTCCCGCTTCCGATTTTCAGTATTGACGTCGGTCATCGCCGCTACCTTCTACAATTTTGCAGCACGAGCGACGTCGCGACCGAAAATATCTAAAAGAATCTCATCATGGTTTTGGCTTCCATTCTGCGGCGTTCATGCGAATGAATCGTCGCACGTCAGATTATTTACGTAAAATTTAGCGGCGTAACGAGCCTTGATAATTTCACTGAGGCGATAAAAGTGGTAAGACATTGCTATGAGGACTCACACAGACGCCGACAACGTGACATTCCAATGGTTTGTTGACGTGGGACGCGGTGCTTTTTGTCCGTACTCCATTGCGCGTGCGTTCGAACTGTCGTCTGCTCTTTCAAACTTCCCTGCTTTTTGTCGTCACCTTGTTCAAACGACAGCGGCCCGTAAACCAAACGTTGACCTGGGAATTGCGACAAGAACTAAGTGCAGGCCTCAAAACACTTTTGAAGGCTGGTTGGGGTAAGTAGGCTAAGTGTAAACAGACACAAGAAGATGTTGATCATTGTTACCAGTGGCCATCACCGACTTGCAATGCCCGAATCTACTTGCGGTTTTCAGTATCGACGTCCATCATTTCAGCTACGGTCTACGCTTTCGCAGCCCAAGCGACGTCGCGACTGAAAATAGCGAGCAGAATCTCATTGTGGGAGTCAGGCTTTCGCGCCCATTCTGCGGCGTCCACGTGAAATGAATCGCCGCACGTCACATTATTCACGGAAAGTTTTGCCTCGTTATTTTTGCTGAAGCCGCTCAAGTAGTCAGACATTGTTAGGAGGACGTAGAATCAACAATTCCACTGCAAAAAAGAGCACGGGGACTCCCACCGACGCCGACAACAACGCTATTCAATGGTTGGTTTATGGGCGACGGCGGGCTTCTTGCCCACCGTCCACTGCGCATGCGCGGCGCCGGTGGCGTCCGCTATAGGGGCACTTTGGTTTGTTTGTAAACATGAGTTGGTGTATAGCAAACTGTGTAGTGCATGGGTTTTCATCTTGGTGTGTGTGTAACTCAAGAATATTCTTTCTCTGTAAGGTATTGCAATGTGTTGAGGGAGTACCTGCTCCTGGAGTATGCCTCTTATCTGATGTCGCACGGAAGGTGAGTGATGCTTCCTGCTGCAGCTGCTTGCTTGCATACAGTTTGATTTCAGATTTGCCTTAGTGCGCAGCAGCTGCCTAATGCTTCAAAGTACTCTGAAGAAAAGCATGACCTTCTGAAATTTTTGTATTTTCTGATGCTATACAGTGTAGACCGCATATAACGTATGTCGCGGGAGTCGCGAAAATCCGCACTATAAGCGGTACCGCGTTATAACCAAAACATCAATTTTTCAGGCCAAAATACATGTCATGAGACAACTTCCCTTTGTAAAACAAATTTATTTTATATTAGATGAAAAATAAAGCTTAGGTTTAGGAAATACTTTATTTCACCAGACTAGTACACTTCTCTCTCAAGTGTGTCACACATTTTGAAAGAAATGAGCGACTTTTGCCTGGCGCAGCCTATTAACGGCGTCGCGGGTTGCGTACGGACGTTGCTAGCGTTCAGGATTGCTAACCATAATCACTTTTCTCCGGCGATGAAAACGCGTGAAAATTCGCATCTTTTATACGGTACGCGCCAGTAATACCTGCAACTTTAGCACAGGCATGAAATGCTCCAAATAAGAAATCCGGGCGATGTTCGAAAACACAAATGTTTAGAAATCACCACTGTAGTCAGTAAACAAACACGACGACACGGGCGTTTCTGCCGTATTGAGAGTGCCGCCACGACATCGCCGCACGAGTAGGTGGATCTTCCCTTCTAGTACGTGCTGGGTTATCATAGCGACACACAGCGAAAATTCAGTCAAGGATAGCGCTTTTACGCGGAACGAACCACGCCGTCTACGTCGACGATCACAACCGACGCCATGTTTGCAGATAGAAGTAGCCGGCCCGCGACCGGCATGCAACGCGCGCGAACACTTCTCCTCGACCTGCGATTGGCCTGTCGTTGGGGTTGCGGAAGGACGCACACACGTGAACGACACGTGCGTGCGTCCCTTGAAGCCTCTTTCTTCGTTTCTCCCCACTTCTTCGAGCAATCTCCTTGCCCCGCGAGTGCCGCGTGTTGTTGCGGCTTGCGCCGTTATCTAGTGTCGCACAGGGAAGCGTGCTCTCTGCGTCGGTCAATCGGCGCAGTCGCCGGGCTGTTCCGAAAACCGCACTATAACCGCTATTTCCCTTTGCGCGCCTGCATTTTAAGCGGTATGTAATTACATGGAGTTCTATGGGAGGCGAACCGGTGGTTTAATAAAGCCGCGTTATACCCGGTTCTGCACTATAAGCGGTTACGTTGTAAGTGGTCTATACTGTAGTCCGAATCAGGGATGGGCAGTATTTCAAATACAAGTATTTGAAATACATATTTCAAATACTTTGTGTATTTTGCATTTGTATTTAATTACAAATTGGGTAATGTATTTGACGTGTGTATTTAAATACTAAAACGTAGGTATTTCAAATACAATTTTGTGGGCGAGAATACATCCCTCAAATTTATTGTCACTGTCCAGAGCAGGAAAAAAACTATGTTCTACACCGAATACTGTGTCTCTCAATCAAGCGCAAGCGTTTAGTGACTTTGTGATTACGGTGCTAGTCCAGGGCAAGAATAGTGACGAAATCGACGTTCACAGGCAGACTGGCTAAATAAGTGCCTGTGACAACTTGTGATGCTTTCCAGCCTGATTTCCATCCATATTTTTGCCTGGAACATTCTAAATGCACGGAATGTCCAGATTTTCGTAACTGGTGGGAGTTGCAACAGTAAAAAATTCTCTAGCTAGTGCTGCGCGTCTTGGTCGTCTCGGTTCTTTGTTGGTCTACACCAAAATATAATCGACAAAAAAGCTGCTTGAAGCTGTATACTTTTTTCACCTATTACGTCCAAGCTGATTACCGTATTTACTCGCAGAATGAACGCACTTTTTTTTTCCGAAAAATCGATGCAAAGTTGGGGGGGGGGGGGGCGTTCATTACGCGAAGTAAAATTTTTGCGTCCGTATTTACTCGCATAATGAACGGACCTTTTATCCTGAAAAATCGAAGTAACTTCTTATCTCTTTGCGCGCGGCGCCGACCCCGTAACCAAACCAAGCTGTGCAAAAAAAAAAAAAAAACTCCTCTGCTTTTTTTTCTCCAAGTTCCTTGGGTTTTTTTTTTTTTTTTTTTTTTTTTTGTCGCCTTTCGCAAGCTGTTTTGTTTGCTTTGGCGTTGCTTAGGGGAGGGCTCTCCGCTTACTTTCTTATCTCCTTGCGCGCGGCGCGCGACAAACGACCCCCACGTAACCAAACTGCGCTGTGCTTAAAGAAAAAAAAAAAAAAACTTCTCTTTTTCTTTTTCAGTTCCGTGTTGTTGTTTTTTTTTTTGTTCTTTTTTCTTTTTGCCGCCTTTCGCAAGGTGTTTCTTACCTCGCGCGCGGCGCGCGACCCCCTAAACCAAACTGCGCAGTGCAAAAAAAAAAAAAAAAAACTTTTTTGTTTTCTCTTGGTTCCGTTTTTTTTTTTTAATTTTTGCCGCCTTTCGCAAGCTGTTTCGTTCGGTTAGAGCGCTTCTCCGCTTCTCTTTCGTACCGCCTTGCGTGCGGCGGCGCGCGAACCCGAAGTCCAGACTGCGCTGTGCAAAAAAGAAAGGCTCCTCTCCATGTTTTTTTTTTTCTAGCTTCGGTTGGGGGGGGGGGGGGGGGGGGGGATCTTTGCGAATTTTTTTAACGCCTTTTGCAAGGCGTTTTGTTCGCCCACGCTGCCCTTGCATTCACAAACTCGCTGCACCAGGATAGAAAGTGCGTTCATTTCGCGCGCGTGGGGGGAGGAGGTCAAAATTTTGACATCCGAGTTGGGGGTGCGTTTATTACGCGAGTGAAAAAAAAAAAGTCGAAATTTTGAAAGCCGACTTGGGGGGTGCGTTCATTACGCGAGTGCGTTCATTGTGCGAGTAAATACGGTGCTTTTGTTTTGTGACTATATTTCTATTATGTTACTAGAGCCTCGCACATTAACTCCCGAGTGTGCGATGCAAAAATAAATGAGATACCCAGAAACCCGTTGCAGCTGCCTTGAAGTTGCTGGCGCAAATTTTGAGGAATGTATTTGGAAAAGTATTTGGAGGAGACCAAATCATTTGGTTGTATTTGTATCTTGTACTTAAATGCTTTTTTGGAAATGTAATTAGATTTGTAATTAAATACGTTTTTGACGAAGTATTTTGTATTTGTATTTCGATACATATTTGCATGTATTTTGCTCATCCCTGGTCCGAATGATACCACCAGAGGTAATGCATATTTGCGACCATTCCATATTGTATTGCATCTGAGCAAACAGTTTGGTGTGCTCTGTAGACCTCCGCTAAAGAGGTTGTTGTTAGTTTATAGAAAGTGTACTGGACACTGGTGGAAAACGATTCACATTTGTGTAAGCTTCAACATTTTGTTTACAGCTGCCAACAATTGGTAAAGCTGATGTAATGTCTTTGGTATGTGCAAGCGATGGGTTCAATTTTGTACAAACTGTGAACTCCACATGTTTAAATGGAAGCCTTTTGGCTAGATGCCTTTGTCACATCAAAACTTCTGGTTTCTTGAAGCATGCTATGAGATTGGAGCCGTAGACTGCAAAAAAGGTGCACTGAACACTGCTTCCTAATTTGCTGTTGTTCTACATCTCTCAGATTTTGAGACACTGAAAGCCAGGTTAAGAGAGTGGCTAGTACCATATGTAACTATGCTTCAATGAGTCTTGACTGTTTGAAAGTAGTGATATTTTATGAGAAGTCCCCTACTGACCCTTCTTTTCCTGGTGGCCTTATTTGTGTAGACAGGCAGGCATTGAAGGCTCGTAATTTGGGCCTTTGTTCGGTGCTTGATCCACATTCCATTGTTGTCAGCAAGCTATATGTTTGTTTCACCATTACCAAGTCTGCTAACTAAGCATTCTCCTTTGTGATTTCTGTGGTTCTTGGAGTATAGATCAGTGTCTGCTCTGTTCCATGGGCGCCGCCATGTCCGTTTATGCTGACGCCATGACACATTAGGGGGCTGCGCTTTTTGAAAAACCTAGATTTTTTTAGGAACCTTCGCACATCTCGTGGTGCAAGAACATCAGAAATGCATAGTCACGAAGCTCCAGGAAAAACACCGATGACAAGAGCGCTGTAAAGAGCAAAAATCTTGTTTCATGCGCAGCCCCTCTCTTTACGAAGCCTGCGTTTGAGATTATTATTTCCCATTTTTATCGCTGGGGGCTAGGATTTCGGACACTGGTCTATACTAAGTAAATAAATACTTTAAAACAAAATAAAAAGTGTAGCATTTTGGTCCTTTCAGTCTCTGGCAAGTTGGTGTGGATTACCTGGACCACTGTCCTCAGCAAGGAAGGTAAGATATGTATGGCAGTAAGATGGAGAGATGGGCTAGTTGGTACATCACAAAGGTACTAAAAGTGCCAGGGATCAAAGACTAGAAAGGCTACAAAAGCACACTGCTGGTCTTCCTAGCCCTTGTTCCCTGGTGCTTTCAGTATTCGTAAGACATGCATAGGCATCTTTGGCATCCTTGTGTTTTCTTCTGTAAGAAGTGCAGAGGCTATAACCCTGTGTTTCTCGGCTGCAGGGAGTTCCTGGAGGCTTACCTGGAGCGCGTCCCTCTGGGCACCCAGTCAAAAGCACTCAAGGTGGTCGAGATCCTCGAGCGCAGGGACATGTGGCCCGTCGGTGAGCCTCGAGCAACGGGCGCTCTTGGATGTCATTAGTCAGGAGATCAGGGTGGGGCTTGTTGCCTTTTCAGCAGTGGGTACTTCCTTGTGGCAAAATGTATGTCTGGGCAAGCTGGCTGCCCTCAAGTTAGGTAACTGCATTTTCAAAAGTTAAGTACCTTGTGCTGTTCATGTAACTTCTGCTCAGATATGCCCTGGGACAATTATGGAAATTACCTAAGTCTATCTAGCCCCACTTACAAATCTTTAGCACAGAGAAGGTCTTAGAGTCCCACATAATGGTAGCCAACTGTTTACGAGTCGGAAATGACAGCAAGTTTATTTACTCCATGGAACGGTAAACTGTGACAGTTATTGTGCCCCTTGCACACGTAGGACGAATACCGGGAACAAGCCACGTGCATAGACTACATACAAGTACAAAGCTGTTGGGGGTATAGCAGACATTCACTGCCCATGCTTTGATCACGGCATTTTTTTTGTGCAGCCATTCCTCTAGTGACTGCATATTTGTTGTGCTCCTCTGAAGAAGAAGTTTCAGAAAGGTCGCTATTCGTCTACATCTGTATGCGGAGCGCAGGTTGGTCTGCTTTTTGCACAGGGGTTGCGATGATGTCAGAACGCCGAGCTCTTGATGGCTGATTGAAAAACATAGTGGGTATACAGTGGGTATACCTCAAGGCAGCTAGCATTGAGGTCTACCCACTATCCTTTCAATCAAGGCCGATCAGAATTCGGTGTTGTTCCGACGTCACCGCAACCCCTGCGCAAGAAGCAGACGACTTGCTCTCCGAATTGCTTGTATCAAAACATGCTTTGGTACCGCCGGGTTATGATCAATATATTGAGTCAATATTCTGGGTACTTGCTTTTATGTTCAATATAAAACATTGGCTCCCAGTAGAAGTGCGTCTGTAGCAGAAATGGCCCGGCTGTCTGATGTTGCAATGGGGTATACTGGATTGCTTTCTTCCAGCCCAAGGGATCTGTCAAAGCATGGCTGTTCAGCTGCAGAAAAAGGGCCAGCTAGGAGCTGCACTTACCTGGGTCATCCGTTGCAAGGTAGGCCCATTCCTGCGTTTTCTTTATCTCCGACTCTTGGAGTATCGTAGGCCTTCATGTTTGGCTCAATGGAATGCCATCCCCTTATGTATGTAGGTATCTGTGTGTTTGCAAGGTGTTGGGACTTCTTCGAGAGTTTTAAAATTTGTTTTTAATTTTGCCAGGCAGTTTGGCTTTTCGGCCCATGGCCCATCGCTAAACTTGAGCAGATCCTGGGAGGTTCAGTGTTTGTGATGCGACGTGCGAAGCAGTAGTTGCTTGTGCACGTTTTCAGAAAGTCGCATGACATGGAAGAAATTAAGCCATGTGTGCATGAACTACTCCGACTTTGCCGACATGTTGTGTAGTCTGGCTTCTATGTGACTCATTCCATGCAGTTATATGTGCCCTAGTTCAATAGCATCAGTCACTGCATATCCACCTGCCTCTCATATACCTGGACGGTGCTGTCGACAGAATGTGCGTCGTTTAATAATCTTTATCGTTTTAGGGGGTATATTAAAAGCTCTCGAAGTAACTATGCGTGTCTATAGTAAAGATTTCTTTTACCAAGTGCGGTTTCATTTGGAACAATCAATTTATGTCTTAGCCGATGTGGGCTACTGAGGCCACGTTAAATGTGCTGGGAGTCAGCTCTTCCCTGTTCGACACGGTTTCACAGGAACACTTGCGCTTTCGGTTGTCTTTCCAGAACCCGACATTGACGTCAAGGCTGGCAGACAAGTAAGTTTTTTCCTGTTTGGTGTGTTGTTCGCATGCGCTTAGGTGTACCAACTTGGGCCCCTTCCTTTTACCGAAAATGAAATTGGCCGGTATGGAACTCAATTTTGAAAGCTTTTTGGAGAAACTGCACTGGCCTTGTAAATTGGGCACGTGCACTCAAAGGAGGCTGCAAGTACAATGCACTCGCTCACGCCGATCCTTTCCCGCGTCTTTTTTGGCGCTTTGAGCGCTGGCTTGTGAAACTCCGATCGCGCAGATTCTCTATCTCTAACACAGCATCTTAGACCAGACACTGACTGGCCTTTTCTCAGGTTCCTGCTGCAGTACAGCATGGACCGGGAGCCCTCGTGCCTGGATCTGCTGGAGAACCTCGGGGAGGAGATGCTGCTGAGCGATCGGCTGACATTCCTGGCCAAGTACCGGGAGTTCCTCGGAGAGCGGGACGCGGCCAAGGCCGCACGCCTGCTCACCACCCTGGTGGAATCCCAGCTGGCACCCCACTTGTGAGCACCATCTCTCCGCTCAGTGTTGCCACGGTGCACGAAACGCGGTTTCTCGAGTTTTGCACGGCAACGTCGCAGAAGTGGAATGCCGTTGCTTGCTGCGATCCTGTAGGTGGCACGGTGGGGGGGCTTGATGCGGTAGTTTGTTTCACTTTTCGCGCAAGCGAAACCGAGGCTACGACCCTGAACGACGAATACACTGCACGAGCATGAGTGTTTGGCGGGAACACACTGAAATAAGCGAAACAGAGTTTGGTTCCTCTCTCTGCCGTGTCCCCTTGGAAGGGCACGTCGTCACGTGCGGTTGTTGCTCCCTCGCAGTTTCTGGCCCGTGCTGCTGCGCGATGCCCTGCACACCCTGGGGAAGAGCTCGGACCTGTCCCTGGAGAGTGGCCAGGTGCAGCAGCTTCTCGGCTGCCTCGAGACCATGTCGGCAATGCAGCTGGGTCGGAGCTCCAAGGAGCTGCCCTGCTCCTGGCAGGTAGGCTGCACCCATGTCATGGTGCCCAGAATATGTCGCCGACCGGTGTGTCTGGCGTCTTTGTCCGCCCACGTATCAAAAGTGGTCTTGAAGTGGCAGCGAATGACGTCGCGAAAGCCGGAGTGTCGCAATGTCGTAATCCTGGTGGTTGGGAGGAGAACTTAAAAAAGAATTACGGGAGGACGCTTAAGCGTCGCGTTTAAGAGTGGAATGCGATAACGAAAAACATTAACTCCTTGAACTCCCGCTTGTTCCCAAGCTGTGCAAGCGTGGCTTGCGTGGCCTGGTCACTATCACGTCTGGCTCGCGACCGAAGGCTCGTGGGTTCGAATCCCGCCTAAAATCCTTCAAAATTTTCTTGAAGGCAAATGAATTAAGGTTATGAAGTGAAATCATTTGAGATACACAGCACCCTTTAATTCGCGTTACGTGTCATATTTTTTAATCGCTTTCATTCCACGCGTGACGTCACGTCTCACGCGAGCGTTGAGGGTTGTTTGAAATTTCCGCGCAAAGTCATGTGGCTGTGACAACGTGACCCTGTCGACCAATCGGGATTTTCCCATCACAACACCGCCGACGCCGGCTTTTCTGCGACACGAGCTTCCTACGTTAAAATGCACGAGAACGGGGGTATCGCCGTCGTTGCGGGGTTCCAACTCTTGGCTGCCGAAGCTTCGTGGACCATAAAGCTGGAGAAACGCCTTCAGCAGACAAGTGTCTGCACAAGTCCACCAACGGAATCTCGGCGGTACTATACTGTGGTACTGCCCGGATTGCAGTCAGCGACACCGCGACACATTTACGACGTCGTTAGGCGGAAATCGAGAAACTAGATTTTTGGACGCGGTAAGCGCACTGTTTGGGGACGCTTTCCACGCTCTCCTTCTGCCGCCCCTCTCTCCTGGGTTGCACTTTCGGTCAACTGCCCCACGAGATTGTGGGGAGAAGCTGCCAGAGTTGCCACAATTCCCCCCCGTGCTGCCTCTCGCCGCCATTGGTAAAACAGCAGGGACCGCGGAGGTGTTTGGAGTGGGCTCCGTTTCCGTGACGACCGACCGTGCCGGGGAATCGGGCCTCCTCTGCCAATCCTATGTTTTGACAAAACTCCGACAAAGGGCCTTTCCGATACGCAGTTTGCGGTCAAACCGGTCGTCCGTCCAAGATCGATGGCACCCCTACACTGCTCGCGTCACCAGTCCACATCCCAAACTTAGACCAACACGCTCGAATCAATGAAGCAATCTAACTCGTAAAACTGTCACAAGATGCCACTAGCTCTCAGCCACCTTGGTGGCTCGGGGGCAAAGCGCCAACCTGCGGATCCCCAGGTGGCAGGTTCGAATCCCAGTCGAGGTGCATGCAATCCGACGAAGGCTCATTGAGGGCATGTAACCGAGCTTTCGGTTGAGTATCAAAAGATCCCCGGGTGGTCTAAATTACTCCGCGGTCCACCGGTGGGGCATGCGAGATGCCCTTTGTGGGTTTGGCACGTAAGATCACCAAAGCTGCAAGTACTGGTGCCTACTGTCCTTACTATGGCAGCTAAAGCTGCCAAATGTAGTGGCTCTTGCGAGCAGCAGTTGTGGCAAAAATTTGTGTGGAATGGTTGCTCCAGCTTCTCAGTTCCAACATGCTCGTCTTCCCAGTGGAGCAACTCGTGTTCCATTCTAGCTTCTCATGTCGACGACTGTATGTCATCTGTAGTCTGCTCCGTATTTACATTCCCCTTTCCTTGCAGACTTGGAGCAAGAAGGAAGAGGACCAACTTCGGCAACTGCTGACACAGCACCTTGCCTGTGCCGTGATCAGGGAAGGGGGCGTGTCCTGCACCAGCCCGCAAAAGCTGTCCAGGCCAATGCAACGTGTGTCGTGAAACTGAGCAGCTTGCCCCCTTCGCTTTTTCCTCCCACGTTGCATTCACCATTATTCCCATTTGCTACTAAAGACCATGTTGAAAACTTGCGATTATCTGGTGTGCCTTGCTTCGGTCATATACCTCTCTCTGACTGCTGACCACACACTGGGGTGACCCGACGTCTTATTTGAGAGGTTCATTTCTATCGTCCCTTCGTTCTGTTCCAATGAAGTCTTGTGTCTGTTTTCGTGACAACGTGCATAACGCCCAATTCAGCACTAAGCGAACGGAAGAAAAACAAAAAAATGTTTACTTGTTCAGTAGTGCACGTTGTTGGGCTAGTTGGTTCATCTTAGTTAAACAAAAGACAAGGACAAGAAGTATATAGGACAAGCGCTATACTTGTTACAGACCTAATTTTATAGAAATAAATATATTATGGAAAGGTTACTTCTCATATAACCATGCAGAGCATTTTGTACTCTGCATGGTTGCATCAGCGAAAACATTTTGTTTGAAACTCTTTCTTTTCAATGTTTAAAAATGAGGAAGAGAGGCACATATATAACTGGAAAAGGTTTCTGACTAAGTCTCCAACAGTGCACTCCACAAAAAAGGCATTTGAGATCTTTTCAATGCAGCACAACTGCTTTTCCAAATTAAAAGCTGAAGGGCCTATTGCACCCTTGAAGTACTCTTTCTCTACTCCCGTCAACTTTGCTAGCGACCTCGAGGTTGTTTATGAGAAGACAGATGGGGCAACTGGCTCCAGAGAAAACTTTACCACACTGACCGTTCCCCCAAGCTCGTGAAACCTACCCCCTTTTTCCACATCTTGACTATAACCCCACGCAGCTGTTGTTCACCATTCAATATCCCACAAGACTGTGACGAAGGAAGACGTCCGCCGATGGTGGGGTAGTCAAATTTGTCGAATTTTTATTCACTTGTGACAAAGACTGCCAGGTATTTCCTCTGCACGCAGAACTGGAATTATTTCTTGAAATGCGATGCCATGCACTACTGCTGTCCGCATATGCTCGTTTTTCATTCCACAACTCTTGGGCCATGAACTTCTAAGTACCGCCAAAGACAGGTTGGTGACGTTGCAAGTGGTGCCTTTTAGCTTTAGACCTAGAGCAGAAACCCGTTATAGCGACTCCGCACGTAGCAAAACTACGATTATAGTGAAAGGAAGCGCCGATCCCGACTGAATTCTCATTTCCTTATAGCTCGACATTCCGATATAGTGAACTGCCAAAACCGGAATAGCGGTTATAGTAAAACACGGCGGTACCCATGAAGTGTTATTTCCCCGCAACAGCATACTTCATCAACGAGATCGGTGCATATTGGCTCCTAGAAACGTGTGCATTAACTACCGAAGCGCCACAGGTCGCTGCGCTACGTGGTGCGATGACGGCTTTCTGAGGAAGCGTCAGCGGTGTCAGGGTCGCTTGCGACCGTTTCCGTTCTTGGGGTCCCGAACCAAGAAAGCGACGCCAATTTTGGGGTGTTTGGGACTAAACTGCGCACCGCGACTCATCGGCCTCATAAGTGAACTATGCTCGTTCAAAAATCAGGCAACGACCGGACAAAAGAGCAGATTGCGGATAAATTCGGTGTTTCTGTGGCGACAGTCTTGGCCTTGGTGGAAAATGGGATGTGTATTGAAGATATAATTGCCGACGGAAACAGCGGAAACTTCAAAAAGCTCCAAAGCTCTAAAAACGAGAATGTTGACACGGTGCTGCTTAAATGATTTCGACAAGCGCGCTCTGCAAACGTGCTATCAATGGACCTGTTATGAGAGAAGATTTCGAGGCATCAAACAGATGGTCTGAATGTTTCGAAGCGGGGAACTGTGTTGGCCTTCGTTGGAAGTCGGGTCACAAAGGTGCAGTTTCTGATGCAACCGTTGAATAAGGGACCGAACAAGTGCTATTTGGAGGAAGAATTGGAACCCACTCCTACAAGATGTGAACTCGTTGACTTTGGACAGTTGTGGTGAAGGGGGGGGCTCTAGACGCTAATGGGCAACACTATGCCCACAAGGCAAGTATCGAGAGCTACCTCGTGAAGTACAAAGCACCTACTACAACGTAAGTGATATTTCTATAGTTGTGTTTGTTTTTGGACTATAAGCATTTTATTCATTTCCACTCCCTTGTTAAAGCTTCAATAACAGATTTTTAAGGTACTCCAGATATAGTAAAATTACTGCCCGGTCCCGACAGGTTTACTATAAAAGGGGTTCTACTGTACAAAGATCATGTGAAAGCATCTTGGCCAGCTTGATACCTGCTGCACACTGCAGTAGCTGCTACTTGTTCAGTCTTGGTACTAAATCTGTTCTACAACAAAGAAAATGGGAACCCTTGATATGAGAAGTTAATTAGAAACATCATTCTTTATTTGTCAAAACTTTTACTTATAGCAACATCTTGAAAGTGGAAACAAAACCAATACTCCCGTAATGGTTGAGGAGCTGCTTTAACAACCTTGCTGTTTATATAAAAAAAAAAATTGTGTTATTGGGCACAATAGTTCTCACAGATTTGAAGCTCCTTGCTCAGAATTTTTTAACAGGACTATGTGCAAAGAAGCCACTTGTTTAAAGGCACGAAACAAAAACAAAACTTGACACACATACTGGCTGATGGGAGGGAAAGTAAACCACATATTCCTCACTGCTAAGGGTTGAAACTTTAGCTTGTCTCAATTGCTAAAACCACATTTGGGCAAAGATTGAATTCTGCATTGCATAGTTATTTTGTTTGTATTTTTGCAGTGAGAAATACACGGCTTTCTGTCCTCTTAAACACGCTCTATTTAGTTCTAACAGATCAGTCAGTGGGACCTTCGTTCAGTTAGGAACTATAAAACATACCAGAATAAAATATGAGCTATGATGAGATCTTTCAATGTGAAATGACAACCTGGTTAAGGAAAAATGCAAGAAACAGTAGAACAGGTTGTCTACCATCCCAAAACAAACAGACAATGCTGCAACAAATGAAAGCACTGTAGCATGCAAGCAACCTTGCTTCCATAAATTAATTTAAAGAAAAAACAATGTAGCGGTAGTTTTAAAACACAAACACGGGATGCAATGTGATGCTGCCTTGGCACAGACTTCGGGAGAAACTCCCGCATGAAGTGGGGATCTCAAGTTGCAGGTTCTTGCAGCTTCCTCTTGCGGACATAGCGACGCTTTGCGGGAGCCTTGGAGCACTCTGCCACCGGCTCGTCCAACACGTCTGGCACTTTTAAGTAGGAGCGGATACGCACCCACATGTCGACGCCAATCTTGTCCAGCGTGAGCTGGCCGAGGCTCTCGCCCACGCAGACAACTTCCCTCTTGACGACTCCCACCACGGCCAGGAAGTTGATGTCCAGGTCTGTCAGGCTGTCCCTAACCTTCTCCCTGGCCTCTGCATAGGTCACCTGGGCCTGCTCTTGGACCTTCGTGACCAACGCCTCGCTGCGATGCACCCGCTCGAATGCATGTGCACTTTGCTTGTTCCGCACTCCTGCCACAAACTGAGCAGCGCGCTGCACGAGGGACAGATTGCGTCGCATGGTGTCTCTGACCACGAACATGTCCTCCTCAAAATCGCGGTGCTCCAATATCTTCACCTCAAGCACCGTGAGGCTGAGCGGGATGCACTTCGCAAGGCCCACCAGTATGTCTAGCGACGTGTCGTTCAGTTCCTCGTCATGCTCCGTCTCCGCGGTAGACGAGTCGAGGGTCAGGCGGTTCAATGTCTTGCTGGCCTTGAACAGCGTCGTGAACAACTCTATCTCCGGTTCTTCAAAAAGACAGGGCTTAAGGTAGAGGCTGGAGACACTCCTGTTGCGGCAAAGTCCATCCAAGATGATGGAGAAAGTAGACTCTGTCGTGTTGAAACAAAGGCTGAGGTTCTTGAGGGTCTTTGTCGAAGACAAGAACCTTGCCAGTGCAGATGCCGAAGCGTCGTCGATCTTGTGCAGACGTACGACGAGCTTGGCAATCCGATGACAGCGAGTCAGCAGATTAAAAATGTTGTGCAAAACTGCGGTGTCATTATCCTCGGCCATCGAAAAAGAAACATTTGTCAGATTCTTACAAGTGTTCAAAATTTCCCTGCACTGTTCGGCATTCTCAAAGTTGGTTTCGAAGGTCACCCGTTCTTCGGTTTCTGTTTCTTGCAAAGCCTTGGAGAAGTCTGCAACCAGGTTGGCCCGTACTGATCCCATGTCCACATGCTGAAGAGAACTGTTGGCAGCTAGCGCATTCAGGAATGCCTGTACCTCATCTGCGGCCATTTTGCACGAACCCAGCGACAGCTTCTGCATTACTTCATTCTTCCGGATTGCATCAGCAAATGGAGTAATGCATCGCACTGTGCAAGGAAGTGCCAGCTCCTTGAGCCCTTTGTTCTTTTCCACCAGCTCTGCAAGAGGTTCCATGGGTGAGGAGGACCGAAAGCTTCCCTCCATGAGTAAGTGCTCTAGTGTGGCGTTCTTACACATTGATTCAACGAGGCTCAGAGTCTCGAGCACTGTCGGCGAACAATCGAGTATGTGCAGCTTTCTGAGGGACTGGTTGTCTCCCAGCGCTCTGAAAATGGGCTCCATCTTGTAGGAATGGTCGCTATTGATGGTCAGCTCTCTCAGGGTGCAGTCCTGTACAAGGTGCTCTGCGAGGACCTGGCTGTCTCCCGGAATGAGGCTGAATGTGTCCAAGAGCAACACCGTGATGTTTTCACAGCTCCTTAGGTTCCGCAACAGCAGCTCGGACTTGGGAGCCCGTATCTGCACTCGGTGGTAGGAGAACGACTTGAAGGATGGCATCCGCCTCAGGTGGGCAAAGAGACGAGTCAGTGCATCCTTGGAGATCCAGGTTCGAGTGAACTCCAGTTCTTCGAGGTGCTTCATGCTCCCAATAGCATCCACAACGTCCATTATGACATTGCGATCGACATAGTACTTGCTGAGCTTCAGCCGCCTCAACCCAGAGCTCATGCGCAACGCGTCGCAAAAGAGCGCGGGGTACTTGTCGAGAAACGTCTCGCGGAGCTCGAGGACCTTGACGCAGGGGTGCACCATGAGCAGCCAGTGCAGAAGCATGCAGGCGTGCCGCCTCGGGAGGTTGCTGTAGACGGGTGCCCAGTAGTAGCCACGCAGACAGACCACCCCCAGCACTCCCGGCTTAACCTCCTGAAGCTGTGCATCCAGGATCCAGAGGAATTCGTTCCACACGGTGAGGTTGTCAAAGATGTGGCACAACTTGTCGTCCCCTCCCGTGCAGGGAAGGTCGTGATCGATCTTCTTGCCGCTCACGATGCTCTTTGTGTAGCGCATGCTCGACTCTATCTGTTTGAGGGTCGACAGCCCCGGACATCTCTGGAACAGGTGTTCAGCATATGCCTGGAGTTTCTGCCCTTTCCTGGCCATTGCGTTGCTACGGGAGGATGCAGAAAGGCGGCCAGTTTCAGCACGAGATTCATAGTGGTGAAAGAAAGCTGTTTTACTTTTCCTACCATGAGTACATTCATCATCAAAGAAATAACATGACTTTCGGTGATATCGGAGCTGTGCAAAGGGAAGTGGCTAAATCTTCAAGGGTTCAGGAAGGTTTAAAGGATCACGAAGAGAGTACCAGCTGGGTTCACTGCAATGTGTTTCCCTGTGGAATACAGCATTTCAGTTGGTGTCAAGCTGGATAGAAAACAAGCACATGAAAACAACACTCTGGAAGTCTTCTAGTGTTCCATTAAAAAACTGCTTCTTCAAAGCATTCAATATAATGTGGTAATAAAATTTTAATGAAAATTAGTGCTTTTGTAGTCAAGGGGTGCTCACAAACATTAAAAGGTGTGTGGGGGGGGGGGGGGGGGGGGTGAAAAAGCTTGCAGAACTCCAAGTTCATTAATTGCATGCACTCCCAGCAAAAGTGAGTCAACAAGCTACTTTTCCTCTGATAGGCTGGTAATGAGATAAGCTGAACACACTCTAATTTCTGGGGGCTGGACCAACAATACCGTCTGGTGGTAGGGCATTTTAGCTGTGCTGCACTATTGTACAGTAGTAAGCAAAATGCAAAAAATCAGTCTTTGTTGGGTGCCCGACAAATTGATACCACCTGCAGTGTTGATAAGAGCATACTATAATTAGCAAACGACGTTTTCACTGGTCGTATGTAGCCACACTCAAACCTCAAGCTGCGAGTCAAGAAAAACATTACATTCGACTTCATGATGACGGCTGATTATGGCAGATCGAACTAGATCCTAGATTGAAGATTGGCGAATGACTTGTTCACCTCCAGAAGTGACATCGAACAAGAAGCTGTTTTGAGGCGGTGGTATTCGCATGACATGTTGCATTTTTGTTTTTAATGCAGACACACTCAAGCTTGATATAGGTGGTATTCAGCAGATGCCATATTTGAAATGACTGCTCACAGTGGGAGGCACTCATTTGACCGTATGACGTTTTAGCGAACGCCACCATTTCACCAAACGACACCTTAGCGAATAGTCGGCTGCTGCGAAGCGCCGTTTACAGGTGGGCCAAATGGGTTAACATTTTTGTAATGAGCCGCCGCAGACTGCCGCCGCGAAGTGGCGTAATCGCAGTGTGGGGGGGTGGCTTAACACCCGTTATTTGCTGAAATGTCATTCGCTCATGTGATATGGACCCACTCACAACACATGCTCGGGATGAGTTCTTATGTATGGTGTCCCAATTAGAAGACAATCTTGATGGTGTGCAATGTGCGTGTTGAAAGTGTTGTGGGAGCTCAGCAGCAGGGAGCTTGAGCTCCTTGCTGCTGAGCAGGGAGCAGGGAAGCGTTGTGGAAGCTCAGCAGCATAGCCGAGCTCCCGGCTCAGCAGCAGGGAGCTCAGCTGTGGCTGCCAGTGAATATCACCTATGTTATTACACAATGTGACTAGCGCGATGAAATCTTTGAGGTAAGTTGTAACGTGTGAAGTGTCTACTAGTCTCTTTTAAGGTGGCCTTGCCTTTGTCCCTTCCTTTTGCGAATGGGCTGTCCCTTCCAAGCGTATTTCAGCATCTTGCGCTGAAATACGGGTTTTCGAAGACAACCTGGCCGACTTTTTTAGTATTCAAAACTGAACATAATACCGGAATAAAATAATCACACCGAGACACCACAAGACAAGAGAAAACGAACAGAAACAAAGGACAAACACGGCAACGTTGACGTGCCAAAAAAGGAAAAAAAAAAAAAAAAAGTAACAGCAGTTATTGTGATGTTTATTCTCTGTCGTTGTCCCTTATCTCGGTGTTTTCTCAGTATGACCGTGCACTAGCTCGCATGCGCATCAACTCTAATTTCATCGAATAACAAACTGCGCCATATCAAAACACAGCTAAGCAGCCTTGACAGCGGTGATCCTGGCAGATGGGACGTCTTGCCGGTCTTTCACCATGTGCCAAACTACAGCCCTACAGTGCCTAGAACGCGTCTTCGGAGACGCGTTCCAGGCTCCACGCTCAAATATCGATGTGCTCACATGAAGGCGATGGAAGAGTTGCGCCTGGCATGCGCGTCACTGGAGTGGTTCTGAAAAAGTCAATGTGTTGGATACTGCAATATTTTAAAGCATTTGCGACGCACGATGAATTCGAAGGTCTTCAACGTCTTCCCGGTTTGGCCGAGTCGCCATGGAACAGAGTTGTCAAGTCTTCGAGAAGAAAAACCAGCCGAAAATTTTCCAAAAGTAGCCAAAAAGAAAAGGAAAGAAAACTGAAGTCTAGTTTTTTTTCTTTTCTTTTTTTTTTTTTTTTTTTTTAGCCGAACAGTAGCCAAAACGAGCAAACTGTGCAAAAACGTCGGGGATTTTTTTCGGCATGCGGAAAAAGGAGATCGCTTCCTCGGCAATCCGCACCGGTGCGCACCGGGGCACCGAAGTAGACCTGTGCGCCGGTCGGAAATCGCCGGCGGCGGCGCGCCGGTGTTTGTACCTCCGGCGGCGGCGTGTTCACGGCGCGGGGAGCAACGGATCGGCGGCGGCGTGGCGCGGAAGAGGGAGGGAAGGGGGGGGGGGGGGGTAAATTAGAGAGTGAGGGGGTGAGAGAAAGGAGTCGTTTGAATTCGGAAAACAAGATGCAAATACCATAAATAGGAACACACTTTTTTATTTTAATTTTTTCTGGAGAGGTATGCATTGCATTCGCTGGTGAAGGGTCCAGGGGCGGATCCAGGGGGGGTCCTGGGGTCCGGACCCCCCCCCTTTTTCTTTTTTTTTTTTAGCCAGCCAGCTAAGCTCTCCGGACACCAGTGGAAATGACGACGGTCCGTTTCTCAGGGAAGTAGGAGGAGAGGGGGGGGGGGGGGGGGGAGAGGGAGCAGGGAGTGATGCCCGGCTTCCGCGGTCGAATGATGGGTCTATCCCCCCCCCCCCCCCCCCCCCCCCTTTCCCGGGTCCCTGCTGGACCCCCCCCCCTTAAACAAAACCTGGATCCGCCCCTGGGGTCCGTCCGTTAGAAGAATCAGGTACTTCGGCGTCTAGTTTACTCTCGTTTGTAAGAGAATATGTCGCCGGCTGGCAGCCACGGCGCAAGATCCTCCGCAAGACGAGGACCGACAACTAGGATTTTATCACCGCGTTCCACCTCACCACGCGCTTGTCGCGCGCCCAGTGCCTAACAAGTCGACCGAGCACGTCCTTCGATTTATAGAACTCGCACTCTCATTCGGTACGCCGCAAGCCGTCATCACACGACAGGGTCCTAACCTCTCGTTCGGCTTCGCGGTACTTCGCCGACAGGCACATTCAGAGCATCCCTAACTGTACTTTACGCTCCCAAAGCTAACGGCTTCGTCGAACGCGCCAACGGAAAAATCCTTCCATGTCTGCGCGAAAGAACGTCAACGGCGACATCGACCATTGGAGCGATTACCTCCAGGCAACCAGCTTTCAAGCGAACCAGCAGCCGTACGCCGGACTCCAGACATCACCGTTCGAACTCCTGTTCAACTTTGTCCCACGTCGACCAATGGAATTTTCCCCGCTTCCCGACGAAGTCGGCGACGTCCGCGCGAACTGCGACGCTGCAAACGCGAACCTCGCTTACCTTTACGGCATGAAGCGTTCCTACGATGCAAAACATCGACCAGCTCCATACAGCGTCAGGGACAGGGTATGGTACACGAACGGCCTTCCTACCTCAAAACTTGGCCTGCTTTTCCACGGACACTTCACCAACGTGAACAATATCAAACCTACACCATTTCCGGGTTTACCCCGCAAGGCACACCGGATTGCCACCAAGCTGCCTCACAATAGCTCTTTTTTGTTTTTTTTTTGTTTTACTGACAACCGGCAGTGATTGACGTCGATTTCAACCAACTCGTCTTGCACCGCGGCAGATCCTCCGATTACTAGCGCATCACGCCGACGCCGCCCTCCACGATGGCTAGACGCATAACAGAGGATCATGACAACATTAACAAAATGTGCGAGGGCGCGAGGATTTTGAGCTCGGGAGTGTAAGCAAATACGCTGGCGGCAAAGACCCGTAAGGAGAGCCTCCCCGACTCGACCGTATGGGGGCTCGACTTCGACCTCCGACGCTGGATCCCGGCGTGGAAACGAGAAAGAAACACAACGTGACAGGAACAAGCCAGGCGTGTAGATCAAAATAAAATACGTTTGAAAGAAGCCTGAAAACGGACGCGAATGTAGCCCTCTTGTATCAAATTATTTCACGAAGTTTTCATTAAATCGTTTTGCGGTCTACAAAACCGTTCATTCCGTTATAACCCTTTAAAAACACAGGCGAGCTGGTGAAGAACTTCCATAGTAACCGGAGACACGGAACGATAAAAATAACGCACAAGACAACAAGTCTCAAACACAGCTTTTATACCCGTTTTCACGTCAAGAACTCGAGTAAAAAGAGTCCGACTCCTTGCGAACCTAATTACTAATTTACTGAAATTACTAATTTCCACCTTTATGTGAAGAATTAAGATATATGTAGCTGGATTCTACGATATATGTTATCAAGGCGTACACGTTCCAAAAATAACGCTTTTTTCTATCACAACCAAATCTCGTAAGACTGCGTCGCGTATACGAACATCTTTGTTTCATGTATGTGCTCTCCCCCTCTGTAATGCCTTCGGGCCCTGAGGGTACTTTAGTAAACAAACAAATAATTAATTAAATGCTCAAAACTTCCTTTTTTCTTGAAAAAAAAAAAAAAAAAAACTGGTATAGTTTTTTTGAACAAGGAACGCTCTTATATATATGTCAAGACCCTCACCACAAAAAAAGAACTCATCAAAAAAAAAAAAAAAAAGGTATCACCATGCACCCTTTTATCCCATATAACGCACCCCAGAACTTCAGTTTGACGTGCAGCGCACAGACGGCCATACATTTTACAAGGGGCTTGATAACGGAGCGATATGACTGATTAAATAGCTAAAGTACGTATCAAAGACCACAGAAAGAAAACACTGAGGTTTCGCAGCAGGGCCAAGAAAACCCCGATTATTATTATTCCTTTTTTTTTTATTTGTAGTCAGTAAAACGTACATTAGCTATTTTAATATCTTGTACCACATGGCTATCAAGCCTCTCGTGAAAATTAGTACTGTCAGATCGACGTCTGAAGTTTTGGGGTGTCTTATATGGGACAAAGGGTGTAAGAATACACCCTTTTTTTAGAGTGTAGGTCACTGAAAGCCGGACATTCAGACAGATCCAAATGATTCATGGTCACACCAACCTGCCACACAGACGACCCCGTTTGATGACTGACCAGCCACATGCGATAACAGGCAACTCCATCAGAACCCTTATTAATATGATACACGCGTGACGAGATGTCCCTACAGCGTGCAATTCGCTTAACGAGTGTCGATGAAACGATCGTGTCGACAAAACGTGTTTCCGAGAAACGTGCCCATGAAAAGTTGTCTGCGATACGTAAGTCCACGAAACGAGTTTCGACAAAATGAGAGGGTCCCGTACACCACTCCTGCCTGAAAAGTTACATCTGGGTTCTTATGTTGTTTTTTTTCTTTTTTTTCTGGCGCCCCTGAAGACCACCAGAAAGGGGGTTGACCTTTCTAATTTGTGCTGAGCTTTGAAAATTAAATTTACACCGAACCTATTTGCCACTGATATAAAGTTATGAGAGATTCCATAGTAGTAAGGCACACACACAACATTCTTCACAACCGGTTTTTCCACGGGAGCCCGATTAAACCTTCAGCACCTTGAGCACAACTCTAACAATTACATCGTGGTGATGGCCCGCTTCCAAACGACGCATCTTTTGCAACTCAACTGCCTCACCAACCCAAAACATACGGGATTCTTAGGCGTTATCCATCGCAGACGCAATTACACCACTCTTAACTATTTTCAAGTGACAGCTGTCAGCTGCCAACAGAGGCTTGGCTGGTTCCTTGCCGTACCTCCAGCACAGGCCCTTTTCCGTGTGCAACAGTAGGTCTATAAGTGCTTAATTCGACTGTTGCGATGGCAGGGTTGTGCGGTCCAATCGACAATTAAGGACCGCACAATCGTGTCAACGTGTACATAAGTCTCGTTTAAAAAAAAGTTTCGGACAACACTGGAGCAATTCACGACCCGATTCACACACCCTGTTTTTGTATAAGAAGAGAACCATCAAAGTCTACGGCAGTGGACTCTAAATGAAACTCCAGAATGCTGATAAAACTATCTACATCAATCCCAGTGGCAGACTGCAACTTCACTAGATTATCATCACACCACCTCCTGGCCCTTATTAACAGCTCCAACTTATCCATAGAGTAACATAAGTCGAGATGTCTACAGTTGTCACATCGCACCTTCTCCCATGATGCGGATTCAATATTTCAATCAACTGCTCAGGGTTTTTTGATTGACAATGGACTGTTGCTCCACTCCTGTCAGGTATTTCTAGATAAAAACCGACAAAAGCTTCTGCCAAGCTCAATTTTCGTTCACAACCATTTTGACAATTACACCAGAATGGGATTGTTACAGTTGTGCTCAAGGTGTCAGGAACGTACGTTTAATCCGGCTCCTGTGAAAAAACCGGTCGTAAAGAATGTGTGCCTTACTACCTTGGAATCTCATAACTTTATATCAGTGGCAGAGAGGTTCGGTCTAAATTTAGTTTTCAAAGCTCAGCACAAATTAGAAAGGTTGACCTTTCGGGTGGTCCTCAGGGGTGCCAGAAAAAAAACTCGTGCACAACACGTGCCGAAACTATTGATGGCGTCCTCCTCAATTATCTCTCTAACAGTCTTATCTTTGTGCCTAGCGAGAACAGTAGGAGAGATAGTGTATTTGCGGTCCGCGACGGGGCCACGAATTGGTTGAGATGTGGTGCGGTGACGCAGTGTGTATCTACGCTGAGGCCCTGAGGCTCTTGGATTAAATCAGTTGAAAGTAAGCGCTCGGTTGTGTTCTTCCTCTGTCTGTCTTAAAACGCAATCCTGTTTTCTCACGCACAATACCAATATAACTCACCCAACAATCAGCAATGGTAGGAGAGTTCTGAGGGAGACCATGCGTATTTTGACCTCTGGTCATCATCATCATCGTCATCATTTATTTTCCTTGAGGGCCCCAGGGGGCATTATACAAGGGAGTGAACACACTAAAAACATCAACAAAAATAGTTAATAAAAAACACGCT